TCCAAAAAATAATAATTTTCTAATGTCTATATATACATCAATAGTGCTCCAACCAAGTAATGATGTACACATGTCTGTTCTAGTCCTTTTTTCAAACCCTTGAATAGATTTAATAATAAAATGTGTTGTGCCCTTTCTAGCATTGTTATTTCATTTTTTGTTATTTGCCAAAGTTTGCACCGGTATAAGGCAGATGGATAAACTTTAATTTTGATAAGCTTCGCTGCTGTTAAAAAGAACACAAGTTTAATGTGTATTGTACCATGTTTTTCACTCTTCTTACGCCTGCTGCAACTTTTTTATTAGTCCAACATTTTCAGATGTCCTAAACAATTTTTGTTACCGCTCTTTCTTAAAAAGTACTGGAGATTTATCTCAAATTTCATATATAGGTTCCCTTGGTCCTTGGTAGTTCCCATTTGATTTTTGAATAGTCAGAAAAACGAAATGGGTGACAGGTGACAATTTTGGATTTGACTAGAGTATTTTCGCTATTTCTGCAAAGAAATATTCACATTTAAATTTTGTGTCATTAAGATAAAAAACAAGAATGAGAAGAGAACAGATCCAGTTTTTAAAGTGCAAATAAATATCAAACAATGTTGGGCGCCAAGATCCCTCTTGGATCTCTTGTTATGCTTAATATGCTTTCTAGAAACACAGCTGTGATTATGGTTTTTTTTTTTTTTTTTGTAATTTCATCAATATACAAGAAATTTTATTTTCTATCGTATTAAAAATAGATTAATTAAAAAATCATGCATAATGTGATAAGCATGTCATCAACATAAAACACATTACAATGAGTTAATGGTACATAGCACAACTAAAAAATGCTATAGCTTAATGAAATTACAAAATTGAATTATATAATCACAGAACTAATTCAGTTAGAAATTGATTTTTGGTAAAAATTCACCATGCTATATTTCGTTTGTGTTTTGATATAACTAAGTATACACATTCTTGTTAAATTCGCTCTACGGAGCCGTCTCTCTGTCTGTCTGTCTGTCTGTCTGTCCGTCCGTCCACAATTGCATACCGCTTATTATCTCAAAAACTACATCACCGGTCATCACCATTTTCACTGAGGATGTTGGGCCTATTGACCTACACAACCCTATTGTTTTTCGTCGCCGCTCGATATCCAATATGGCTGTTACGGCCGCCATCTTTAATTTGCATTCCACTCATTATCTCAAGAACGACATCACCGGTGACCACCATTTTCACTGAGGATGTTGGGCCTATGGACCTACACAACCCTATTGTTTTTCGTCGTCGCTCGATATCCAATATGGCGGTTACGGCCACCATTTTGAATTTGCATTCCGCTCATTATCTCAAGAACGACATCATCGGCGATCCCCATTTTCGCTGGGCATGTTGGGTCTATTGTTTTTCGTCGTCGCCCGATATCCAATATGGCCCCCATCTTGAATTTGCATTCCACTCATTATCTCAAGAATGTCGGATGAGAACAAGAACTGAAACTTTCGTAAGTCCAAAGGCCCAACATATCCAATGAAAATGGAGATTGGCAGTGATGTCGTGACATAATGAGCGGAATGCAAATGCTAACAAAAATCTACAGGCTTATTTACGTCCATAGAGCCAAAATTCTCAGTGAAAATTCTTGAGATAACTTTCCACTCACCCCAACCACACATTTCCAACTTTATAATAAGGCTGTGGGGTATTGCCCGCGTTTGCGGAGCTATTTTTTGTTGGTTTTTTTTTTTGTTTTTATATTTGCAACATAAAAGAAGTCTTATATCTTGAAGTTCCCATCCGTAAAACGAAGAAAAATATAATAACATTATATACAGGGGACTTGTACAAATAATACTGTTGTTTTATGAAAATGTATAAATTATACCCTCAACTAAGTTAAGGGGAATAGTCAGAGATAGGACTACTCGCATCTCCTCAAAGAATAACATTATCATGACTACCAGTCACTTAATTACTGCGTATACTTTAAGTACAAGGAAATCTGTCGGGCAATTTCAATTTCTTTGAGTGCGAGATCTGTTGACACTTGGGCAGGTCACAAATTATTGGTTAGAATACTGTAACAACATTACGATACGGAATTTTCAATCCTTAGCGCCAATGCCGCAACTTATTCCTCATCTTCACTTCTCTCAATCTGAAGTAGTAGACAACACTATATATTCTTTATTGTAGGGTAAACAGATTGATTTAGGAAGGATAGAAAAGTATAGGAGGCGTGGTTACGGTACACCTGTGTGTCTACTTCTCATGCCCCGCCCACTTTCTATTTGATAAATAACTTTATCAATAATGGAATAATGTACTTGGGTCTGCAGCCTCAGTATACAAGTACGCATCTATAAACTAATGCTATAAATCCCCGATAAATAGGGAGGATTGTTTTAGCCTTAAAATGAAAGGCACGAGATGAGGCGTCATGATCTCATCTTGCTAGCGTACAACCGTTAAATTCCCGTTTATGGTCACTAAAGGACTCTTTAAACCACGGGAAATTCTTCCCCAAATCTGTCGTCTTTTAGAATACAAGCGTCTCCAAGACGCTCGCCTCAACGTTGACGGCCATCTGATCGGAATAAGTGAATCGATATTCATCCATGAAGAACATTGGCCACCAACGTCTCAAAGAGAAACATCTAGGCACAAGTGCCGTCAACTATTTCACGCGACGTGCTCGACGTTGAAGTGTCAATGGCAAAGTTACGTACTGGCGATGTGGGCATACATTTGCCTCTCGCTGGCTATTTTCAGTTTTCGAGTAGTTTCGACGGTTTCCATCACCAACAGTATTCCTTACCGTTTTGGCTTCCGTTAGTCTCCTGTCAAGCGAGTTGGCAAGCCTAATGAACCGATCTTGACGTCGCGGTTTTCAATTGGCCATCTGAATCTCCCAGTGGTCTTTATACTTAAAACATATAGTCGATTTGTGAACTCCGACGTGAGTAGCGACCTGCTGTTGAGTGCTACCCCCATGAGCTTTGCAAAAGCCCATCCTCTATATAGTTTGGATTGCCATCGCATATTTGTAAAAACAAATTTTGATCGCAAATGTTTTGAAGATCACGGGCCTTTGTCTTGAAAACGACACTAGTTCTAAAGGGAAAAAATGCATGCATTTGAAAATGTAAGGTATATCACTTTTTATCTTCCTTTTTAGACGGCTTTCTATATTCAATGCAAAATATTTTATAGTGAAAGAAGTTGCGTTTCTTTATCAGTATATAAACAGGCCGACTCAAAAAATTATTACACAAATAATTCCTGCACACTTGTGTGTTAACTGTAAAGGTACGACTACATACAAAGATGTCCGCCTTAAAACTCATTTTATTACCCAAAATGCATCAGTGATAATATTACGTAATAAGGGGCATAACTCGGACAGTCTTAAGCACCTTTCTATAACTAGACCGTTACATATTATTAAGTAAATGTGTTATTAAATTTGAATTCAATTAACACAGTAACACAGGCACACAAACAATATCAGCAGCCTCTGTGGTGTTTTGTGATAGAAAACAAACTCGGCAGCTTCATTGTATATGGTCGTCGTGTATTTTTTTTAGCAAGCACATGGTTATATTTCTTACAGTGCGCATGAGATAATAATGTTTCCAGTTTATACATATTACAGATTGCTGTGAATGTAATGAAACGAACTTTAGTATATGGATATTACAGCCTCCACAGGTAGAGTAAAATCACACAAGTAAGTGTATTTTACAAAATGATCTAGAGGTTAAACAATCGCTTCATAAACATGATCAAAATAATCAGTGTTTATCCTAAAACAAGGATGCATAAATCAATAGCACCATATTATTCAGCTCATGGAATTGCAAAAGAACATATCTGTTGTATATCTAATCATTTGGCGACTACTAGTAGACTTAGTATTTTTTAAAGGAAAGCTTAGGGTACATTAAAAATATACTTTCTGCGCTCAACCAAAGTGTATAACTTTTCCCAGTACGGTAGTTGTGAAGTGATAATGAAACAAGATAAATGTTTGTTTTGAAGAATAAGTATTTAACAATTCTGTTTGAATTTCGAGTAGAAGAAAATATTTCATAATATTTCGATATAAAAATGGCACACCATCCACTCTCTCTTTCTGTCTAGCTTGTATGAATATATACAGATAAAGAAGCCACTGCATTATTAATTCATAAAGATGGATTCGTTTGTTGTTAATTAAAATAATAAACTAGAATTTGTTTAAAATTTTAAATTGTTGTTTTAATGCATTATATGCAATAAATGACATCTGATAGCGCAGTTCCATCACTAATGTGTTATAACGTGTTATGGACATTTGTAGGTGTGTAAAGTTTGATAGAAATGCTGTAAGGAATGGAACCGCTTGTAATAATCCGAGATCGTTATTCTGGTATACCTGTATTTTGTGCAGGACTTTGTACAGGTGGACACATGTTCATTTATGTAGTTTTGGGGAAATTATTGTTTACATTGTTCGGTGTACACGTAGAAAAACTCTCTTGGCTTTCTTTTTTTCAAAGGATAACGGTAATAATGATATTCATCTACTGTTTCATTTTCATTACACCATGTGAATGTTCTTTCGTCACGAGGGATTCCCAGGGCAGTGGAAAGTTTGACGCTTCTTCGTCAGTCAAACGATTTCAAAAACAGTTAGTTCTAAATAATGAATTATTTGCCCTCCACCAGTGTTTTCAATATCAACAACCTACTATTGAATAAACTGATCATTGGGCTTTTGTTTTACGAGATGTTACAATGTGAACTGTGCCACCAAGCCATTACCTGGTCATGATGATGCATTGTTTTCTAGAAGAAGAATAGTAAAAAGAAGAAATGCAGTCTATCGGAGAAAAGTTGTAACTAAGGCAGATAATCCTGTCTTCCGGTAATCAAGCGGCTGAGTGAGCGAGACGAATTTGAAACCGGAAATGTGTTGCGTATATAAAGCTCGGGCATGCGCATTATTCACCACGTGTGACAACATGGAGGGAGCCGTACCTTTTGCGATCAGTCAAAACGGCAATTATGCAATACATTCGAGCCCAGACGGAGTTATGAAATTATGGGATACTAATACCGGTACCCTAAGACATGAGTATACACCCAGCGCCCACCTGTCAGCGACATGTACATGTTTGTCGTGGTGTCCAACAGGGAACAGGTCGGTAAGTATCAACATGACTGTGTCATTTAAAAATGAAGTTTTCTTATTCTGATCACTATTGGTACGATAATCCAAGTGTTATGCTTCATTGTATCAATTTGTACAAGGTGCATTTATATCAATTGCATTTATTGCGATTTGTCATAGATGAGAATATTTACGCTAACGTTTTGCTACTATAACATAAAAAAGGCCGCTGGTCAGCGTATTTATTATCTTACTGTGCCGACCTTTTATTTCCGAAGCACCATTTCATTGATGCACGTTCCTCCTTCAAAGCACAGGTACCAGCCTCGTCTGTCAATACACATAGATAACAGTAGCAAACTAAGCAAGTACGTGAGACTAGCAAAACGACCCAATTTCGGAAAACGTTTATCACTAAACCGTTCAAGTCATCAGAAAAAAATATTGTTTTCTTAATTTGATATATGATTCACTGTATATTATGCCCTAACTGTCACCAGACTTCATCAAACGTTGGTTAATTGTCAGATTTCAGTTGGTCTGACACTCATCTGGCAGCGAAGTTTTGAAAATGCCTATACATGACATGTATGCGATTTCACATAATGTAGTGTTAAGAGCGATAATTTACCGATTTCGTTATGATTTATTTTTGTTCCCTATGTTATTCTGTTAAACATCAGAGCTCAGTTTAAAAATCTCTGTACACTGACATTTTGACTCATGAAAGCGGAAATTTAAATGAAGTTTTATGAATCAAGCTACTCAGTGCATTAATTTTTTTTCATGGGCTGTTAGCTATGGTGATATAATCAGTCACCTAATTATTCAAATAAAAAAAATATTGTTATATCTTTTATTGATCATACTATGACAATGTGCAGTATACCAAATTTCCTGTCTGGAGCATAAATTTGTTTTCATTTAAGCATGGATCATGAAACTTAGTGTTTACACATTGTTCATAGAAAGTATGCATTGTATTAAATTCAGGGTCCTCAACCCCTCAATTACAGAGTAATTGCCCTTTGTGAAAAATTATCTTGTCAAATATTTCTGTCAATTGCAAAGCTTTACTTGCATAAAAACTGGGATCGTGAAACTTGATGTATACATTGGTCATATTACGATAAAGTGCAGTATACCAAATTGAGGGCCTGCAACCCTTTAAATACAGAATTATTGCCCTTGATAAAGTTTTGCGTCCAATAAAGTTGTTTTGAGGATCATTCATCAGTTTCATTGACACTTGTGACTCATGGGAAGTTTTTTCTTTCGGGTCAGTGGTTACATTTTCAAGTGTTTGACAGGAGTATGTTGATACATAGTGCTCCAGATAACCTGTGTGAATGTGTATTTACTCTCAATATTCTTTGATATATGTAAGAGAGAAAAAATTGTGACGATCGGGCTGCAAAATCCAGATAATGGTGTGATTTTCTTTTCATGGTTGATCAAAGGAACTTTATTTTATTTAGTTTATTTTGTTTTTACAATTCTACATTTATAATTTGACTGCCTACATGCTACCAAAGGTCTGAGACCAGGTCTAGATCACTTTGGTGACATCAGTAACACAATGATGAAGTCCATTTTCTGATTTCACTAAATCACCTCCTAGAGAATTTTGGATTGGTTGATATTTCCATATTATCAGATTTTTGTGAATTTTCTTATCACTTTTTGAGAAGTACTGGATGGATCTTTCTCAAAGTGCATATGTAGGTTCCCCTTGGCCCCAAGTTTTGCACCTCTAATTTTGGGACTGATCAGAAAAGTGAAATGGCTGGCAGGCAGCCATCTGTGATTTTGACTTTGAATGTTTGTTATCGCTATTTCTTGAGAACTACGGTATAGATCTTTTTCAAATTTCATGTATAGGTTTCTCTTGGTTCTTAGTTGTGTCTGTTAGAGTTTTGGACTGATCAGGAAAACAAAATGGCCACCTGGCAGTCATCTTTGATTTTGCCTAGTAAAGGTTATTGTCCCTATTTCTTAAGAAGTACTAAATGGACATCTCTCAAATTTCAAATGTATGGTCCCTTTGGTCTCTCCTTTTGCCCGTTTGATTTTTGGATTGATCAGAAGAAAAAAAATAGCTTCCATGCAATTACTTTTGATTTGGCAGGTAAAGATTATCATCACCATTTCTGCAAAGGAATGTTCAAATGGGTTATCATTAATAGCAAAAAGAGAAGAGAAAAGCAGGGAAAAGATCCAATTTTCAAAGAGCAAATCAGGGCTCGACAATTACACTTGCCAGACTTGTCTGTACCAGTGCAAAATCACGTTGGACAAGGATGTCTCCTGTCACTTGTCCGCAAAGCCAACCCTATGATTGTTCTTGGATTTATAATCTGATTATGTTGGTCTCCAATCACGCATTTTAATACAGTCTGTATAAAAACACAAACACAATTCAAAAAGATTTTCAACAGCTGTGTATTGCAGGTTACTGCATGTAGTTCAATTATTAGTAATAACTAGATCCGTCACTTGATATTCATGTCTTACCAATATAAGATAAAATCAAAATAAAACTTTAATATAAAGCTAGCAACAATCAATGACACATTGAAACATAAGCTCTAAAAATGTATATGAACCAAAACTTACTTATTATGACATAATGTAAGACTGCATTGGTTGCTGAAAATTCGGACAAGAGGATTAATCTTTCGGACAAGTGGTTTTCTAAAGTACTTGTCCAAAAGGACAAGTGAGGTAAAAAGTCATTGTAGAGCCCTGCAAATAAAGATCCAACAGGGGTGGGTGCCAAGATCCATCTGGGATCTCTTATCTTCATGTAAATTGTGATAATTGATTTTAATTCTTTAAGGAAAAGCCAAGAAAAAAGAAGAAGAGAAAATCTAAAGGAGACACAGAAGAAATACCAGGAGAAAATTCAGAAAACACTGTGGCCATAGGAACTACAGCTGGAAATGTATTATTGTACAATACAAGACTTGGAGACTTACAGACACAACTGGTATGGAACTTTATGCACATTTATGAGTTATAGGTATATTTAGGGTCTAGTACAATGAATTTCCGGATAATTTATAGCAGCACATGTTATTATTTATCTAACTGCAGGTGCCAGGAATACTTGTTACAGTTACCAACTCCACACCAAAATACCATCTGCATCATCGAAAACAGATTCTTAGTAAAATTTCATTCAAACTAGAAAAAATAACCCTTCCCCCTGCTGAAAGTTTTTGTAGTCAGATGACTGTTAAGGCCTGTGGCCTCTTGTTTACAGAGTTATGACCATTTAAGTTTTAAGAATTTGTATTAAATTTTTCACAAAACTTTGGTTAGACCAAAATTTGAGAACTTGCATAATTAGAGTAGGAATTTTTAGCACACTTCCAACAAAATAGAAAAGATGCAATAAAAAGTTCTAAATTTCTCTGTCATGGAATTGCTGGCAAGTGCATTTATGTCTCTCCAGCACATCTAGTTCTGACTGTTTTTTAATACAAAATAGTAATATTTGAAAATTATATTAACTCATTGTCATCCATAATATAATGATAAGTAGTGATTTCATTACACACCTCTGTCTAGTTTACAGTACTGTAATAAGGAGCTGTAAGGATTATCACATGCAAAATCAGTGAATTGATATAAAATATTACAGAATGGTGGTCATAATGGTCAGGTGAATGGACTGAGTTGGCAGAGTGATGATGGCAGTTTGTACAGCTGTTCAAGTGACCACTACATTGTCCACTGGGACATTTCAAACAACTCTGTCAAACAGTAAGTTAAATACTTCAGTGTTTTATTTAATTTAAAGAAACAATGATGATTGAAATAATGGAATTGAAAAATTCATTCTGATTGCTATAACTGAGTGATTCAGTCAGATCACTATTACTGCATACCTGCCAACTTTTCAAAATTCTCATGAAAAAATGTCAGATTACTATTACTGAGTGAGTCTGTCAGATTACTGTTACTGAGTGAGTCTGTCAGATTACTGTTACTGAGTGAGTCTGTCAGATTACTGTTACTGAGTGAGTCTGTCAGATTACTGTTACTGAGTGAGTCTGTCAGATTACTGTTACTGAGTGAGTCTGTCAGATTACTGTTATTGAGTGAGTCTGTCAGATTACTGTTATTGAGTGAGTCTGTCAGAGAAGTATTACTGAGTGATTGAGTCAGAGAAGTATTACCGATTGATTGAGTCAGAGAAGTATTACTGAGTGATTGAGTCAGAGAAGTATTACTGAGTGATTGAGTCAGAGAAGTATTACTGAGTGATTGAGTCAGAGAAGTATTACTGAGTGATTGAGTCAGAGAAGTATTACTGATTGATTCAGTCAGAGAAGTATTACTGAGTGATTGAGTCAGAGAAGTATTACTGAGTGATTGAGTCAGAGAAGTATTACTGAGTGATTGAGTCAGAGAAGTATTACTGAGTGATTGAGTCAGAAAAGTATTACTGAGTGATTCAGTCAGAGAAGTATTACTGAGTGATTCAGTCAGAGAAGTATTACTGAGTGATTCAGTCAGAGAAGTATTACTGAGTGATTCAGTCAGAGAAGTATTACTGATTGAGCCTGGTAATTACCTACAGAGTTTGAATACTGTTTGAAAGTGATTAAGACAGATTAGTGGACAGGTGTGTCTCTTTGTTGTGTTACTGACTTTTTGATACTTGCTGTTTGCAGTAAATGGAAGGCAGACAAGGGCACTATTCATTCTGTTTGTGTTTGTTCACCTCATCATCTTTTATCTGCTGGAAGAACCATAAAACTATGGAATACACAAACACATGAAATGCTAAAAGTAAGTGATCATGGTAGCAGGCTATAGAAGCAGCTTAAGAAGAATCTTTGATATTATACATGTCAGGCACAATTTTGTGCAAAAGCATTTAGCTTTTATAAGAATTATGTTTGTTGTACTATCTTTTGACAAGTACTAGTAGAGAATTTGGAAAATTCATTGAATCAACCGTTACCTGTTGCCTACCTGACACTGGTATGTACATGGCTGTTTACAGGTACAGGCCTCTGAAACCACATACTGAATTTATTTGCAAGTATTTTTCTACTTTATTTATTTAAAGGAACAAAACTCTAGTTCCTCTGACATGAAGGGACGTAGATTTTGACATGTGTTGTGTGTCGTGCGCCCGTAAACAATTTAACACTTTCAACTTCTTCTCAAAAACCCCTGATCCAATTTCAATAAATTTTGCTGAAACCTTCCCTGGCAGAAGATGAACCAAAATAGTGAATTATACAGTCCCCACCCCCGGGGGCCTGAGGGGCAGGGCCAAAAAAATCTTCGTCTCAAGACCAAGATAGGGTATAATCAAATACTCTTCATGAATGGAAGCATCTTCAGGTGCGTTTTAAAAATGTGAATGTCATAGCCCCAGGGTCTTGGAATTATTTCAGATTTGGTAAGAATTATGCCCATTTTGATCCTGACTGACACCCAACCCCAACCCCCGGGAGTGGGGTTGGGTGGGGCCAAAAGGTTTCAAATTGACTTCAATTTTTAAAAATCTTCTTTACAACACCCAGATATGGTAGAATCAAATGTTCTTCATGAATGGAAGCAACTTAAGGTGCTTTACCAAAATGGTCTTACATTTCTTCCTGTGGAGGATTTTTTTTTTTTTGACTCTACTCTAATTTTCATAGAAAAATAGTATTTTTGAGCATAACGTTGCTTATTTCCCACTGGGAATAACTATATAAGAATTATCAGTATAGAATGACAGTTTTGATGGTATGCATGCATTGACACTGGCTTACTATATTCAGTGTCATAATTTTTGTTACATGACGCTTGATAACTATCCTTTAGCCTTTATATTGAATATTGCTTATCTCTGTGATTGTCAAGGCTTCTAGGCCTCCTGTTAACCATAACATCAGATTTTTTTTCTTGAGCAACATTTTGATTTAACAATAATCTGTAGAGTTATTGCCTTTTTGTCTTTTTATGCATTTGAATCTTGTCCATAAATTTATTCTTTCACTTATAGTTTAATCATCAAAACATGTATCACTGTGTCCCCTGGTGTTATTTCATCTCAATATTTCCATATTTATATTAACTTTGATACAATAATATATTTCTTTTTGATATAAGATGTACATTTATTGTTCCACCCTGCAGTACTCATGAGGATGTGGTCCTCATCTGTTTATACATTATTATCATGTTCCTTTGATAAGTCCATGATTGAGGTTAGTGATGATAGATATTATATGTTTTTGATAGAAAGTAATTTTAGATCATAAAGGAACCCCAATCTCTCCTAGTGTGCATTGTTGTATCCCAATAACACCTCTTTAAATGGCTTGCACCAATTCAAGATTCTTAAAAAAACTTATTTCTGTCAAATAACCTCATTATTTTACTATTTTTAGATTAGAATGATTATTTTGAAAATAGACGTTTGTTGATGAGGAAAATGACTACATTAGTTTATATGGCTACAAGCATTAAGGATAATATTGTGGAAGTTTAATTTTGAGTAAACAGTCACCAAGCGTCATGTTTACATTTCGTTCTTTAACTTTCCATTTACTGCTGTGTTGTCGAGATACATAACTATTACCTGTGATATCGGTAATAACTGATGGTTATTACCTGTAGTAGTAACTGATGGTTATTACCTGTGATATCGGTAACCTGTGATATCGGTAATAATTGATGGTTATTACCTGTGATATCGGTAATAACTGATGGTTATTACCTGTAGTAAAAACTGATGGTTATTACCTGTGATATCGGTAATAACCGATGGTTATTACCTGTGATATCGGTAACCTGTGATATCAGTAATAACTGATGGTTATTACCTGTAGTAATAACTGATGGTTATTACCTGTGATATCAGTAATAACTGATGGTTATTACCTGTAGTAATAACTGATGGTTATTACCTGTAGTAATAACTGATGGTCATTACCTGTGATATCAGTAATAACTGATGGTTATTACCTGTAGTAATAACTGATGGTTATTACCTGTGATATCAGTAATAACTGATGGTTATTACCTGTAGTAGTAACTGATGGTTATTACCTGTGATATCAGTAACCTGTGATATCGGTAATAATTGATGGTTATTACCTGTGATATCGGTAATAACTGATGGTTATTACCTGTGATATCAGTAATAACTGATGGTCATTACCTGTGATATCAGTAATAACTGATGGTTATTACCTGTAGTAGTAACTGATGGTTATTACCTGTGATATCGGTAACCTGTGTGTCAGTAATAACTGATGGTTATTACCTGTGATATCAGTAATAACTGATGGTTATTATCTGTGATATCAGTAATAACTGATGGTTATTACCTGTGATATCAGTAATAACTGATGGTTATTACCTGTGATATCGGTAATAACTGATGGTCATTACCTGTGATATCAGTAATAACTGATGGTTATTACCTGTGATATCGGTAATAACTGATGGTTATTACCTGTGATATCAGTAATAACTGATGGTTATTACCTGTGATATCGGTAATAACTGATGGTCATTACCTGTGATATCAGTAATAACTGATGGTTATTACCTGTGATATCGGTAATAACTGATGGTTATTACCTGTAGTAATAACTGATGGTGATAACTGACTGTGATATCAGTAATAACTGATGGTTATTACCTGTGATATCAGTAATAACTGATGGTCATTACCTGTGATATCGGTAATAATTGATGGTTATTACCTGTGATATCGGTAATAACTGATGGTCATTACCTGTGATATCAGTAATAACTGATGGTTATTACCTGTGATATCGGTAATAACTGATGGTTATTACCTGTAGTAATAACTGATGGTGATAACTGACTGTGATATCAGTAATAACTGATGGTTATTACCTGTGATATCAGTAATAACTGATGGTCATTACCTGTGATATCGGTAATAATTGATGGTTATTACCTGTGATATCGGTAATAATTGATGGTTATTACCTGTGATATCAGTAATAACTGATGGTTATTACCTGTGATATCGGTAATAACTGATGGTTATTAGGCTAAAACACTAGCTAATTAACTCTCAAAAGGTGGGTTTTTACAATTGTTCAATGGTATACAAGACTGTTTATAGCTGTGTCCTTTGTTGGTGTTGTCAGGGATGCCATGTAAGTATTTCTGTGATGACAAACTTTGACCCTTGCCACCTATTGGTAGTCTGTGAACCATTGACAGAAGTATTGTGACTGTTAAGGTACAACAACTCTTGTAGATATTGATAGGAAGCTGTCCCAAAATGTCAGAATCAGAGTACAGAATACTCCAAGTATTCACCAGGGTGTCATAAATACCACATCTTTGAATGATAATGAATCTCAAAGAAAATTAATGATTTTTCAGTCTTTGGTAATAAGATATCAACAAAATGTATTTGTCATTTTAATACTTTGTCTTTCTTTAAAATTGAGGTTTCTTTTCTCTTACAGAAATTCACTGGCCATGCTACAGATGTATTTCGATTAATACCGGTACCATTTTCTATGAATTTAAATGGAGATTCCATAGACAGTTTATATTTTCTATCAGCTGCTGTAAATGACAGAATTGTCAATGCTTGGTAAGTTGGAATGGATGTACTAAGGGGATATATAACAAGTTCTCTGAAATCATTATGCCATAGAAATTACTGTATTTTGTATAAATTTAGTAGGAACAGAGCCCTGAAGGGAAAAACTTTTCCGTTAGTGTGGATAAAGGAAACCAGGTTAATGTTACTATTGTCCTTTTGTTCATGTGTACGACCAGTGATGAATTCAGAGAAGGCATACAGCATTTTGTTCCAATCTTTGTGCATATGTTCACTTAATGCTCAAACAACTTCATTTTAAACAGATTTTTATCAGACTTCACACACTATAACTTTCTAATAATTAAAAAGGACCACTTACTTATAGTAAATTGTGGTCAGTCTTGTGGCTTCATTTCTCATGGGTTTTTGATAAAACATCATACACTTATGAGCAAGTCTTTGGTATCATAAAATATTTGTTACGTCTGGGATAACTATTTTTGATCATTTAAAACAAGGTGAAACACCATGATGTGGTAGATTTCACATCATATAATGATGTTGCATCCTGTCCAGTGAAGGAGAAGATAGTTCTGTTTTGAATGATGGAGAAAATACAGCTGTTGATATAGAGTTCCTGTTCATTTGGAAATACATTTCCTTCTTAAGTACATTTTTTGTCAAATTCATGAAAAATTACTTTCTATTCAAATAATATGTTACTCCAGTTTTAGGCCATCAAAAAAGTTTTCTTTACAAAAATAATTAGTGGGCATAAGAGGACACTATTTTTGCAATCAAAAATATTTTTTGGTTCTAATAGATGAAGATGGATTTTTTTTCAATATTGCAACTGAATAATTAATATCTATAAAGATGTTCAAAATAAGGTTTTTAAAGAATTTTTATCTCTTGATAATGTTTTTATACACCACTTGCAATTATGGTGTCCTGCGTTACATCTAGTTCAGAATCCAAGTCTTTTTTACATCCCAGACATATTTAAAAAAAAAAAAAAAAAATAGATACACCTGTCATACACTTTTAATTTTCAATGCATTTTAATGTTAAAATAATGTCATGTAAAGTTGCTTTACATAGAGTATTGTCTCTGCGCATTTCATCATCAAAATAGTAAATCTATTGCAAATTGGAAAGGCAACGACACTAAATTGTGTTTGGTGTCCTGTGAGTCAAAGATACAACTAGCCCATATAATATACCACATGCTTCTTATCCATCATCTGTTAAATGTGAAAAGGTCTTTCTTGTATATTCTATCATTTCAAACATTTTCAATGGTTGGCCTACATATTCATCTAATGTCATGGACGTAACATTCGACTCGCATCACTGCCCCTCCATTATATTGGTCATCTTTTGTAGCCAGAAACTGATCTGTGATACGTGCCACTAACATGATGTCATAAAACATACATACCAGCATACTCGTAATAAGGGATGAAGTAGCTGTAGTTTCAATGTCAAGGCTGTAACATATGATACAATTTACACAAGTGATTTGAATTCTTTAAAACATGTTCAGAGGTTTTTCACTTATGTTCACTATTATCAGGACACCAACCTCTCTCTGAGGATATCTTTGGACGTAGCATTTTGGCCCTGAAATGTTATGTCCAGGTGCTAATGTTTTCAAAATGTTGTAATAGATATTAATGTACATTTCTGAAAAGTAAATACATTTCACCAATCTTTCCAATTTTAATCCATTCACCTTGGATTATAACATCAAACAAAACAGATATGTTAACATTTATTTTTACTTGTGAAAAGACCTCTTGACTATCGACACCAAAAAAGTGTCCATACCAAATGAGACCTAAATAGAAATTGAAATTATGATTTAAATACTTCATAAAATTACACAATGTTTTGGTAGTTATATCCTTGTTTGAGGAACTTTCAATTGATATAACTGATGTTTCATCCAGCAAACAAGATTTGGAGATATTACCATTGAAACTAATTGCTGTCAACTACTTATCATAAATCGAACGTTGTTGAATTTCAAGGAAATTTGTTATGCAAATGTATCCATAAATATCTTTACGTCTGTGGGGTTATAGTTTCAGGGACATAGATTATGGAAGTATTTCAGTAAATATTTGCTTCATATTCACATTGAATAAGATTTCACTTCAAAAGATTTCACCGAATCATCACACTTTGTTAAGGTCTAGGCAAGCCTACTTATCAAGGCTAGATTACCATTACATGGCTCTCTCATTTTCAGGCATGTTGACACAAAGTCCTCGGATAAGACTGCTGTAGCATCATTCTCATTACCTGATGAACCAGTGATGTTTGATATCTCTAGAGAAACAAGACCTGAGCAGGTAAGCATGTACCAAGTTGTCTGATAATCATCAGATGGTGGGTTTTTTTAAAATTAAGTTTCCATTTGTTTGGTTTGTCCATTCTTCCATCATTCTGTCTGTCCATTCCTCTTTTGTCTGTCTGTCCGTTCCTCTTTTGTCTGTCTGTCCGTTCCTTTGTTCTCTGTCTGTCCTTTCCTTTGTTGTCTGTCTGTTCTTCATCCTTAAATGGTTCTTGTTACTGCTATTTATTGAAAATAATTTATTGGATATTTCTCAAATGTATTTGTAAGTTTGCCACAGTTTCTGCCTGTTTTATTTTGAGACTAATCAGAAAAAAACAAAATGGCTTACAGTCTACTATCATGCTCTTCACCTTTAAAAGTTGTGAACACTTTTTCTTAAGGATTCTTACCACAATTTCTCGAGAGGTAGATCTTTCTAAAATTTTAGTATGTATGTGCATGATAATCCCTTTGTGGTCCCAACAAATAAGCTGAGTGGGGTAAAATTCATCCAGGTTGGAAATAAACATTATTTTTATTGTGTAGGGTAAAGGTTGTAATGTATTGTCTCCTTTATTTCCAGAGTTTGTTATTAACGGTTGTAACTAAAGCTGGACAGACCCTTGTGTTTGAGCACACACTTAATGGGTGAGTATACACATGTCTGTGGCAACACTGGAAATTAACACATCAGCCCCTCTGTCCTGAATTTGTCAATATTGTGGAGTTTTCTGTGTCCTCAGTTTTGTTCATGTCTGGAAATAAATGGCTATGCTACTTTAAGAAGTTTCATGTGATTGTCATGATGTTGGCTCAAAGTGTTGGACACTTATTCATCAAAAGTATCCTCATCTGGAGAAAGGCTTTGTTTTCAGCTCACCATCATCAGATTTAAATCATGATTTGTCAGTCAGTTATACAGAGTCAACTTTGGATTTCAACATTATGTGTTCAGGGGGTAGGCAGTATACTGGAATCACCATGTCTGAATGTCATCTACAAGTATTTTCCAGAGAACTCCTCCTAAAAGTGATCTGATTCCAATGTAATTTTGTATCAAGATATGCATGTAACTTTTGGTTTTTTTTTCTCTTGAATTTTGTGTTGTCGTGGTAACTTGTAACAGGTTTTTGTGTCACCTGCAGAGCTGGCGGTCACTTGGGGATCACTTTGTCCGTGGTTATGCTTTGAGTTATCAAAATGAAATTTAGTATATGGCTTCTTGTTGGAAGGGTACAGATTAAGTTTGATTTCCGGCTGTCTGTGACCCTTCTTGGCAGAGTAATGCCCCTTTGAACTTGGAAAATAATCTGGGAATATTGTTTTCCGGACTTTTTTGGGTTATCCTTTTGAGTTATTGAAATGAAATTTGGTATATGAGTTCTTGGTCAAAAGTTACGCACTGAGTTCGCTTCTTGGCAGTCTGTAACCCTTCTTGGCAGTGATATGTCCCTATGAACTTGGAAAATTTCTCAGGAATATTGCTTCGTGCAGTTTTCCGTTTATGCTTTGAGTTATAGAAATGAAATTTGGTATTGCAAATTTATGGTTGATGTTGCATATCCAGATCAATTTCTTGGTGGCCATGACACTTTATGCAGGTGACACATACAATTCTGAGGAACTCTTGTTTATAAAGGGCCATTACTCCTTGGTCATTCAACAGATTTTATTATTTAACTACGGTCAGATGGTATAACTGATTAAAATGTATAGTAGGATACATAAGGTGTTTTAGAAACAGTTACTATGGCAGCACAATCCTAACCTCTGATTTGTAAAACTTAAGATATTATCCAATTTTGATCGAATTTGGTATAAGGGGTGCCAAATATTACTATATGTATTGCCATGACAACCATGTGAACTATTAAAGGTTAATATGTGAGTTAATTAAAAAATTCAAAATTGTGTCAGTTAGACGTGTCAGGTTTTTAATCTTAATTTACATGCTAGAATGAGACAAGCTTGATTTATTACTGGCATCTATCAATCAGTGGGCAGTTATGTATTGACCGGGAGCCAGAGACGTACTGTTGTTACTTAATCTACTACACAGGTCTTATATAATTCCCTAATTATATAAGTAATTACCTGAGCCCTATCTATGCAGTTTGCATGAAGGTTCATGTATCTTGTGGAAAACAATCTAATCTACGACCATTCCTGTGTATAAGTCTATGTTAATAACTCCTGTATTACTCCATCTTTGTTAGCCTGTTTCATGACACTTTAGTATAAATAGACCTTTCTTGGTCTACCAGAAGAAAAGAGCGAAAGCTAGTCAGGAGAGAGGCTAGTCTCAATTAGCGGGACACCCGCTCGTGTGGGCTTTAGCCAGAGCAAGAACATCTCTGAATTTAAACTTTGATATGGTAAAGGATGGTTATTGTATATAGTTAACGTGTATATTGTAAATAAATCCATACAGACAAAGTGGCCTCTGATTGGTTGAAATTTATGAAAATGATCGATATACAGTATTCACTTGTACTCATCTGATCCTTGTTCAGATGCTCAGGTGCTCATCAAATCTGACATTAGTCGGTGCTCTTGTTCTCATCAAACTGACCCTTGTCTGTGTGGTGTGTTAACAAACCTGTCCATTTCCCAGGTGCTCTGGTGCTACATATTGTCAAACCTGACCTTTTCTAAGTTATCCCGATAAGATATCAGAATAAAACTTCGATTTGAATTTTATTGACAGGAAGTTACAACAACCAGTTAGACCAAAGGTTACCATACAGGTGGCCACTCCAGGTGCTAAGGAGGAAATCCCTAGACCAATCCCTGTTCTGGCTGTACATATCTGTGATGACAAAAGCGATAATATTTTATTGGTTTATGGAAATTTTTTAAAACCAGTGTTTGAAAAATTGGTAAGTAACTTTGATGAAATCATCCTATGTAAGTTATAGGCAGGTTCAGTGTACTTGCAACATTTTGATTTTTATGAGATATTTAAGATGGCTATCATTGGCTTTTTTCTATTTTGACTTTTGGAGTTGATCACTATTTCTCAAAAATTGCAAAAAGGTATTTCCATCTGGTCCTGAGGATTTATTAGCAAAGCAGTGATGCAGTGTCTGTTGTCCATCCGTCCATTTATTGATCAATCAACTCTTTATAATGCAACTTATCATGAATGCAAGCTTGATTTTTGACCAAAATTGGTCTGAAGCATAATTTGGTAAAAGGAAAACAAATGATTGTGTGACATTCTTTTGGGCAGTAAGGCAGGGCCCAAAATTCATCTTCTATTTGAATAAAGAAATACTGAGCAAATTTGGTTTTGATGTATCCATGTTTTGACATGAAATAATTTTGCAAATATGTCAATATATTTGTGATATCAACACTGATTCTATTTTAAACTTTGCATGAAATTTTCATAGTCGCATAAAGCAGGTATTTAATTGAGTCTCCTATAGTGTGCAGTAAGCATGTTTTATTAAGTACAACTTACAGAGTTTATAGTTGTTCAATATGTAATAAATTGCTAACACACTGTTTTGCTTGATTTTGTAAAAGAAGAAATATTCCATTGATTACAGCCTTACAAGAACACAGATGCTGACATTTGTTTGATACGACAGGATAAATCAAGGGGATCAATCCAAGTTGAGGAGTCTACTGTTTCTAAGGTAGGTATAGCTGACAACTTATAGCAAGGGGTCTACTGTTTCTAAGGTAGGTATAGCTGTCAACTTATAGCAAGGGGTCTACTGTTTCTAAGGTAGGTATAGCTGACAACTTATAGCAAGGGGTCTACTGTTTCTAAGGTAGGTATAGCTGTCAACTTATAGCAAGGGGTCTACTGTTTCTAAGGTAGGTATAGCTGTCAACTTATAGCAAGGGGTCTACTGTTTTAGAGATAAATGAAGAAAGTCACTTACCATGAAAGATCCCACTATTTCTTAAGTCAAATAGTTCTAATTGTAATGGAGACTGTAACTTAAGTCCCCTAAACGACCCCTGCTAGTGGGAAGTAATGCTGATTGATGTAGGAAATAATTCTAATTGATGGTTAAGCCCCTCTACACTAGAGCAGGAGACCTGACCTCTGTTGCACATACTCCAGACCAGGTAACTCAGGTGACTGTTAAGGTCCTTGGGCTTCTTGTATTTGATAAATAAGATCAAGAGTGAAGAGGTTGAAAAATCAGATTTGATATAAGAACTTAATTATCATACAATGGTGGGCTTGCGGATCTCCTGTTTCATTTCAAATATGAAATATTTTGAATTTCAGAAATGATTTGAATTCCATAGTGATATTTAATCAATGATAAAAGAAAGGATAACAGTCTAGAACATTTTGCTTTCTATTGAACAGATTAAGACACCTGCTGTATCGAGAGACATGACAGTTCTGGTACCAGAACTGATGGCACCAAGTGTACCATCAATTACCGCCACAGGCAAGCGACACAAAAGAAAGACCTCTACATCTGAGGTGGGTAGTCTTCCAGATGTAATTTTCAATATTCACCCTGTTTGATATCTTGCGTATCCCAGACGGTAATGTATGTTGTTGTATGTACAAATTCTAGTAAATCCATGACGTCTTGGATATGGAAGATAGTGTTGTTTTGCCATGACTGGTCTTCTTTTAACTGACTCAGAATGATACCAGGTGCAATTAAGTACAGTTCATCAATGTTTAAGTAAGGATAAACCAAATTAAGTGCAATAAAACAAATTAAGTACAGTCATCAATATTTAAATAAGGATAAAACAAATTAATGTTTAATGTTTAAATAAGGATAAACCAAATTAAGTACAGTTCATCAATGTTTAAATAAGGATTAACCAAATTAAGTACAGTTCATCAATGTTTAAATAAGGATAAAACAAATGTATCTTCTGGTCATTAGTGTTTAACCTGATCTAGTTATGGAGGAATGCATTATCATAAATCAACCATATTTGATGCAATCCCAAAAGATGACTAATACGCATGTATACATATCTAGCATAACTCCGATTAACCAATAAGCTAAGATATGACAGGAGAAGGGCTTGAGACAATAGTTCTCCCCTCAGAAAGTTGAAAACTCTTAAGATTTCTTTGGTAGACTGAGGTAACCTTATCGTACAGCAACCAATGAAAAATCAAGCTAAAAAAAGCAGTCTTTTAGAATGGAAGGATCAAAGATATTCAAGGTCACAGGGGTCAGATTTTTAAAACCTTTAAATGACTTCTCATTAACTGAGAGGCTTTGAGGCATTTGGCTGGTATGTTACTGACAGGAAGCCCAACAAAGTTTGCAAAAAGAAATAACCTTGACCTATATCCAAGGTCACAAGGGTCAAATTTATTATAAGAAACAAGTTATTCTCATGAACTAAAAAGTCGAAAGGATGATATTTGGCTGGTATGTTCCTATGATGAAGAGAGCCAAAATTTGCCAAAGGGCATGGCCTGGACCTCAAATATGTCAAAAAATTTAAACAACTTCGCATTAACTGAAAGGCTTAGAGGCATGCTATTTGGATGGTATATGTTTACCAGGTGAGCACTACAGGCCCAACCCCCAGGGGTCTAACAGGAGGGGTCTAAAAGGGTCAAATTGATTGAAACTTCAAAACAAAATTCTTAAATCCCTTGTATGGTAAAATCAAATACTCCTCATGGTTGAAAAGGCTTTCAGAGGCTTAACCAAAATTTTAAATTTCATGACTTCGTATTTCCCACAGAGGAGGGGAAACTTTACTATAGTTTATATAGGAAAAATGATATTTCTGAGCATAATTATGTTTTTTTCTTTCAGAAATAGTTCAAACTGGGTTAGAATTGTTAGTACAAGATGACAGTTAAATGAGACGCACATATAGACCTTATCTGACTCCCACAGGGCTCATTCGTGGGGCCAAAAATTGACTGAAATTTAAAGAATCTTCTCAATATGCAGTTAATTAAAAACAAATACAGTCGAACTCAGTTATATTGAAATCCTCGTGAAATGAAAAAATAATTCAAATTAACCAATTATGGCCTTTTCTAGCACCCAGGCCTAACACACATTAATGATGACACAAAGCGTATATATATATACATATACATTCTTTCTACAATTTAATAATATTTCATTAGAGACAGCTTAGTAGTCTATCTACATAGAACAATGAGAATATTTATTATAAAGCATTGGTAGATCACTTGGCAGAGAAGTCATTGTAAAACACCTTTTCGCTCTTCCTTATACAAATGGTAAGGAAAGGTAACCAACAAAGTGTTATTGTTCGAACTTGTCAAAACTTCAATATGGCAGCCAGGGAGGCCATTTTGTGACAAGATTGTGCAATCATGGTATTCCTGTGCAGCACTGTTTTCAATGTTCTTCTCAAGTTTTACTTGTTGAATTGATCTCAAACTTTAATGATTATAATAATTATATATGGAACAGGATTTCACGTTTGCAGAAATATTTTGATGAACCAACATAATAAGCTCTTTAAGCTGTCAAATAGTTGAGCAACTAAGGCCTATTTGGCCACTTTCATATATAGGTCTTTATAGTGAGATGACCATTAAGGCCCATGGGCTTCTTGTTATTTAAGATGACGATAGAAGCACGCCTGAATGCCATAGGTATGGGGGCTTCAAAGGCAGAAAAGGCAATGAAGACTCCGCCTAAAACTGATGGATTAGCAAGACTTCTTGCACAAGGATTACTGAGCAAAGATCACAAGATCATCAATGTAAGTTTCTACAAATTGGTTGTCATTAAGTTTTTGCAAAATAGTTGTCTGTATGTTTCTTCAAATTGGGTGTCTGTATATGTCTACAATTTGTTCATCTGTAAGTTTCTACAAATTGATTATCTGTAAGTTTCTACAAATTGATTATCTGTAAGTTTCTACAAATTGATTATCTGTAAGTTTCTACAAATTGATTATCTGTAAGTTTCTACAAATTGATTATCTGTAAGTTTCTACAAATTGATTATCTGTAAGTTTCTACAAATTGATTATCTGTAAGTTTCTACAAATTGATCATCTGTAAGTTGTTTCTTTTTTCTGTAAGTTTCTACAAATCATTTATCAATAAGTTTTGACAACGAGCACTTTGATCCCTCTAGTTCTGCTTATACTCTTTGGTAATTTTGATTCCTCTTGATACACAGAATGTGCTGAACCAGAATGATTTGGTGATAGAGAACACTGTAAAGAGGTTGCCACTTAGATTCATCATCCCTTTGGTACAGCACCTCACTATACTGATGCAAGGGCGTGCTGCAGGGTAAGCACAAGATAATATAGAGTCATAGGCTCATCCAAAAATAAATGTGCATTTCATTACAAAAACTGAATGTGCATTATATGATCTGTTTTTGTGTGACAATATTGTAAATATAACAGCAGATCCATGATGCACATTGACATTTGCATATTGCCACAAATAAAATGATTGATCTGTTATCATGTACATGGTTGTAAGTTGTCAAATTTTGGTACGGTTGCCACCCTTGTTTTTCTACTGAAATTGGCATAGACCAAAGTGGCGAGATAATGAGGGTACACCATGTGGCAGTGTAACTGCCCTGACTGCCGTGTGGCAGTGTTACTGCCCTGACTGCCGTGTGGCATGTGTAACTGCCCTGACTACCACGTGGCATGTGTAACTGCCCTGACTACCACGTGGCATGTGTAACTGCGCTGACTACCATGTGGCATGTGTAACTGCCCTGACTACCATGTGGCATGTGTTACTGCCCTGACTACCTGTGCTACATGTCCATAAATTAATACATGGTTTCTTATATCCTGTGGAGCAAAAGTGCCTGATGACCTCAACCTGACCTCCTTTTGAGAATGTTTGCTGCAACAAAGTGATTCATGTAGGGATAATTTGCTTGAGATATGTTCTGTGAAATTTCTAGTCATTTTATTCACTCTAGTTCAGAAAATTGTAGTGTAGAAGATGCAGGTATAGGTCATCTTGCGAGCCTTAGCTAGAGAGAATTTCCCATTAATCAAAAGGTAGATTGTCTTTCTTGAGATAAAAGGTTCACTAGTTTGAACCCTGACAGGTCCAGCATGTTTTTAGGTCATCTGAGTAGTTGAGAAATTTATTTTAAGCCTATTTGGCCTCTTTCATATGTAGGTATTTATAGTCAGATGACAGTTAAGGCCTGATGAAGATGAGGATTTGCTTTTTGGAGCTGTTCCAATGTAATGCCTGATGTCATCAAAGTAAAAATTATCTGAATCATCATCTGTTATTGACAAAGGAGATGATATGTTGCCTGTTGTGTTCATATTTTCTGGTCTTTTTTCAGTTCCCACAAGCTAATCAAGTGGATTAAGAATATTCTTGTAATTCACACATCATATTTGATGACGGTAAGTTTCTTTCATTTAATTCTTTTGCCATTGACTTTTGTATGGCATTTTGCATCATAAACTTTTCAAATACATTCTATGGCCAAAGTTGATTCAGAATTATAAAATTGTAAATGACATGTTTCTCACCCCAAAAGGACCTGAGTGACGGGCCCATAAGGGTCAGATTGATTGCAACTTCAAAAATCTTCTGCTCAATACTCATGTATGGTTGAATCAAATACTTTTCATGGATAGATAAGATGCTTTACTAAAATTGTAAATTTCATGACCCCAGGGTCCCACATTTCCCCGTGTTGAGGGGGGGATGATTTACTATAGATTATAAAATTAAATCTTATTTTTGAGCATAATTTGTTCATCTATAAGAGGTATGAACATGAAACTTCGTAGGTAGATAGATCTCAATGAGAAGGAGGGCAGTGCAAAAAATCATAACTCTATTATTGCCGTTCGGCTGTCACAGGTATAAAATTTTTGGTCTGGGTACCCAAATTTTAATACCTGATCTGTACCCAGCTACCTGACTTTTATCTGATGTTATAATAAAACATATCATTACTTTGTTGGAAAGGGCTTGTAACTTCGAGGAACAAATAAAAAATCAACCATATATGAACACAATGCTTCACTGACAATAATATTATATCCCCCCCAATTTTGCAGGGGATATTCAAATGGGTTCCGTCCATCTGTCCTTCCGTCTTTCCTTATGTCCAAATCCTGCTTTCCGCATAATATCTTTTGAGGGACTGGATCTTTTTGTATGAAGGACTGATAAAAGTTTTAGGAAATTTGCTCTGTAGACTTTCCGCACTCTAACTGAATGCTTTTGCACCCATTATAGTTTGAAGGAGCAAATGAATTATGATGAGACATGCTTGATAGATTTGTTACCTTAATCCCTTGTTCAAGTTTGATTATCTCATTCAAATCACATGACATAATCTCTCGGGAATCCTGGTGTGTTATCCATGTTAACAGAGTAAAGAACAGTACACATATCTGCCATGTATACACCTGGTTGACATTTCCAGCAACAAAATGTGTTGTGAGCAAACAAATGTACAACAATGTTGAATGTGGAAATGTAACAAATAGATTAAGTGTCATCCTCAGAGTAGTAAAACAAATGAGTGAGATATTGTATTACTTTAACCATCTGAAATGTTAACACAGACGGGAGACAGAATGTTTTCTATTTTGATGGGTACCTGGGTACGCATTTTTGGACCCTTTATTTCTCAAACTCGACCTGTATACGGCTACTCATTACAGCCTTATTTTTCAAACTTGCATTTTGTCCCATTTGGGGCACATAACCTGTCTCTGACTGACCACCAGGGGCTGATGGGCAGGACCAAAAATGGGCCAAATGGACTGAAATTTTGAAGATGTTCTACTGTTCTTGGATTGAAGATTTCATATAGGAAAATTCAAATCTTGAGTGTACACGTAATTTGTTTTAATTCTAACTTGGTTAGAAGCCTGAGTATGGGACAGCAGTTAATGTATTCACAATTTACATTTGCATTATATGAACAATATATAGTTCAAGGTAAATTATAACAAAATCATTTCTATGATGTGTCATAAGAAGCATTGTGACTAAAGTGACAGTTAAGGTCATTTCGACTCTCTGCTTTTTTTTTTACATTTGAAATTCTTTGTTAAATGATTGAATTGCTGAATTACCCAGGTGATCGATGCAGGCTCCTTGGGCCTCTTGTATTTTCCAGTGTTTGTGTTGTTCCCAGAAAAAGTATAGGATCTTTATCCTTTTTCTTATTTGCAGTTCCCTGAAGTGGTGGAGGTCTTCAGCTCTCTGTATCAGCTAATGGATGCAAGGACTGCTGCCTTCAGTCGCCTCTCTAAACTACAGGGCAAACTTGACCTCATTCTGTCGCAGGTATGTCATCTAATTATTTAGATACAGTACAGCTTAAGACATGTTTTAACCCTCGCACTAATTACAGACATCATGAATTTAGAGCCTCACTGCTTGTGACTTCAGTCATCAGTACATCCTCAGTAGATGGGTTCTAATTTGTTTCGCATGATGAGTGTGTAATTTGGTATGGTAAGCATATAGGACTGCAGAATGGCACCTAAGGAGCTATTAATGAGTGCAGAAACCTAGATATATTGTGTATGTAGGATGTAAGATTCAAATGAAGATTGAGTTTCATTGAAGAAATGTTTGCTGTTTCAATTCATTGCAGACATTTTTATTGACATTCTTAGGTCATGTGACCCAAAAGGTTTTAATGATATTGAAGTCCTGCTTTCCTTTATAGATGTCCAATATTATATATAGAAAACATATATAGGTGCCAAATAAATTTGACCATGACATACTTAGTTGGTGAAAATAATATCAATATCTGTTTGCAAAGAACACTGAATGCCAGGTGAGTTATGCCAAGCCATAGGGTTTTATGTTTGTTGGAGGTAACTTTGAGGCACCAGTATGGAATAGTTGTTGTTGTAAACTGCTTTCACCAAAACTCTTTTAAACTGTGTTTGTGTAACAGATTACTACACAAGAGCAACATGAAGAGGAGACCTCGATAGATCAGCCACCACTGCTGATGTACCAGGAGGGTAAGTTTCTCCTGTGATATAGGCTAAATTTCTGTCCATAAATAATTTTAACTCCCCTGAGACAAAGTCTCATGGCGACCTATTGCTATCACCTTCATCTGGCGTTGTGTGTCGTGTGTCAGTAAACAATTTGTTATTTTCAACTTCTTCTCAATGACTCCTCATCCAATTTCAGTGAAATTTTGCAGAAACCTTCCCTGGCCTAAGATGAACCAAAATGATCAATTATATAGTCCCTACCCAACATGGGCCTGAAGGGTGGGGTCAGAAGGGGTCAAATTGACTCCAATTTCAAAATTCTTCTCAACACCAAGATATTAAATACTCATCATGAATGGAAGCATCTTAGGTTGTTTCACCAAAATTGTAAATTTCATTGCTCCAGGGTAGTTTATATAGGAAAAATCAATTTTTGAGCATAATTTGTTTAATTTCTATTGGAAATTTTTCAAACTTGATTGGAAATATAAGTTAAGGATGACAGCTTGCTGGTATACTCATATTGATCCTGGCTGACCCCAAAGGGCCAGAGGGACAGGGCCACAAATTTACTCAGATTTGAAAAAGTCTTCTCAAAACCCGGATATGGTAGAATCAAGTGCTCAAGCATCTTGAGGTGCTTTATCAAAGTGGATGTCACATTTCTTCCTGGGGAGAAAGTTTTTTTTAAACTTTACTATTATTTTCAAAGAAAAATTGCATTTTTAGTTCATCTGACCTAAGGGTTTTTTTTTAAACTTTACTATTATTTTCGAAGAAAAATTGCATTTTTAGTTCATCTGACCTAAAGGGTCATGATGACCTATAGCCATGGTGTTTCGGCTGTCATCGTGTGCCGTCTGCTGTACATAAACATATGACATTTTTATACTTCTTTTCTAGTTCCAATGGTGCCATTGAGCTAAAAATTAGTGGGAATGTTAAGGAAAGGTAGCCAACAAAGAGTCATTATTTTTCGACCTCGTCAAAAGCTCGAAATGGCAGCCAGGGAGGCCATTTTGTGACATGATTTAGCAATCATGGTTTTCCTGTGAATTACCTTTTTCAAAGTTCATCTCATGTTTCACTAGTGGAATTGAGCTCAAACTTTACTGTCAAAAAATAGGTAACACTTGTTACAGTTACCTACTTCTCACCAAAACTACCATCTGCATCATGGAAAACATATTTTTAGTAAGATTTCATTCAAATTGGAAAAAATAACCCTTCTACACGCTTAAAGTTTTTGTGGTCAGATGACCGTTAAGGGCCATGGGCCTCTTGTTGAACATAATGTTTGTTATATCCCACTGGAAACAGTGTTATGATCAAGTACCAATATTGGACTATACCATCAACATTACTTACTAGATTCTATCTTTCACACCGAGTAATACATATCATAACCTATGTTGTGATCCAATGTATCCAAATTATTGTTCATGGTTTTTCCTGTCCACGTTGTTTCTGTCTTTGTGCCCATAGTGTCCCTACCAATTTTAACTTTGTATTTATTTTATGTTCTATGTATATGATGTAATTTATGTAATATTTGTGTCTCGATAAAGGGGCAGGTTACCATGAAAATTTGACAATTTGTTTGTCCGGACTGTTACTATGACTTCATTGATATTATATCTATCCTAGTAATATGCATGCAAAGAATATTTGTTTGTTAGGATCCAATACCAATATTGGACCATACCGTCGATATTACTTACTAGATTCTATATATATATATATATATTTCTGTTCCAGATTCATCTGATGACAATGATATGGTGTTAGAAGTAAACAGCCAGTCTGACTCAGATGTAAGTACAGCTTCACCAAAGGCCTAGAACTAGGATATTGCTCCTCCCTTATGGGGACCTTCATATACAATGATCTATCTAGTACTTAGCATAGAATACAGGCCCAATAGACCTCTCAGTTGTTGCAGTGAGTTAATTGAACGTAGAGGTCTATCTTTAAAATCTTATTTTGTGACATGGAGATGTCACCAAGCCTTGATATTGCCAGTCCCATAACCTTAGGTCAAGTATTTAACAGGCAATCGACTTTGTGCTGGGTTTTAGACGATAGAATTTAGAAATCTGAAATGCTTGTGTTAGATATTGATTTACAGCCATATTAAAGTTTAAAGTATATGAAATTCCAGAGAAAGGGACTGTCTGATTAATGTGTATACATGAGGACCAAGGAAACCACAGCTTGTGATGAAAGATGAGCTGGTGTTTTGCATATATAGTGTGCAATTTTTGTTGGAAGACGGGTAGCCATCATGAATTTTTTCAATGATGTTTATTATCACTATTTCATGAAAAGCAATTGATTGATCTCTTAAATTTCATATGTAGATTCCCCTTGGTCTCTAGTTGTGCCCATTTAATTTAAGGACTTGTCAGAAAAACAATATGGTCGACAGGTGGTCACCTTGGATTTTGACTTTGCAAGTTTGTTATCACTAGTTTTTTTAGAAGTGCTCAATGGATCTATTTCAAGTTTCCTATTTAGGTTTCTCTTTGTCCCTAGTTATGCTCATTGGATTTTGGAACTGATCAGTAAAACAGAATGACTGACAATAGGCCATCTTGGATTTCGCTTAGTAAAGTTTGTTATTCCTGTTTCTCAAAAAGCACTGTATGGATCTCTCTCAGATTTCACATGTACGTTTGCCATTGTCCTTTGTTTTGCCCATTTGATTCTTGGGTGAAGGGGAATCAATCTTGTATACAGGTTAGGTCTTGGCCTCCTGGGGCAGGTCTTAAAAGGGGAAATAGGGCAAATTCTTTAAAATCCTATTTCTCCTGTAGGAATGATTGGATTTTGGCCAAATTCAGTTTGAAGCCTTGGGGAAGTGGAATCAAATTGGTATAATCAGAGTGTCTCGGCTTGGTATAATCAGAGTGTCTCGGCTTGGTATAATCAGAGGGTCTCGGCTCCCGTGGTGGGAGGTATGTGTCATATAGGGGGAAGAGAGCAAATCTTTAAAAAGCCTATGTCTTCTGTAGGAATCATTGAATTTTGCCCAAATTTGGTCTGTTGCATCCTTGGGTAAATTGAAATAAGTTTTTCAAAATGGTGAACCTAGGCCCTTGAAAAGGATGGGAGGGCAATACTCATTAGAGGGGAAATAGAGTAAATTCTTTTAAATTCTTTGTAGGAATCGAAGGACCCTGTCCTATTTTGTTTGAAGCAAGGATTGCTTTGCTTACCCCCTGACAGAGGGATGGACCCTGAATGAGAAAACATAGTGTGTGTTGCATGCTTAGTGCTTAAATATTTAGGATATCTGTTCCTGTAGTTCCTATAGTTTAGATAAATTTCAGCCATACAGGCCCTTTGGTTCTCTTGTTACCTCTACAGGAATATTTAACAGAAGTCTGCCTCATTCATGCGACAGGTTTTTATTTTTACATGAAAAGTTAACAGAAACATGCCTCATTCATCTGTTTTTTTACTTTTACAGGATAACCTTGACTTGTTTGACCTTGATGAACAAGAAACTGCTGGTGAAGATGGACTGAAGAATGGTGGGGATGATATGGAGACAGATGGCTAACATTACAATGACTTCAAATAATTAGTGAAGTGAACTTATCAAGCATTAACTGTGAAACAGTGTTATATGATTGACATCTTTAGAAGAACTACACTGTTTAGCTAATATTTTTACAGGCATTAAACTACTCAATCTAAGGAACGTTTAAAGCATTTCTCTAATCTAAGCATGTTTATGATGGATTAGTAGAACAAACTCTTGTCCACAAGAAAGTGGCAGAATCATATGAGCTTTGTCTCTAGCATAATTTAATGTACAAAACAGCTATAGATTCTAGACTGATTTTTCATGTCAGTGCATTCCATGTCAATGATATGCAAGGAACCACACTCTTGAGGTAGCCAGATAATTTCAAATGAAGATACAGAACGAGCACATTGTCTTCTCAACATGTCAAATGAGCAGGTCATGTCAAATGTGGGGTTTAGTAATGAACCCTATTGTCTGCCAAAGCTTGATGAATGTTTCACCAATGGCCAGCAGGTTAACATATAAGGACATAATTTGTGTGGTAAGTTGGAAGTAAATGAATCTAAACATTGTATACATCGTAAACATCTTGTGTACGATATACCTAGTGAGTTATTACATATCCATATCTTTATATCACAACATCAAATTTTCATTTTGTTGGGCTTTTAAGCTTACTCTTTACAGTTTTTGTAAAAAATATGAACTTCTTAAATGATTAAGTTCATTTATTTATATAATGAGGTGGGTTGAATAAATCAAGCACAGCTGCCTATCCATTGATGGTGCATTTATTTACATACAGTGAAACCCACGTAATATCATGTTCTATCTGTCAGAGGAAAATGTGACGATAAGTGGAATGTGACATTAACAGTTGACACATTTTTCAGGGCGTCTAAACTCGAAAGATGTGCCAAACTGACTTGTTTCTAACAGAAATTGTTTGAAGACAATTGTTTTCCTGACAAGAACAGTGATTTTCCTGGACTTTTGTTTGTTTTTTCTTTAAAATATCTGAACTGCCATCATAAGTTATCATTAACAATCATGACAATTCATATTCAGTCATATTCAGTTTACACATCAGATTGGTAGTGACACTACCGTGTCATCAGCTGATGTTTTGCAGTATAATTATCACCATTATTGTATAGACTCCATAATGGTGGAACGTTGTAAAGTTGGTATATACCATATGTATCTCTGCAACTTATATAAAATATTTTGTATAGATCACAACTTTATACTTGCCAGAAGGTTACATGATTGGTAAGAAGTGTGGGGGTGAACACAGTTCAAACTTTTTAAGACTTTTTTTTCTGTATCAGAAGAAAACTGCCTGGGCAAGGCTAGCGACCTGATTCTGAAGGCATGGTAGATGTATGTATGCTGTCATTGCTTACACTTTTATTTCAATGTATTTTAAACAAGAAATAAATAACATAGTTTTGAAAGGTTTGTCTTTTTATCTCATGCCTTGCGAATTCAGATTTTTTTTTTCATTTGAAAGACATAACCACAACATAACACCTGAAAATCTCAATCATGATATTACACCTGAACATCATGACCATGACATTACACCTGAACATCATGACCATGACATTACACCTGAACATCATGACCATGACATTACACCTGAACATCATGACCATGACATTACACCTGAACATCATGACCATGACATTACACCTTAAAGTCATGACCTTGACATTACACCTGAACATCATGACCATGACATTACACCTTAAAGTCATGACCATGACATTACACCTGAACATCATGACCATGACTTTACACCTGAACATCATGACCATGACATTACACCTGAACATCATGACCATGACATTACACCTTAAAGTCATGACCTTGACATTCACACCTGAACATCACAAACCATAACTTTACGCATGTCACACTCGATTCTACATTACACCAAAAAGTCATGCTCACATGATATTACACCTGAAAGTCATGACCATGATATTACACCTGAAAGTCATGACCATGCTTTGACAGTTTTTGGTTTATAGTTAACTTCACAGCATATACATGTACCAGCAAACTGCTGGTTTGAAAGTTGGCATGTTCACCCACCATGCAAATATCAAAACCCATGAAACTTTTGCATGAACCCTAGCATGCTCTAACTAATGGTAAATATCGCAAACAATGAACACTAGCATGCTCACACTCGATTCTAAATATCACAAACAATGGACCTTCGCATGCTCACACTCGATTCTAAATATCACAAACAATGGACCTTCGCATGCTCACACTCGATGCTAAATATCACAAACAATGGACCTTAGCATGCTCACACTCGATTCTAAATATCACAAACAATGGACCTTCGTATGCTCACACTCGATTCTAAATATCACAAACAATGGACCTTAGCATGCTCACACTCAATGCTAAATATCACAAACAATGGACCTTCGCATGCTCACACTCAATGCTAAATATAACAACAGAAGGATTCATTGTGTGTTCTCACTCCTCGCTAAATAGTAGGACTGATGAATTATGCATGCTTACATTCAACAATAAATATTACCACCGATGGATCCTTAGCATGCTCACACTGAAAAAAATTGTCAAGTTCATATTTGTATCTGTGCTACTTTTCTGTCCAGTTCACTACCTGGCCACCTGCCTGCTATATTGATTTGGATTAACTGAGTAGGGACAACTAGGCACCAATGAGATTTTACATAAGCAATTGCAAAAAAGATTCAAACAATATTGCAATTTTCATTGCAATAACAAACTTCAAATATCAAATATCAAGATGGCCGTTATTTGGCTATGCTTTTAAAAACTGTCCCAAAATTTATCAAGCACAATCATGGCCCAAGCGGAAGTCTACATACAGAAATTGAGAAAGATAAACTAGGCCCTTTTCAAAAAATAAGGATAATACTTATAAAAGGAAAGATGAACGACATAGGGCAATTTGAACAGACACCATCTGAGGACAGTGAGCTTAATGTACAATGATAGAAAATATCACAACAGACATGATTTTAAAATGTATATTTCTGTAATGGGTTCATCAGGAAGTCATGTCATTGATCACAATAGCTGAATAAAGTTAGGATGATTATTTCATTTGAGGTTTTTCATTTACAACAAATCTCATAGCTGTATGGTGTCATTTAAGTCTGCTCTTTAGATTCCAGTCTTGATTACCAAACTCTCTAAAAAGGATCAACGATGGCTTTCTCCTTTTGTGCAGTGTATCCAATATCACATTTAAAAGACAAATGATTAAATCATAGTTAAGCCACTGTGCATGTGGCTCCAACTGATTGCCCAGTATCTCTTGTTTGCTCCTTCACAGTCTTCTGCATGTCCAGCATCAGATCATTTTTTGTCTGTAGCCATGCCGCCAGTGACTGAGGAAGAAACTCCCAATCGGAGTGTGTCTTTGCCTTGTTTTTGTACACAGTGTGCAGACACAGCCTGGTAACAAAACAGTCTGGTTAAAAACAACTATAGAAAATATCTCATTTCTAAAAAAAGAAAAAAAAAGACAGTGACTAATGAACTCTTGAATAAGCAGCTTTAATGGACACAGAATTTGAACAAAAGGCAATAGTTATGTAATTTAGGGGTTTCAGGCACTAAATTTTGGTTCGTGGAACATCCTCTTAGTATGACTGATATATACACCTGTTTCATTATCCTAGTTTAAATGCAAGCAATTTAAAGATGAGCCTCGGACATGAAATTTAACAAAGGGGCAATAACTCTCTAATTAAGGGTTTGTGGACCTTAACGTTACTACACTGGACATTGTCTTTGTATGTTAAATGTATGCATCAAATTTCATTATACAAGTTTTTATGCAAGCAATTTAGAGATGTGCTCTAGACATGAAATTTGAACAAAGGGCAATAACTCTGTAATTGAGTGGTGGCAAGATCTCAATTTGGCCATCACCTTAGTATGACCAAAGTTTACTCCAAATTTCATGATCCTTGCTTAGCTGTGGCTAGTTATGCTCCAGACACAAATGGACAGACGGACAGACAGTCAAAGTGGCAGTTACATGTCACGTAAAACTTATTGGGGAGCATAGAAAAGCAGGCAGTATTTCTAGTTTCACATGTTGTTAGCCCCTACCATTGTTAGATCTTTGTTTGCTCTTTGAAAGTTGGATCTTTTCTCTGCTCTGTTTTTGCTCTTAATGATCAGTCCCAAAATCAAACAGGCAAAAAGTAGAGACCAAGGGAAACTTACTCACTTAACCTGTCAATTATTTGAACAAATCGGTTGTCCTTCATCCACTTAGGTTATAGAACCAATATCAACAGCTTGGACCTTCTTGTTATTGAGAAGTTGTTAGAAGATTTTAATACATTTGACCCCAATGACTTTAACAGAGAAAATGTCAATCACATGATCAAAATTGGTAATCCTTCATTTCTGCATGCTACAGGACAATTATCAGCACTCGAGCCTTTTGATTATTTAGAACTAGTTATTTTAAAGACTTTTTGTCCCCTGTGACTTGGAAAATGAATCAAGGTCCTCCATTTTATCACGCATGCAATGAGCCCAATATCATCACTTTGGGTCTTTTGGTTATTGAGAAGAAGTCATTTTAAGATTTTGACATACTTGACATCTGTGACCTTGAAAGTGGGTAACAGTCAATGATATGAACAAACTTGGCTACAGGCCCAATATCAGCAGCCTGGACATTTTGGCTACTGTTTGAAGATTTTAACATATTTGGACCCTGTGACCTTGAAAGCAGGTCAAGGTTGTTTATATTTACACATTTTATAGCCCTCTATCCCAGCATCATACAGGCCAAATATCAGCACTATGGGCCTTTTGGTTATTGAGAAGAATTCATTTTAATGGAAAGTTTATGCATGGCTGATGGCACATGAGAACGGATGAAATATTGGTGGTCCTTTGAGTCAGATGACATTAAGTTACCTGAAAGGAGAAAGAACACTTGTCTAGGTAGATAATGTGGATTTAGAAGGAAGGTCAGTAAAAAAAACTTACCTGAGTAGAGAAAGTGGATTGAGTAGAAAGGTTATTACTTCATTACTGTGTTCCTGTGGGTAAACAAAAACAAATGCCAGCACTCATTTGTGTTACAAACATGTCAATCTCTTGAATTCCCTATTACAAATTAAAACAGAAACAATATGATTTAGACTACATACAAAATTTGTGAGAAGGATATCGGTTATATCCACAAATGATATTGAAATACGCCTTTTTACATTCATAATTAACGATGCATTTGTTATCTTTTTACATTTACTGACCGTGGGTTGCTCCACACTAAGTATGTTATTTGTACATCCTCCAAATACGACCACCTCCCCCTCTCTAGTCCTGCAGGCAGTATGCCAGAGGTGAGGGTTGCAGTTTTTGTAGTGGTCAAGCTTTGTCCAGGTCAACTTTACAATGTCCAGTATCCAAGCATCATCTGAAATCAAACAATTTCGAAGGAAAACTAGAAATTGTTGGCCAATATATTTCACTTAAACAAAACATCTTATCTAAAGGTGAATTATTTCAACAAATATAATAGCTTACCCCTTGAATTAATTTATATATTATGTATTTAGACTCCAGAATGTATGTACAATACCAGGTTACTTATATTACATATTTAGACTCCAGAATGTATGTACAATACCAGGTTATTTATATTACATATTTAGACTCCAGAATGTATGTACAATACCAGGTTATTTATATTACATATTTAGACTCCAGAATGTATGTACAATACCAGGTTATTTATATTACATATTTAGACTCCAGAATGTATGTACAATACCAGGTTATTTATATTACATATTTAGACTCCAGAATGTATGTACAATACCAGGTTATTTATATTACATATTTAGACTCCAGAATGTATGTACAATGCCAGGTTATTTATATTACATATTTAGACTCCAGAATGTAAGGTTATTTATATTACATATTTATGTTATTTATATTACAATACCAGGTTATTTATTATATTACATATTACAATACCAGGTTATTTAGACTCCAGAATGTATGTACAATACCAGGTTATTTATATTACATATTTAGACTCCAGAATGTATGTACAATACCAGGTTACTTATATTACATAGACTCCAGAATGTATGTACAATACCAGGTTATTTATATTACATATTTAGACTCCAGAATGTATGTACAATACCAGGTTACTTATATTACATATTTAGACTCCAGAATGTATGTATAATACCAGATTATTTATTTGTGTTACCCAAAAAAAGAATTTTCTAAATGCATCCCATTCCTTCGACTGGTAGTTGACATATACATAATATTTTCTTACTACTATTTACAGATTTTGACAGAGTTGAATCTTGTGACCTTGAAAGTATGTCAAGGTCATTATATTATAAAAGTTGATAGCCAATGACCTGGGCTTCTCAAATATCAAATACCAAGGCCCTAAGCCATGTAGAACTTGAGAAAAAGGTTTTTCAAACCTGTAACCCACATTTGCACTTTTCAACTTTGACCTCAGTTGTGAACCTGAAGCTGAATTTTCAAACGAGGATTTATCAATACATTCAATAGCAATTGATCATAGTATGCTAATGACAAACTTTCATCACTGTGTGCCTCTTGGTTATTGTGAAAATGTTATTTAAAGATTTTAATATAATTGCCACTTGTGACCTTGAAAGTGGGTCAAAGTCATTTACATTATAAAACTTAATTAGCCAATGATCAGATCTCCTTTAATATCAAATATCAAAGCTCTAAATCCTCTGAAACTTTAAAAGAATTTTTTCAATGTTTGTTAACCAAAATGGCACTTTTTTCAACTTTGACACCGACCAAGCACCATGAGCTTCTTAAATATGGAATATCAAGGCTCTGGTCATTGTGCAACTTGAGAAGAAGTTTTTCAATGTTTGTTACTCAAAATGGCAAAATTTCAACTTTTACCCCTACTGAGAAATGGAAGTTGCCATTTTACAAAAGAATGTTTCCTGAGAAATGCTATATATTTGTTATTTTACATAACATATCCCAAGATGAATTCATTTCATGAGATATTGCAAATTAAACAGAGAGTTTTCTATTTGACAGAATGTGTATTATCATGTAATGGGAAAAAGTTAGCCCAGTAGGTTACCTACAAATAATGTGATAGCATGAATGCTGTAAAATGAATTTTTAGTTTTGGCCATTTGAAAATTTTGACCAATGACATCATAGTGGCCATATTGGATTTTTGACCTCCTTGAAAGTATTGCTGGAACACCTTATTACCAGGCCCTATAAACCACAATATGGACAATGATCCGATTTGCTACCATTTAAGAGATAAAGCACCCACAAAATTGTCCCAGAATGATAAGAAACATAACAAGAACAGTACGTCGTCTCACCAGATTGTGAAAAGCCCTCATTACTACAGGCACAATATTAAGAACTTTGGCCTTTTAGTTATTAAGGAGAAGATGTTTCAATACTTAAGCACATTTAACCCCTGTGACCTTGAAAGTGGGTCAATGTCATTCATATTACCAAACTTGGTAGCCCTTCATTTCATCATGCTACAGGCCCAATAGTCAGAGGGACAGATGGACAGACACCGCAGTATGCTATAAACTCACTTGACCCTTCGTGCCAGGTGAGCTGAAAATGATTTGATAATAAATTCACTTAAGGTAAAATCAAGGCACTAACCATTTAATAATTATCTGTGGCATACTTTGCTGACATAATGTTGCAAAACAAAAACCATTAGATTTACAAGAAATAGCATATACCTTAAATTCCTGCTGGGTTGGCAAAAATCATATTTCTAGATTTCACACTTTCAAATCTAACATCAAAGGGCATACCTTAAGAAATGGATATGATCAACTTCCAAAGCTTTTCAAATGTTATGAATGAACGGTAATAACTAAAAACTTGTGCATTACTTTCGGCACTTCTATGTATACCCTACTATAAACAATTCTACCAGTTCACTTATCAGAAAGACTCAAGGATATCTTTATATTGACGTATACGTCTTGTATTCACTGGCTACCAAAACCAGTCAGGATTAGGGTAAGGGTTAGGGTTTGTGATGCCATGATTACTAAAACAGGTGAAAACTCAGAATTACAACACTTTTATCAATAACAAAAGGACCAATGGGCCTGCAACGCTTACCTGCCAAATATGCCTCTCAGCCTTTTTGTTAATGAGGAGAAGTCATTTAATGGTTTTAACAAATTTGACCCATGTGACTTAATATCATAGTCAATGTCATTTCTTTTCACAAACTTTGTCAGACTTCATCATGGGAACATACTAGCTAAATATCGTGCCTCTAGACCTTTCAGTTCATGAGAAGATGTCACTTAAAGGTTTTAACAAATTTGAGCCTTGTGACTTGAATATATGTCAAGGTCACTTCTTTTCATAAAATTTGTCAGGCTTTATCCAAGGAACATACCAGCCAAATATCAAAACATTAGGTCCATTGGTTATTGTGAAGAAGTTGTTAAAAGGAAAAAATTGACACCAGATGACATACGGACGACGAACGTCGTGCTCAAGTGAGCTAATAGTGTAAGCACTACAATATACAGCACTAAAATTGTCAATCAGAGATTGTTGGTTTTTTCTGATTTTTACTAGAACAATCCTGATAATGACTTGTCTGCATTACTAGGATTATGATTAGTATCTTTTAACTCTGCTGTTATGTTAGACCCATATCCAAGAGTAATGATGTCTCATAAAGTAGGTACTTAGAGGGTTATCTGCTTGGTCAAATCCACCATATAAAAACATCTGCCTGTCGGACACCAAAGTGAAAGTGTGCCATGACCTTCCCACTGGAACATTCCCAGGAGTGACCAACCTACAAAGATAGAGACAATGATATATTGATGGAGGACAAAGGCAAAAATAGCCTATCACATCCAAAATACAGTATTACTAAGTGATAGGATTGCTAACACAAGGTAATCCCACAGGGAACTTCGCACCCACCATTGTATAATCTTTATTTGTTCTTTATCAGTTTAATCATTTTTTTTCTTTCTCATCTCTCCAAGACCAACCTACATATTGATTTAGAAATGATCCATCCAGAATGTCTCAAAATATTGTAATTGATAAACTACAAGCGGCATAATCCAAGATGGTGAGCTGTCAGCCATTTTCTTATTCTTATCAGTCCCATCATGGCTATCTTATTTAATTTCCACCGGAAAAGACTATTGTTAAAACGTTGGAAGGTTAAAGCAAATACCATACCTCTAGAACTTTTTGTTCATGAAAAGAAGTTGTTTTAATGTTTTAACAAATTTGAACCATATGAACATGAATACAAGTCAAGGTCATTTCTTTTTGCAAACATTGTCAAGCTTCGCAGGAACATACCAACCAAATTTCATGCCTCTAGACCATTTTGTTCTTGAGAAGAAGTTGTTAAAAGGTTTTGACAAATCTGACCCCTGTGACCTTGAATATAAGTCAAGGTCATTTCTTTGGCTTCATTCTAGGAACATACCATCCAAATACCGTAAATGTTCGCGTATAGTGCGCACTCGCGTATAGTGCGCAGGTACTTTTTGGAGATCAGATTTAAAAAAAAAAAATCTACAGAAAAATTAATTGACTGGTCACTGCGACAAAACATTTGATGTGGTCTGATCCATTGATAATTAGGAAACCACAATGAGCGTGACCCTAACACATGTAATTACCTTATCTCCAAACTATCATATAAGACCGACGACTTTTACATATAACTATGTGAAGGGAGGTAATCCAATATGGCGGATGCAGAACTCGGGAATGATAACCCCAGGAATGGCATGTACCTGCGTATAGTGCACACCCCATTTTTGACACGACAGTTTCAGCTTAAAAAAGTGCGCACTATACGCAAATATTTACGGTATCAAAACATTAGGTCCATTGGTTATTGAGAAGAAGCTGTTTAAAGGAAAACTTCAAGTGGGACAATGGACAATGGCCCTTTCTGCCAGGTGGGAAAAAAATGAAGATTAAAATGGTTGCAAACCTTTCTGTTATCTCTGGTGAATAATATCTAATGCCACCACAGGAGAAGTAAAAAACCTGGTGTTGTGTGAATTTACTTACGGTCCTGTCCATGTCAGAGTTTCAAGGTCAAGACAATGAAGGTCATTCATTCTTTCTTCTATGTGACGTCCACCAAATAGGAACACTTGGGCACCAGCTTTAGCTGCTGCATGAGCAGCTCGAGAGGATGGTACCAAACCCTAGATAAAAACATTAGTTACAGTACGAGAGGATGCCACCAAACCATGGAAAAAAACATTAGTTATAGTACAAGAGGATGGCACCAAACCCTAGATAAATAACAATAGTTACAGTATGAGAGGATGGCACCAAACCCTAGATAGCTAAAAACAATAGTTACAGTACGAGAGGATAGCACCAAACCCTAGATAGCTAAAAACAATAGTTACAGTATGACAGGATGGCACCAAACCCTAGATAGTTAAAAACAATAGTTACAGTATGCAAGGATGGCACCAAACCCTAGATAAATACAATAGTTACAGTATGCGAGGATGGCACCAAACCCTAGACAGTTAAAAACAATAGTAACAGTACGAGAGGATAGCACCAAACTCTAGATAGCTAAAAACAATAGTTACAGTACGAGAGGATGGCACCAAACCCTAGATAGATAAAAACAATAGTTACAGTATGAGAAGATGGCACCAAAACCTAGATAGATAAACACAATAGTTACATTATGACAGGATGGCACCAAAGCCTAGATAGATAAAAACAATAGTTACAGTATGAGAGGATGGCACCAAACCCTAGATAGATAAAAACAATAGTTACAGTATGAGAGGATGGCACCAAACCCTAGATAGATAAAAACAATAGTTACAGTACGAGAGGATGGCACCAAAGCCTAGATAAACACGATAGTTACAGTATGCGAGGATGGCACCAAACCCTAGATAAATACAATAGTTACAGTATGCGAGGATGGCACCAAACCATAGATAGTTAAAAACAATAGTTACAGTACGAGAGGATGGCACCAAACCCTAGATAGCTAAATACAATAGTTACAGTATGCGAGGATGGCACCAAACCCTAGATAGTTAAAAACAATAGTTACAGTATGACAGGATGGCACCAAACCCTAGATAGTTAGAAACAATAGTTACAGTATGACAGGATGGCACCAAACCCTAGATAGTTAAAAACAATAGTTACAGTATGACAGGATGGCACCAAACCCTAGATAGTTAGAAACAATAGTTACAGTATGACAGGATGGCACCAAACCCTAGATAGTTAAAAACAATAGTTACATTATAACAGGGTGACACAAAACCGTAGGCTACTTTTAACTTATCACAGCCTGCAGGAAATGTAGTCCCATACATTATTGAGATAGTTGAAATAATGCCTTACCTTACAGCGAGGATTATGCCATGTCTTTGTTTCTAGATCAAACACCACCAGCTGGTTATTCCATCCCCTCACCTGTAAAGCAAATGGACACATTTTTTTATCATTTTAATATAACATCTTTTTTTCTTAATTACTGTACCAATAACTGTACCAATTTTACATACAATTAGGAATCTTTTCAGTTGATGAGGAAAAAAGTGAGTAACATGTTTATCTCTAGCCCCAAGGCAGCAGAAGAATGGCAATATGTCTCCTCCATCACAACTTTGACAGCTTTACCACCATGTTTTATAAACAAATTAACTGTTTTTGACAGCTTACATAGAATATGGTTAACTATATTTTGTCTTTTACAACACCAATTGCAAATTTATCCTAAGGATTATTACCCTCAATAACAGTCTCAAGATACTGGCCTATAAATGGTTTCTGAGATTTTTGTAGATGTGATATCCCCAAATGACAAACAAATATTCATACATATGAAATATGCGGAAGATGACCTTCACCTTTACAGACTCAGCCGTAGAAACAAGGATGATGAGTTCATGGGTAAAATAGCCCTCTCAATCATACAAAAGGTATGGTAATATTTCAATGTATGATAAATTATTTGACAGAAACAAATGGGCAGGATTAGATATAAATACTAAATAAAAGAGTTGTGTTTGAAGCCAATGAGTATGTCTGAAATTTACATTCATTTAAGTTATGCCATCTGGAGCTATATTAAACCTAAATCAACAACCAAGTCTGAAATCGGAGATATTTAATCGAAACCAAATGACAAAAGCTAAACAAAAGTCTCATCAGACATGGCAAAAGCTAATGTGCTTTGCAAGTTCTAGAGTAGCGTTTTTGTGAAAGAAACAGGAACTACACCGCAACTGAATCAACAGGAAGTTATCGAGGAAATGACAACCCTCAAGGTGAATTATGATATGGTATTCAAAAACAACTTATTAGTCTAAAACCTGAAAAGTCACCAGGATTGGATGAACTATGGCCCATGCTTCTTAAAAACATTGCTTCTTCAATATCACATCATTTAGGAAAAACAAGGGGACACTACCAAATGAATGGTAAAAAGCTTGAGTTTGTGCTAACTACAAAAACGGTGATAAATGTGAAGCAGGAAATTATAGGCCCGTTAGTCTAACGTCAGTGGTATGTAAAATTCTAGAGTCCATATTCAGGGAGCAGTTAACAAAATTAATCTGAGCAAACAAATAATGGACAAACAGTTTGGTCTCATATCAGGAAGATCGACAATTTTCCGGCTCTTAGAAGTCTTAGATAAATGGAGAGAAGCTCTGGATAAAGGACAGGTAATAGATTGTATCTACATGGACTACCAGACTCCTAAGTAAGTTAAAAGCTTATAATTTCTCCAATCAAATGATCTCTTGGATATCAGCATTTTTGATTGGTCGACAGCGAAGAGTATCTGTCAATGGTGACGATTCAGATTGGGTTGAAGTTCCCCAGGAATCCCTCAAGGCTCCGTGCTAGAGCCATTGATGTTTGTAATATTTGTAAATGATCTACCAGGAACGGTCAAGTCAGATATGTACCTATTCGCAGACGACACAAAAATATTTAAAATAATTAAAAATAAACAGGATAGAATGGAGCTTCAAAAGAACCTTGACACTATGTGTGAATGGAGTAAAACATGGCTACTTAAGATGCATCCAGATAAGTGTAAACATATGCGAATAGGCAAGGAAAGAGGTAGAGGTCCAAATGATATAGACCCAACTCACCATCTTCATGTTAAACATCTGCAGAGATCAAAATAAGAAAAGGATGTAGGATTTATTATAGATGCTGATCTATCTTTTGATGAACACATCTCAGAAAAAGTAAAAAAAAAAAACAAACTCCATGTTTCCACTTCTCCGGAGGACTTTCCAGTTCTTGGACATTAAGTCATTTATTCCGCTATATAAATGCTTAGTGAGGTCACAGCTGGACTATGCCAGTTCAGTTTGGGCCCCATATCTTCAAAAACACATTGACAAGATAGAGGGAGTCCAGAGAAGAGCAACCATGTGTCTTCCGGGAATGAAGACTTGACCTACAGTGAGAGGTGAAGAAACTAAAGCTTCCAACACTGGCATTCAGGAGATTAAGGGGAGATATGATAAAACTGTATAAAATAACAAGTCAAATTTATGATAATGAATGTTTTAATGCTATTACATTTTGGAAAGATGCCTCTGATCGCCATAGTCACAGAGGTCATTCAAAGAAAATATTTCCTAAATGATCCACAACTATGCTAAGAAAAAAACATTTTTCAAACAGAACAGTAAAAATTTGGAATGAACTACCAGAAAACGTTGTATCTGCTGGGAATGTTAATTTATTTTAAAACAGACTAGATGATCACAGACTAGATGATCACTGGAAAAACCAAGAACTTTTCTTTAATTATAAAGCATCAATCCAGAATTAGATATCAAGTCCAGTACTGGATATATGTATTTTATTATGTATTCATACTGTATTGTAATGAGTCTGGTATAGAGGACTATGACAAGTCCTGAACCAGAAATAACCTTCACTGAAATTAACGACTTCCCCATTGTGTTATTGTGTTTCGATAAACTAGTGTGGTAAGCATATGTGTTTATTCCAATGTTAGTCTGTAAAAATATACAAATGCAGTTATGCAATGATGGCAGCAAACAGCTGTAATCCCATGAGGAATCCTGAATCCAGTCATACAAACTTTCTTTTAAACTGAAAGTGATTGATTCTTTACGAAAAAGAGAAATCAACAGCATCTCAACATTATGGTGTGGACAGAAAATGTGGTCGTGAGAGAATGATTCATTAAACAAGTATGTTGAAACTACACAGATATGTAGAGTACCTGGTGGTGGCTGGAAACTTATGTACATAGATATAGTAGAAAGAAAGGAAAAATAAAGCAGAGGATAACAGGTTGACATGATAAAGGTGTTAGAGTTACAGTGTTAGAGTTACAGTCAAATAATTACACAATCAACAGGGAAATCAAGGTTTTTAAGCCAGCTGTAGATGGCAGATGAAATTCATGAAAAGAAACTGACAAAAAATGCATGTGGCTAAAAAAATATATGTTGAAATGTTGGATGATAGAATGCAGGGCTTCTTCCCTTTTGGTAATAAAATGATAAGAAATGTAAAGGTTTTCCACTTGGTATGATTGGGAACATGGACGAACCTCTGGTATGGATTGAAAAGCGGGGAGATTATACCGTAGAACAGACAGGGGCTAAAACTGAGAGCTTGCAGGGATCGACAGGTTGTGAAAAATGAAGGATTACAGTTAGGACCATGGGTGATGGAAAGAAAACTACCACCATTAGTTTTGTTGAAAGGAGTGAAGCAAATAAGTCAGTAATGCAAAACTTCTTCTTAAGAAGGAAAATATTGCCCCTGATGAGCCTCACCCCACAAACAAAGCTTCAAATTCCCTAGGGTTGGGGACAGAGATCAGTTGTTAATCTCTTGATGTCCAGTAATGCTTTTGAGTCATTGGATGATAATCTAAATGACTTCAAAGATATAATCTGTACTGGGGTGAACCAGAAACACCACCACCCACCAACCACCTGACAAATTATCAGTCATGATTGCGTTTATCTCCTAATGCTCAGCACTGTTATAGTTATTCAGTGAAGATCACAAGAACCAAAGCTCCAAATGAATTGTTGATGGTGCAAAGCAATGATATGAAAATGAATAAATCTACTTGGGTAAGACCCAAGCTTTATACAAAATGATTTTGGACAATATCCTGCAATTCCTGAAAAACAAGATCAATTCTAATGATAGATTTTTTTATTATTTTCGCCTCACCTATCTGGCCCCAGGGGGCAGAAACCAACGTTTTATACAAAAATGATTTCTCTCCACCCAAGCATGCTTCACACCAAAATCTTTACAATAGAGAACAGAGATCCACCGTTTATACAACAAATCATGCTGCATACCAAATTTGGCCAATATCCTGCAATTCCTAAAGAACAAGATATATTTTAAAGAAAATGACAGATGTTCCTTATTGAGCCTTACCCCTTTAGCCCAAGGGGACTGAGACCCACCATCTTATACAAAACTGGTTTTCCTTCAACATAGCATGCTTTAGACAAAATCTGAACAATATCTTAAGGGTCATGACTCAACATTAACACAAAAATGATTTTCTTTCAACCAAGCATGCTTCAGACCGAATTTGGACAATATTCTGCAATTCCTAAAGATCAAAATAGACCTCAAATATATTTATAGGTTTTCCCTATCAAGCCTTGCCTGTTTAGCTCCAGATGGCCAGGACCCAACCTATACAAAACTGATTTTCCTTCATCAATGCATTCTGCAGACCAAATTTTGACAATATGCTGGAATTCCTGAAGAAGATAGTCCTGGGGGACAAAACCCACCATTTATACAGAATTCCACTTACCCCAAGCATGCTTCTGACAAATTTTGGTCAAAATCTAATCCTTCCTCCAGGAGGAGTAGGATTTTTAAAGAATTTGCTCTATTTCCCCTATTAGGTCCAGACCCTCCCACCCTTGGGGGCCAAGATGCACTAGTTATACAAAATTGATTTCTCTTCATCCAAGAATGCTTCAGACCAATTTTGGGCAAAATCCTATCATTCGAATTTTGCACCTCTTCCCTGGGGGCCAAATCTACCATTTACACAAATTTGTTCCCTCAAGCCAAAGGTTGCTCCTTTGGACTAAGGGAGTTAAGAGTATGAACTTACCCCAACTATGGACCGATCTGCATGAAATTCACCATTTTCATTTAGATAGTTGCTGAGTGGCATCGAGAATCCTCCGAAAACATATAGTCTAAAAAGACAAAGTAAGGTAACAATAAAATTGAAACAACAAACATGATATGGCCATCATAGGTCAAATGAACATTTTACAACAGGAACCAGAAGGAAAGCAATGTTTAATATCTGATCAAAACATTGAGGTCAATTACAAACTGTGTCAGTTGTGTAATAATGGAGGAAATCAAAGTAATACTCTGAGATGATCCGTGAAATAACATTAATGTTATTGTTCCATCAATTTTACAAAGGCCCATTACTGAATAAACAAGAGGCCTAGTGGCCTTAACGGTCGCCTGAGAAAAGCAATATTGAACATAAAGGTTAAAGGGTCAGTAGTTTTCAAGTGTCATGGAAAAGAAATTGTGACATTGATGATAAGCCAATAAGTACATGCATACCATTAAAACTGTCATCCTATACTTAAAAATCTTGCAAAATTATTTCCAATCGGCAATTAACTATATTATGCTAAAAACTGCAATTTTTCTATAAAAATTATAGTAAAGTTAACTGCCTCCCAAAGGAGAAATATGAGACCCATTTTGGTAAAGCACCTAAAGACGCTTTCAGTTATGAAGAGCATTTGATTCTACCATATTTGGGTGTTGAGAAGATTTTTGAAACCCAAGTGAATTTGACCCCTTTTAGTCCCAACCATCAGCCCCTGGGGATCAGCCAGGATCAATACTAGCATACTATCACACTGTCATCCTTTGCTCATGATTCTAACCAAATTTGAAATATTCTCAATGGAAATCAAACAAATTATGCTCAAAAATCTATTTTTCCAATATCAACTATACTAACTATGATACCCCGGGCCATAAAATTCACAGTTTTAGTACAGCACCTTAAAATGCTTCTATCCATGAAGATCCTTTGATTCTACCATATCTGGGTGTTAAGGAGAAAATTTTGAAATTTGAGTCAATTTAATTGCTTTTGACCAACCCCTCAGGCCCCTTGGGGGTTGGGGACGATATAATTCACAATTTTAGTTAATCGTAGGCCAGGGAAGGTTTCTGCAAAATTTCACTAGAATTAGTTCAGGGATTTTTGAAAAGTCCAAAATGTTAAAGATTTATAGATACAAGACACTGGACAAAGGTGATTGCAATATGTCACGATGACACTCAGATGACCTAATAACAGACAAATAATTCTGGTTATTGAACTGGTCCAAGCTATGGTGATAATGAACCTCCATACGAAGTTTAAGTGTATCCATTGGAGACTACTGGATATATGGAGTGGACATGGTAAAGGTAATTGAAATAAGGGGCCATAACTCTGTGAATTATATGTCGAAAGTTGTGATTATCCGACTTCTCCTAACTTTAACAGTAATGTACCTCCCTATGAAATTTGATGTTGATCCCATAAAAAATACTTTCGATATCTAGCAGACACTGTTTCTGTAATTAAATTAAGGGCCATAATTCTGTAAATTATGGTCAAAAATTTGAATTCAATAAACTTGTCTGAGCAATCATGGTAACGAACCTATAAAGTTTGAAATTGATCTGTTGACAAAGTGGATGTTGTTTTAGAAATTCAATAAGGGGTCATAACTACATGAATTAAGAAATTCAAATGAAGATTGAAGTTGGTCAGTTGAAATTGAAATTGAATATGTAGCCATAACTTTGTGGATTATGTTTAAAAATTACATTGATCAAAGTTGTCTTTCGATGGGTGTAAAAAAATGTGTAAATGATGTTAATTTTACCATAAAACCACAGATTCAAGTAAGATTTCCAAGATTTTAGTGTTCAGGTTGTTTTAAACATAACTAGATATGGAGAGTTAATTCTATAATGTTGCTTTGTAATGTTGTTTCTCTAGCAAGCAGATAAAATGAGCTTGACCTTTTACCACAACAAAAGTTCCATGAGGCAGTACATGATACACCCATCATATGTCGAAATAAGTATTTTGTGACTGGAAAGAGAAGGAAAGTGATGACATAATGCAATGGGCCTGCATTGCTCATCTGGTATTCAATGTTCATAAATAGAATAAACGTTAATGTCACAATTTTTTTCCATAAACTTTGTTTGGCTTTGTCCCATGGCTTTGTCCCAGAGACATCTTTCTACCAAATATCATGCTTCTCATTCTTTTAGTTTACCAAAAGAAATCTTTCACATGTTTCAAGAAATTTTATCCATGTGACCTTATCATGACATTTGGTCTGCTGGTTAATGAGAAGAAGTCATTTAAATGGAAAAGTTGACCCCAGATAGATGACAGATAGACGAAGCACCACAGCATAAGCTTCCAACAAACTGAGCTAAAATGTCAATAATTCTAACAATTTTCATTGGAAATTTAACAGTTATGCCCCAAAATGTATCCTGGAGTTATGTGATTCTGCAAAATCTGCACATAAATAAAAGTTACTGACTTGTTGTGGTGCACCCAGCAGACACATTTATCCCGAGGACTAGGTGAATCACTGTCAGTATGTACATGTTCCCATTCCAATGTTCGAAGGTCAAGTCTGTGCAGTGTGTTAACATTTCCGTGCTCTGTGTGTCCAGCAAACACGTACATGTGGTAATCAACGAGACATGCAGAGGCACCAGAGGTTCCAGGAGGGCACTTGCCTCTCGTCTCTCTCTTCATCCTGCAACATCAATTCCAGCTAAACTTGCATTACAATATTAACAAAGAGAATGAACAAAGCATTTCACTTTCATGATGACAATAAGAACTGTATAATTATATATATATATATATATATATATATCAGATGCTTTGTTAATATCAACAGAGAACACACAGAAGTATGCCTTTCTACCTAGTTATCACATTATACACATAGAAGTTTGCCTACCTACCAGTACTTAGTTACCACATCAAAGATAGAAGTCTGCCTACCTACTTAGTTACCACATCAACAGATAGAAGTCTGCCTTCCTACTTAGTTACCACAACAAAGATAGCAGTTAGCCTACTTACTTGGTTACCACATCAACAAATAGAAGTCTGCCTACCTACTTAGTTACCATATCAACAAATAGAAGTCTGCCTACCTACTTAGTTACCACGACAACAGATAGAAGTCTGCCTACCTACTTAGCAACCACATCAACAGATAGAAGTCTGCCTACCTACTTAGCTACCACATCAACAGATAGATGTCTGCCTACCTACTTAGTTACCACATCAAAGATAGGAGTTAGTCTACCTACTTAGCTACCACATCAACAGATAGAAATTAGCCTACCTCCTTAGTTACCACATCAACAGATAAAAGTCTGCCTACCTACTTAGTTACCACATCAGTAGATAGAAGTCTGCCTACCTACTTAGTTACCATATCAACAGATAGAAGTCTGCCTACCTACTTAGTTACCACATCAACAGATAGAAGTCTGCCTACCTACTTAGCTACCACATCAACAGATAAAAGTCTGCCTACCTACTTAGTTACCACATCAGTAGATAGAAGTCTGCCTACCTACTTAGTTACTACATCAAAGATAGACGTTTGCCTACCTACTTAGTTACCACATCAACAGATAGAAGTCTGCCTACCTACTTAGTTACCACATCAACAGATAGAAGTCTGCCTACCTACTTAGTTACCACATCAACAGATAGAAAAGCGCCTACCTACTTAGTTACGACATCAACAGATAGAAGTTAGCCTACCTACTTAGTTACCACATCAACAGATAGAAAAGCGCCTACCTACTTAGTTACGACATCAACAGATAGAAGTTAGCCTACCTACTTAGTTACGACATCAACAGATAGAAGTTAGCCTACCTACTTAGTTACTACATCAACAGATAGAAGTCTGCCTACCTACTTAGTTACCACATCAACAGATAGAAAAGCGCCTACCTACTTAGTTACGACATCAACAGATAGAAGTTAGCCTACCTACTTAGTTACCACATCAACAGATAGAAGTCTGCCTACCTACTTAGTTAACACATCAAAGATAGAAGTTAGCCTACCTACTTAGTTAACAAATAGGTGTTATTACAATGTTGACAAGGAAGTTATGAGATAATGAGTGTTATTATACTGTGGACAAGGATGTTATGTGATAATGGGTGTTATTATACTGTGGACAAGGATGTTATGTGATAATGGGTGTTATCATACTGAGAACAAGGAAGTTATGAGATAATGAGTGTTATTATACTGTGAACAAGAATGTTATGTTATAATGGGTGTAGTTATACTGGGAACAAGGATGTTATGTGATAATGGGTGTTATTATACTGTGGACAAGGATGTTATGTGATAATGGGTGTTATCATACTGAGAACAAGGAAGTTATGAGATAATGAGTGTTATTATACTGTTAACAAGGATGTTATGTGATAACAGGTGTTATTATACTTGGAACAAGGATGTTATGTGATAATGGGTGTTATTATACTGTGAACAAGGATGTTATGTGATAATGGATGTTATTATACTTGGAACAAGGATGTTATGTGATAATGGGTGTTATTATACTTGGAACAAGGATGTTATGTGATAATGGGTGTTATTATACTTGGAACAAGGATGTTATGTGATAATGGGTGTTATTATACTTGGAACAAGGATGTTATGTGATAATGGGTGTTATTATACTGTGAACAAGGATGTTATGTGATAATGGGTGTTATTATACTTGGAACAAGGATGTTATGTGATAATGGGTGTTATCATACTGTGAACAAGGATGTTATGTGATAATGGGTGTTATTATACTTGGAACAAGGATGTTATGTGATAATGGGTGTTATTATACTGTGAACAAGGATGTTATGTGATAATGGGTGTTATTATACTGTGAACAAGGATGTTATGTGATAATGGGTGTTATTATACTTGGAACAAGGATGTTATGTGATAATGGGTGTTATTATACTTGGAACAAGGATGTTATGTGATAATGGGTGTTATTATACTGTGAACAAGGATGTTATGTGATAATGGGTGTTATTATACTTGGAACAAGGATGTTTTATGATAATGGTTGTTATTATACTGTGAACAAGGATGTTATGTGATAACGGGTGTTATTATACTTGGAACAAGGATGTTATGTGATAATGGGTGTTATTATACTGTGAACAAGGATGTTATGTGATAATGGGTGTTATTATACTTGGAACAAGGATGTTTTATGATAATGGTTGTTATTATACTGTGAACAAGGATGTTATGTGATAACGGGTGTTATTATACTTGGAACAAGGATGTTATGTGATAATGGGTGTTATTATACTGTGAACAAGGATGTTATGTGATAATGGGTGTTATTATACTTGGAACAAGGATGTTATGTGATAATGGGTGTTATTATACTGTGAACAAGGATGTTATGTGATAATGGGTGTTATTATACTTGGAACAAGGATGTTATGTGATAATGGGTGTTATTATACTGTGAACAAGGATGTTATGTGATAACGGGTGTAATTACACCTGGAACAAGGAAGTTACATAATAATGGGTGTTATTATACTGTTGAGAACTTAGCTATGTTTCTATCACTTATACATACCAGTATCCTACATCAGTGTCGTAAAGCCAGATATCAGAGGGTGGCAGGTACATTTCATGGTGGTAGCTGAAATTCTGTAAAAAAAAAAAAAAGATATGCACAAATTATCTTACAATAATTAAATGATCAAAACTGAGTTTGTGACAGCATTGCCTTGGTTTCCGTGTTACCTATCAAAACTATCTAAAAGCCTGCAAAGGGGCCCAAATCCTCATTGGTAATTTACAGATATTTAACATTTGTAAGCCAATACCAAAAAAAAATCCATCGGACCTTGTTTCCAGTTCCTCTGGTACATTTTTTTAACATCTTTGATAAAACAAGAGGCCCATAAGGCCTGTATCAATCACCAGGCTTTGCTACAGGAAAAGTGATTTTTTCCTCATTGGGCCCTATGCTTTTGTCCCCGAAAGGGCACCAAACCATTTACCAATAAGTGCCCATGTCCCTATAAGTGCCCCTCCTCCTATTTTTCAGATATCAAAGTTCACATTTACTCAATTTTTTTACTCAATTCAAATTTCAGAGTTGCTACCAGAAGTGACTTTTGGGGTGGTCATCTGCGCTTGACGCATATCAGAGCACCTGATTCAGATAGAACTATCAGTATGCTGACATCTATTTGCTGTAATCTCTCGCATGAAATGAGTTGAAATGCTTTTATTGAATATCTGCTCAGAAATATGTTCAAATCAGACAGTAAAATGATGGGGAAGCACAACTCTTCATGTGCTCACCTTTTCTCTCATGTGTAATTTATCAATCATTCAAATCCTTGTAATTTTGTTGCATGCACAAGTTATATATATTCTGTTTTATTTTGACAATAAACTATACTCAGTTATACATAGCTTAAAGTTTTTAAAGGTTTAATTCTATTTTTCTTGTCATCAATGCCCTAGATATCAAAAGTAGAATCTGAGTTGGCCGTTATCTTTGATACTGGTGATCCCAATAAGCGCCTACCCTCCTTTCCTAATTTTTTTGTGTTCTGGGCACTACAAGTGCCCAATACGGTATATTAAACACCCCTTCCCAAAAGATACATCTGACAAAATCCTAACATTCCTCAAGCAAAGGAAGGACTCCTTTAACAAATTTGGCACTTGTAACCTTGAATATAAGTCAAAGTCATTTATTTTTGCAAACTTTGTCAAGCTGCATAGAAGGAACATAACAGCCAAATATCATGCCTGTAGCCATTTAAGTTTGTAAGTAGAAGTTGTTTAATTCAACAAATTTGACACCTGTGACCTTTAATATAAGTCAAGGTAAATTATTTTCACAAATTTTGTCTGACTCCATTGTAGGAACATACCAAATATCATGCCTCTAGGCCTTTTAGTTCATAAAAAGAAGTCATTTAAAGGTTTTAACAAATTTGACCCCTGTGACCATGAATATAAGTCAAGGTCATTTTTTCACAAACTTTCTTCAAACTTTCTTGAAGGAATAAACCAGCGAATTATCAAGTCTCCAGGCCTTTTACCTCATGAGAAGACGTCATTCAATAAATATGAATATGATTCAAGGTAACTAATTTTCGCCAACTTTGTTTGTCTTCATTCTTGGGACATACCAGCCAAATATCCACTTTGGTCCATTGGTTATTGAGAAGAAGTTGTTGAAAGAAAAAAGCTGACGCATGACGCCTGACAAAGGCGACAGCATATAAGCTCACTTGGCCCTTTGAGCCAGTTGAGCTAAAATGTTGACTCCAGACGAGCAATGGAAGATGTATGCATGACTATTGACGTCATGCTACAGCATACGCTCACTTGGCCTTTTGCGCCAGGTGAGTTAAAAAAAGAAAGAAAGCAGGTTGAATGCAGTGTAACTTTGGGCAAAATCAAATCATTCCTACAGGAGGAGTAGGATTTTAAAGAATTGACTGTATTACCCCTATGGGCCCTGGTCTCCACGTTTGGTCTAAGTCTACAAGAGCTCACACCCACAAGTACCGTTATGCAAAGATACTGTAACTAACTATTGGGCAAGATTCTTATGCATGTATGTTAATGTTGCTCCCTGAAAATTTACTAATCAAAGTATTCACGCAAATTATACATTGTAACAAATTCTTGAATCGACGACGTAACAATATTTTACGACTTAGCAATGTTGATGAAAGGATTTTCGAGAGTTGCATAAGCAAATCTCAAATCTTATTTTGTCATTATGGTATGAAATACAGAGTTAACATTGTACAATACTTTCGCATTAATACATGTTTATGGTATGTGCTTGATTTTCATGTCATGTGACTTAACATTAAGTGCATATGAACTCAAAACTTCATTATGACGTTTGGTGTGATATGTATCAACAATATCAGCGTAAATGAGGCCTGCACTAGATAGAACATGAAATTATGACAAATTAAAGAATAAAAGGTGGTGTATTTTCAACAATAAAATATTGAAAAGCAACATTAATAGTGATGCGTACCGCATATCCTCCCCATACAACCATGTATTTGTTGAAGCAAACACAAACATGACCAGTTCTTGGGGGAACACGATATTTTGTCCCGCTTGGTCTGTCAAATTCCATTTCCAATATTGATGTGCAGAACGTCAACACTTCCTGTGTAATTAATGTAAAACGAAAGTAGACATTATCTTAAAGAAGCTTGAAAATAATATGTGCTCCATAACTGCTTCCGTGAAACGCCGATCTCTGCAAGAGTTGTCGTTCCTTCACAGTCACACTGCTATGATAGGGCTGGTTGGGTGGGGATGAAATGTGTACGTCCTTTCCTGCCCCTGCCTGGCCCCGTCACCCGTACCGGAAAGTAAGAAATAATTAATATCTCGAGAACGAAAAATCTAATAAATCTCAATTTTATTTAGATAAATCCACATAATAACTTTTTAGAACTTTGACTTGAATGAAATAATTAGATATCGAGATCTGTTCGAGAAAAAGAAAACTATTCAAAATTCATATTTCGATATTTTCATTAATTGTGAAGCAGAGGGATGTTACATTTGGAATGTTTTTGACGACATGAGAACTTGCGATTTAGAATTTTAATATGTGGTTTCATAATAGATGTGTCGGTGATGAAGCAAATGTGAATTTTTCGATAGATAGTTTTATTTTGAGGTGTGGAAATGCTAATGATAGCAGTGAAATAATATATATTTAATAGGGCATTACGATATAAAACAGCATAAATAAAATTATTCTTAATTACATATTATTTAAAATATATCATTCGAAATAATAATTGTTATGAAATATGATTAATAAACGTATGTAATAAATAATTATGATAAAATGGGCTTTCATTTAGTGCTGTGTCCTCGTCGCAAAGTCCGATAACATATTTTTTTCTTATAGTAAGAATGACTGAAGATTCTACATATTTTTCACATTATATCAAACATGCACTAGACTGAAGAAGTGGCCTCCCCCTACCAGGGGACCGGGGCCGGGGATCGAGTGTAAACAAAAGATCCTCGATAATAAAAAAAACCGCAAGATATTAGATGTGAATGTTACCTCTTTTATAGCTAGAACTGATGTATTTACAATCTGATAGGTGAACATTGTATTTGGTATTTCAACAAATCTGTAATCAAACCGTATGGTAGCTGTAATACAAAAAAAAAAAAAAAAAAATAGGAAAATTTCACGGTTGAGTGCGGCGTACACGTTTTCAACCCCTGGTAAAAACAAATCGTCGATTTATATAGGCACTTATATGACAGACCTGATTTATACATAAAAAACCCCAACTATTCATTGAAAGTGTCAGCTTAAAAAAACATTTAAGTGGATTTATGTTAAGAGAGAGAGAGAGAGAGAGAGAGAGAGAGAGAGAGAGAGAGAGAGAGAGAGAGAGAGAGAGAGAGAGAGAGAGAGAGAGAGAGAGAGAGAGATTAGATTTTTTGTTCTCGAGATTTCTTACTATCCTGGTACGGGTATCGGGGCCGGGAACTACGTACACATTTCGCCCTTACCTTTCACATCCAATAATGAACGAGAACCCGTGATTAACAGCAGCAGATACGTCAGCTGCTATCGTTATCTGGATATAAAGCGCGGATTATGAAGGGTAAGATTGTTGTATGATGGTATACGAGTTTCAGAGCAAATAACTTTCATTGAACTAACATACTTAGTATCTGTAAAGAAGGAGATAAGGAAATTTCGCTGAGTTGACATCACATTTTATTTGATTAGGTCGGACACATCGGTGATAGTCATACATTTGAGGGATAGTTACTGCTTTGAAAATTGTTACTGAAATGCAGAATCTTTTGCAACAAAAAGCGCGTCATATTTTTGACATGACCCAATGCTTTGAACGCGTATTGTCTGCCCGTACAACACCACACAACACTAAAGATTGATTTGGTCAAAAGTCATTACGGACACCTGACATGTGACATGTGACATAAACTACAAGAAATAGAGTGACGGCTAATGTAAGCCGCATATTTGTGTTATTTCCTATCGGATAAGTTATACAATTAAGAAGTTGCCCACAAATAACGATACAAAACAACTAGCTGGCTTAGCAATATTACCAAACTATGATGTACTTTAATTGATATGTAAAATCAGCAGTGATATATCATAACATACAGCGAGAATTAAAAAAAAAACAATTGTACAGTATAAAAAACAAAAAACTGTTTCTTCCTGGCAGACATAATCCAGATGAAGAAATCATAGGGAGGGAGATGGGGAAAACAAATAATGGAAGCAATGTCAGTATTTAATGGCTCTTTAGTTCGATTGGTTGAGCGTCAGACTAGTAAGCCAGGGGTCCCGGGTTCGATTCCTAGCAGAGGCATTGAGATGAAAAATGACCTCTGTTACATTGGCGCCCATGTAGGGACCCGGGATTAGTACTTAGCCATGCCTAACCAGCGTCGCTGTGACCCCTGGAAACTCGAGGACGAGTTATTTACTGGAGGGGGAGTATGTAACTCTGGTAAAATACTAGCCGCAACATACCACTCGGCTAGAGAGAACTTCTCTTTAGTTGATTGGTTGAGCATCAGACTAGTAAGCCAGGGGTCCCGGGTTCGATTCCTAGCAGAGGCATTGAGATGAAAAATGACCTCTGTTACACGTACTATGTTCATCCAACCATAAACTGGACATGCATATCCGCTATATTAAAGAAAAATATCAGGGACATATAATACAGAGGGATAAGAAATTAGGTCCAGTAGTGATTTCTCTGGCACCAGCTTTTGTGTTTTAATGAGTTGTTAAATGACTTCTTCTCCATATTGGTACCATTTGAAAATACCTTAATGCCCCATTCATTTCTAATCTGATTGGCTTGATCACAAGCTTTTTTTTGACCAGTGAGAAATTAATCTCATTTTGTAACAAAAATAACACTCATAAGTTCAAGCGACTTACCACAAAACTGACATGAGTCAAATGGAAGATTACTCCGATTTTAAATCTCATCAGTTATAGATAATTTTCTGAACAGTATTGACTAAAAGTGGTATGAAATGCTCACACACTCCAATTTGGGACTGGGGCCCGGGGCACTTAGAATTGGGAAAAATAATGGTGTTTTCCTTAGAATTTGGAAAACTTCGGGTCTAAATTGGGAAAAAATGATACTATTTTGTATCGGGAATGGGGCTGAATATCAGCCCCAAATCTAGCAGATCGAGAGCCCTGAAAGTAATAAGCTTTCTTCTACTGTTTATTTTTAAAAGATTAGGTACTTTTTGAGAAAAATGGTTTATAGTTAACTAGTTAATTCAAACTTCTTCACTATCGCATTGCAAAATAATGTAGGCAATTTCTTATCCCTCTCTGTTACATGTCCCTGAAAATATTCATGAAAATGAGCTCATAAAATAGATAAAGAAGAGTGGAAAGGGACAACTAATTAATCATCTTGAGAAGTCTCCAAATATTCCTACATTGTATAACTTTGCATCAAAGTGAACAATTTTACTTTGTTTTTTGTGCAAATCACGAACTTCATCACCTCAATGTTGCTTACAGTGTGGCTAAAAAAATAATTCAGGTAAATTCATTCTCACCTATGACAATTGCACTAAATGCTCTCAATGGCTGTACACTGTAGTCGATGGAGAGCTATCATTTTAGCTCCAAGAAATAAATATTTGTTTTACTAATATATCCAGTGTCATATTGGCTATTTGGTCATTTTAAAATGAGGACTTTTTTTATGTTGCAAATTTTTAACTGAACTGCGTGTGTTTCTATTCCAAATAATCCTGTATTTCAGTAACTTGTTAATTACTCTAAGCAGTAGCTATTCCTAAAATGCAAGATTATTATTCATATGTGGGGTTGTATCCAGCTTGTTCATTGCTAACAATAATGACACGGTGAACACAATAGTTTACTGACACGTGATATATCATGATTGTTTGATCCATTGTAGTAAACACCTGACAGTGGTATTACAGTAATTCATTACATACACCTCTTAACTCAGCCCTCTGTGGGCAGTTAAGTATTTCTGCAACAAAATGGAGCAAGAGGAAGCACAGCAAAGATTACTTCCAGAGAATGATGATGAAGGAGGTAGCATACCCACAGATAGGTAAGAAAATGGATATTTTTATTTCTCATAATGAAAAATATTTCCTAGAAACTAGAATATGTCGATTGATGTGAAATCAGTCAGGTTAAGGAATAACCTTGGAACTGTTTTGATTATGCTATACTTATCTATATTTTATGATTGAGCATGTCAAAGATATATAATCTACATCGTTTTAGAATTAGTATATTTTACTGATATTTGCACCTCTTGAAGTTTTATATGAAACGATTTTTGTGTTAACAGTTTAACTCATACAATGAAATAATGTAAACATGGAAATTTATATATAAGGGAAATTCACACTAAACACGCAGAATTCATTCGCCTGCATGAATTTCGCCATGCCTATAAATCTTAGAATGTATTAAATACATATCAAAGTATACATTAGATGTGTGAAGGAACATCAATCTTGGAACTTTATGACCCCTCACATACAGTTTGCCTATTGAAAATCTGAAAATCAGTTCCCCACTTTCACTTATAAAATAATTGTTTTTTGATTTACCATAACTCAAATTTCAGTTGGAATGGAGTTTATATCATATTCTGCATTCTCGGACTAGGATCACTGTTGCCATGGAATTTTTTTATTACTGCCAAAGAGGTAAGATGACGTCATATATTTGTCAAAATAGTAATAATCTCTTCTGCCCTTCTCTTTGAGATATTTGCTGTAATGCATACATGTATGTGTTATGTATTTTGCTGTAAATTAGCTAGAACCATTCAGAATTTTACTTAAATGTTTTGAATAATCTTTTGTTGAAATTATTCTATTGTAAAAGATTAAAATTAACCACAATTTTCATTTGAAATGTCTTAAAAATTAAACTGATCTAGATCTTGCATTTTTTTGGCTATTTTTAGGCATATCATGGAATCTAGGTGTACATTAATTATATGGTATTTCTATTCACCTAGTACTACCTGTTCAAGCTAAGGAACCTCACCTTATCAGTTGATGACATAGACAATCCTCAGCTGCAGACCGAGATGCAAACTATGTTTGAAGGATCAGTTGCAGCTGCTTCTATGTTACCAAATCTCCTCTTCAATTTTTTTACTGCTGGTTTTACACAAAAGTAAGTTCGTTGTTACATTAAAAAGGTCATTTTTTGTAAAGAAAAAAATGGTTTACATTGAAAACTTTGTACATATATATCCATTTGAAAAGTATTCAAAAAGGAAGAAAAAAAACACAAACAGGTATTGGTGAAGGGATCCTTTCCATTTATCTTTTACCTGTATCAAATTTTGAATGTGAAGTGTTTCTTATAAAAAAGATGTGAAAATAAACAGCTAATTCCAATAAAAAGGTCTTACTTTGTAATCTCTGATAATGATATGTTTGGTGACATTTGATCGTTGTGTCTATGTGTAGACATTTAAATTATGTGATAGAATAGGTTACTTATAACAACACAGATGTTTGTATGTTGTAGGTTACCTATAAAAGGAAGGATGGTTGTGTCATGTCTCACTATATTGATAATGTTTGTCTTCACTCTGTCTCTTGTCAACATCAATACTAATTCATGTAAGTCCATACCGATTCTCTTTGGTTTTGGTAGTCCCATTAGCTACATGTGATATGAAATAGTAACCCAATATATTTAAGCAGCAAAACTTGCTTTGGTCAGTTTTCTTCAGTTATGAATAGAGTTGCTCTGAAATTAATAAAATTAATTGCCTTTGCAGTTCAGATTGAATTTGTCTCCAGAGCAACTCAATGAATCAGTCCATGAAATCAACCAAAGCAAGATTCAATAGTTATATTCCAGTTAAGATTTGTTTTAAATATTTTTAGCAAATCCAAGGCTACAGTTACTTGACTCCTCATTTACAGAGTTATTGCCCTTTATAAAATTTCATATCTAGAGCACAACTTTAAATTGCTTGCATTTAAAAAAGAATTATGAAACTTTGTTGTACAATGACCATACTACGACAATGTCCTGTGTACCAAATTCAAGGCACTTGGCTCCTCAAATACAGTTGTTGCACTTTGTTAAACATATCTTGTCCAGAGTCTAAACTTGCATTTAAGGTAGGGTAATGAAACTTAGTGTATACATTGATATACATTGATCATGCAAAGACAATCTGCTCTGTACCATTGTTAGGGCCTTCAACAACTTAATTACAGAGTTATTACCCTTTGTTATAATTTTCTGTCTGGAGCATTATTTTGTACTGTTATATTGAAATGTGATGTATACATCAGTCATATAAAAGGAAAGTGCAGTGTAGCAAAGTCAAGCCCATGACCTCTCATTATGGAATTATTGCCCTTTGTTAATTTTATATGTCATCAGCATAGCTTTACTTGCATTAGATCTAGGATCATGAGACATGGTGTATACATTGATCATGCTAAAAGAATGTGCTGTATACCATATTTAGGGCTTGCAACCCCTTTCATGTCCAATGAAATCATTTTCAGGGAGTCTTTATCAGCTTAACTGATAGTCTTGTCATTTTCAGGCAGTTGAATGTTGAAAAATAGTTGCTTGCCATTTTATAACAGTTGAAAACATTTTACAATCTCATGCAGATATCAAAATGAGTAAAACAAATCTATTCTCCCAAAAATTATCATATATAATATTATCTTTATCAATCTTATATTCTGCAAATCTTGAGCAAATTTAATTATGTCCCCCAAACGAAGTGGGGGGGGGGGGGGACATATTGTGTTTGCTCTGTTTCTTCTTCTTCTTATCATTATTATTTATATTATTCTTATTTCTTCCTCTTTCTTCCCCCGGCGAGGTTTCCAACACGTTTCTCAAAAACTAATGCATGGAATTTAACAAAACTTTACACACATATTCATACATGCGAGGCGGAGTGCAGGCCACTTGAATTTTCCCAATCGGTCATCTGAGCAGTCAGCTGTGGTCTAAATTTGGCCAAATTTGAGATATTGTCTGATTTTCGTGGAAATTGGTATACATGTATTCGGTGGCACTAGGAGCAAAATGGCGAGCAAAATGGCAGTAGTCAAAATTTCCATTTTTCGTGAAAATTGGTATATATGTATTAGTTGGCACTATAGGAGCAAAATGGCGTAGTCCATTTTTCATTCGGCCAACGATTGGTCATCTGAGCAGTCAGCTGTGGTCAAAATTTGGCCAAATTTTAGATACTCTCCGATTTTCGTGAAAATTGGTATATATGTATTAGTTGGCACTATAGGAGCAAAATGGCGTAGTCCATTTTTCATTCGACCATCGATCGGTCATCTGAGTGGTCAGCTGTGGTCTAAATTTGGCCAAATTTGAGATATTGTCTGATTTTCGTGGAAATTGGTATATATGTATTAGATGGCACTAGGAGCAAAATGGCGTAGTCCATGTTTGGCTTGACTGCAGGTCTGATTATTGTGATCATTTACTGCTGAAGGGGTCGTTTGGGGGACATTTGTAATGGTCCTCATTACAATTAGTACTTGTTACTTCTGTTATAAAATGATGCTGTCCTTTATATTGAAAAATTCCTCATTGCTAGTCTTAAAATTTTGTCAAATAACCGTTTTAGTTACCTGGACTGATGTGAATGAACATAACTTTATCTTAATTTTTTTGTTTGAGAATTAAGACATTAATCATACCTTGAATGTGTATACAATAGCACATGAAACAGAATTTTAAAAAAAACTATTATTCCGTCAATTCAAAAAAGTCCTCAATACTGTTGTCATAAAGGTAGCTTTTATCCAAGAATATTGTGTATCAAGATTATTTCTTTTATTGTTTCAGGGCAGATGCCATTTTATGTAGCCACGCTTGTCACCGTTGTGATTCTAAGTGGTATGTAGATGTAGAATGCAAGATTCTGTTTCATCTTGGTTTTCTAAATCGCCAATATTCACACAAGCATGACTATTTTTGGTCTTCATTAATATTTGATACAGTCAAACACAGATAAGTCAATGGTACCAAATGAAATATTCAACTTATCTGATTGTTTGATGGTGTTGCTATGAACGGAGACGTTTTGCATTGAAGATTGAATACCGTGGATACGCACCCATTCTCATACACAGAACTTAGTGAAACTGATACCTACAGTAATACACCCACTCTCATACACAGAATTTAGTGAAACTGATACCTACAGTAATACACCCACTCTCATACACAGAACTTAGTGAAACTGATACCTACAGTAATACACCCACTCTCATACACAGAACTTAGTGAAACTGATACCTACAGTAATACACCCACTCTCATACACAGAACTTAGTGAAACTGATACCTACAGTAATACACACCCTCTCACGCACAGAACTTAGTGAAACTGATACCTACAGTAATACACCCACTCTCACACACAAAACTTAGTGAAACTGATACCTACAGTAATACACCCACTCTCATACACAGAACTTAGTGAAACTGATACCTACAGTAATACACCCACTCTCATACACAGAACAGTGAAACTGATACCTAAAGTAATACAGATATTGTACTTACATTAATATCTTTATGAGTAACAAGTTTCATCAACATTATTTGAAAATAAAACTCAATAAATGTGTTCACATTAACATTCTACTTTTAAATAACATCGGTAGCACTGAGATGGGTTACGAAAAGGTGAAGGTCGTGGCAATGTCATTGAAGCATAACTTTACATGTACAGCACCGGAAGAGCATAATCGTAATAATAAAATAAAACTTGCACTTTGTATAGGTACATGTATATCAGTATTTAAAATCATAAAAACAAATGTGTCAATGACAAACCAGCGTTTTAATCAGTCTGCATTGACATGGTAGTTACCACTTGTTTTTTCCCTCGGTTTCCAGCAGGCATGCGTATAAAAAAGTAAAATAAAACACAGTAGATTTACAGACTACAGTGTATTGTATTTAAAGTTTGGTTGCCTAATTCTGTATAAATTCTTACTTTCACCCATGCACCTTTGTAAACACTGGGTTTAATATTTGATCGAAAATTATAAAAGGGCTAAATTTAACATAAGTACAGCTAAGCTACTCAACAGTGTTTGAATCATTTTGTGTTTCATTTACTTACTAGATAAAGAAGATAAAAAATCAAGACCAAACAAAACTTATACGATGTATTCAATTCAAGTGACTTTTACTGTATGTGAAACATTATGACAGATATCAGGGTCTTTTGTCTTCAAACATTTATAGCATATGTTAACCTGTTGTATCATTGCATCAGGTTCTACACCCTGAATAGATTGTGGATGTCATCAATCAAGATTAAAGGGTCAAAAGTCAACCTGGACCACTTTTGAAATAAAAAGTTTTTGTACAAAATATTTCAGGAACCTGTCATCAGATTTAGTTCATATTCACACCATAGTATTGTTACATCACTTATATAATTTTTTCAAATTTTGATGGTCATGGGTCAAGGCTATAAGGTGAAATAACACTTGATGTCAAGGTACACACCTATAAATGCTATTTTTCATTTTTGAAAGTGAGTTTTATGTTAAATATGTACTTTTTTCATTTCAATAGCCGGGAGTGCTGTATTTACAGCTTCTATGTTTGGTTTGGCTGGAATATTTCCTCCTCGGTACATGCAGGCTGCAGTTAGTGGTCAGGTAAGTAATAATGCCCAACTGAGGTATCTATCCCAGTCAGTGTAACACAACAGTCAAACTTACTGTCTCTCAGGACAAACTGTAAGAGATATCAGCCATTATAAAGATGACCTTCACCTTGATCCAGTAGTCCTGAAACCTGACCTTGACAAAGATATTGGTCATTTGTAAGTGTGATTTGATCATAATCCTATAGGAAAGCTACTGTTAGAGTGCTGCCAGTCTATACAACAAACTATACACAGTCTATACATCAAACTATACACAGTCTATACACAAACTATACACAGTCTATACAACAAACTATACACAGTCTATACATCAAATGGTACACAGTCTATACACAAACTATACACAGACTATACATCAAACTATACACAGTCTATACATCAAACTATACAACTAACTATACACAGTCTATACACAAACTGTACACAGTCTATACATCAAACTATACACAGACTATACATTAAACTATACCCAGTCTATACATCAAACTATACACAGATTATACATCAAACTATACCCAGTCTATACAACAAACTATACACAGTCTATACACAAACTATACACAGTCTATACATCAAACTATACACAGACTATACATCAAACTATACACAGTCTATACACAAACTATACACAGTCTATACATCATACATGGCTATACACAGTCTATACATCAAACTATACACAGTCTATACATCAAACTATACACAGACTATACATCAAACTATACACAGTCTATACATCAAACTATACACAGTCTATACATCAAACTATACACAGACTATACAACAAGTTATAAACTATACACAAACTATACACAAACTATACAACAAACTATACACAGTCTATACATCAAACTATACACAGTCTATACACAAACTATACACAGTCTATACATCAAACTATACACAGTCTATACACAAACTATACACAGTCTATACATCAAACTATACACAGTCTATACATCAAACTATACACAGTCTATACATCAAACTATACACAGTCTATACATCAAACTATACACAGTCTATACATCAAACTATACACAGTCTATACATCAAACTATACACAGTCTATACATCAAACTATACAACAAACTATACACAGTCTATACATCAAACTATACACAGTCTATACATCAAACTATACACAGTCTATACATCAAACTATACACAGTCTATGCATCAAATTATACACAGACTATACATCAAACTATACACAGTCTATACATCAAACTATACAACAAACTATACAAAGTCTATACATCAAACTATACACAGTCTATACATCAAACTATACACAGACTATACATCAGACTATATAAGTCTATACACAAATTATACACAGACAATACATCAAACTATATACAGTCTATACATCAAACTATACACAGACTATACATCAAACTATACACAGTCTATGCATCAAATTATACACAGACTATACATCAAACTATACACAGTCTATACATCAAACTATACAACAAACTATACACAGTCTATACAATAAACTATACACAGACTTCATCGAACTATACACAGTATACAATAAACTATACACAGACTATACATCAGACTATATAAGTCTATACACAAATTATACACAGACAATACATCAAACTATATACAGTCTATACACAAATTATACACAGACAATACATCAAACTATACACAGACTATACATCAAACTATACACAGACTATACACACTATGTATACAACAAATTATACACAGTCTATACATCGAATTATACACAGTCTATACAACAAACTATAAACAGTCTATACATCAAACTATACACAGACTATACATCAGATTATATACAGTCTATACACAAACTATACATGCTTCACTCTTTTAGGGATTTTCATAAATATTTACACATTTTTAAAGCACTAAATATCTTAAGCAGGTTTTATGATTGTTGGGTCAGGGTTGTCATCTCTGTTGATCATGCCTCACACACTTACATATTACCATAACAAATTATTACACATTGGTAATGAAACTGTATTGCCAAATTGCCATACTTAATCATTGAATTGTTTCATTAAAATCAGTCACAAGCTAACTGTACAGTTTTCTCTTTTTTCGAGATTAACACTAAGCAGCACTTTATTTACAAATCATTACACCGTAATATCTTGTGGGAGTCAGTAGGGGATATGTGTTGTTGTTTGTTGTATTGATTTTCTTGGGTTTTTTTTCTATTTGTACAGACAATATAGTTTGTGGTATAGACATTTGCAATATGTCTGAACATCATGTTTCATTTTTTTCAGGCAGTTGGAGGATTATTCGCTGCTGTGGCCAATCTGCTGACTTTATTGGCCGGGTCAACACCACTACACAGTGCCTTTGCCTATTTTATGGCCGCAACTGTAGTATCATTACTTACCTTAATCTGCTATATACTTCTTTATTGCATAGTAAGTGTATAGCTTCAGTGTGGTTTATATCTGTATAACAATGTAAGTGTATAGCTTTAGTGTGGTTTATATCTGTATAACAATGTAAGTGTATAGATTTAGTGTGGTTTATATCTGTATAACAATGTAAGTGTATAGATTTAGTGTGGTTTATATCTGTATAACAATGTAAGTGTATAGATTCAGTGTGGTTTATATCTGTATAACAATGTAAGTGTATAGATTTAGTGTGGTTTATATCTGTATAACAATGTAAGTGTATAGCTTCAGTGTGGTTTATATCTGTATAACAATTTAATTGTATAGATTGAGTGTGGTTTATATCTGTATAACAATGTAAGTGTATAGCTTCAGTGTGGTTTATATCTGTATAACAATGTAAGTGTATAGCTTCAGTGTGGTTTATATCTGTATAACAATGTAAGTGTATAGCTTCAGTGTGGTTTATATCTGTATAACAATGTAAGTGTATAGCTTTAGTGTGGTTTATATCTGTATAACAATGTAAGTGTATAGCTTCAGTGTGGTTTATATCTGTATAACAATGTAAGTGTATAGCTTTAGTGTGGTTTATATCTGTATAACAATGTAAGTGTATAGCTTCAGTGTGGTTTATATCTGTATAACAATGTAAGTGTATAGCTTTAGTGTGGTTTATATCTGTATAACAATGTAAGTGTATAGCTTCAGTGTGGTTTATATCTGTATAACAATGTAAGTGTATAGCTTCAGTGTGGTTTATATCTGTATAACAATGTAAGTGTATAGCTTTAGTGTGGTTTATATCTGTATAACAATATAAGTGTATAGCTTCAGTGTGGTTTATATCTGTATAACAATGTAAGTGTATAGCTTTAGTGTGGTTTATATCTGTATAACAATGTAAGTGTATAGCTTTAGTGTGGTTTATATCTGTAAAACAATATAAGTGTATAGCTTCAGTGTGGTTTATATCTGTATAACAATGTAAGTGTATAGCTTTAGTGTGGTTTATATCTGTATAACAATGTAAGTGTATAGATTCAGTGTGGTTTATATCTGTATAACAATGTAAGTGTATAGCTTTAGTGTGGTTTATATCTGTATAACAATGTAAGTGTATAGCTTCAGTGTGGTTTATATCTGTATAACAATGTAAGTGTATAGCTTTAGTGTGGTTTATATCTGTATAACAATGTAAGTGTATAGCTTCAGTGTGGTTTATATCTGTATAACAATGTAAGTGTATAGCTTTAGTGTGGTTTATATCTGTATAACAATGTAAGTGTATAGCTTTAGTGTGGTTTATATCTGTATAACAATGTAAGTGTATAGATTCAGTGTGGTTTATATCTGTATAACAATGTAAGTGTATAGCTTCAGTGTGGTTTATATCTGTATAACAATGTAAGTGTATAGCTTCAGTGTGGTTTATATCTGTATAACAATGTAAGTGTATAGATTTAGTGTGGTTTATATCTGTATAACAATGTAAGTGTAAGCTTCAGTGTGGTTTATATCTGTATAACAATGTAAGTGTATAGCTTTAGTGTGGTTTATATCTGTACAACAATGTAAGTGTATAGCTTCAGTGTGGTTTATATCTGTATAACAATGTAAGTGTATAGCTTTAGTGTGGTTTATATCTGTATAACAATGTAAGTGTATAGCTTTAGTGTGGTTTATATCTGTATAACAATGTAAGTGTATAGCTTCAGTGTGGTTTATATCTGTATAACAATGTAAGTGTATAGCTTCAGTGTGGTTTATATCTGTATAACAATGTAAGTGTATAGCTTTAGTGTGGTTTATATCTGTACAACAATATAAGTGTATAGCTTCAGTGTGGTTTATATCTGTATAACAATGTAAGTGTATAGCTTTAGTGTGGTTTATATCTGTATAACAATGTAAGTGTATAGCTTTAGTGTGGTTTATATCTGTACAACAATATAAGTGTATAGCTTCAGTGTGGTTTATATCTGTATAACAATGTAAGTGTATAGCTTTAGTGTGGTTTATATCTGTATAACAATGTAAGTGTATAGATTCAGTGTGGTTTATATCTGTATAACAATGTAAGTGTATAGCTTTAGTGTGGTTTATATCTGTTTAACAATGTAAGTGTATAGCTTCAGTGTGATTTATATCTGTATAACAATGTCAGTGTATAGATTTAGTGTGGTTTATATATGTATAACAATGTAAGTGTATAGCTTCAATGTGGTTTATATCTGTATAACAATGTAAGTGTATAGCTTTAGTGTGGTTTATATCTGTATAACAATGTAAGTGTATAGCTTTAGTGTGGTTTATATCTGTATAACAATGTAAGTGTATAGATTCAGTGTGGTTTATATCTGTATAACAATGTAAGTGTATAGCTTCAGTGTGGTTTATATCTGTATAACAATGTAAGTGTATAGCTTCAGTGTGGTTTATATCTGTATAACAATGTAAGTGTATAGATTCAGTGTGGTTTATATCTGTATAACAATGTAAGTGTATAGATTCAGTGTGGTTTATATCTGTATAACAATGTAAGTGTATAGCTTTAGTGTGGTTTATATCTGTATAACAATGTAAGTGTATAGCTTCAGTGTGGTTTATATCTGTATAACAATGTAAGTGTATAGCTTTAGTGTGGTTTATATCTGTATAACAATGTAAGTGTATAGCTTTAGTGTGGTTTATATCTGTATAACAATGTAAGTGTATAGCTTTAGTGTGGTTTATATCTGTATAACAATGTAAGTGTATAGATTCAGTGTGGTTTATATCTGTATAACAATGTAAGTGTATAGCTTTAGTGTGGTTTATATCTGTATAACAATGTAAGTGTATAGCTTCAGTGTGGTTTATATCTGTATAACAATGTAAGTGTATAGCTTCAGTGTGATTTATATCTGTATAACAATGTAAGTGTATAGCTTCAGTGTGGTTTATATCTGTATAACAATGTAAGTGTATAGCTTTAGTGTGGTTTATATCTGTATAACAATGTAAGTGTAAGCTTCAGTGTGGTTTATATCTGTATAACAATGTAAGTGTATAGCTTCAGTGTGGTTTATATCTGTATAACAATGTAAGTGTATAGCTTCAGTGTGGTTTATATCTGTATAACAATGTAAGTGTATAGCTTCAGTGTGGTTTATATCTGTATAACAATGTAAGTGTATAGATTTAGTGTGGTTTTTTTATCTGTATAACAATGTAAGTGTATAGCTTCAGTGTGGTTTATATCTGTATAACAATGTAAGACTAGTGTAAAGCTTCAGTCTAGTATATACTAAATATCTGTACTATACAACTATTCACTAGAACCTTAAAACATGGGCTGGGTTCAAGTTGGTGGGTGTGTAGGTAGGGGAAAGTAATTTGCCGAAATATCTTGTATGATGTTACGGCTTGATTTATTTATCTGTCCCAACTTATTTACATTATGAGAATAAAGAAGGGAAAGAAGGGAGGGGGGATTTAACATGCAGTTAGCCAAATCAACACACCTGTGGGTCCATAAATTCTAAAGGATCTGCTGTTTAGTTAAGGTAGCAAAGAAACTAGATGTTAATTTGATAATGTTTATCTATCTCAGGTCTAGTGAGTACATGTGGGGTGTCACTCATTTGCTCTAGTGAGTACCTGAGGGTATTGGTGTTCTGCCACAGCTATCTCAGGTCTAGTGAGTACATGTGGGGTGTCAGTCATTTGCTCTAGTGAGTACCTGAGGGTATTGTTGTTCTGCCACAGCTGACCATTTATTAATCACAGCCAGAACATGAGTCTTCTTGCCTGTTTTCTGTTTTTTGTCAAGTACTGTTTAAGTAATAGTAAAGACCTGCTTATTTGTAGATAATGTTTTATAACAATGTATACTTACGTTCTCGATAATTTTATTTTTTTCAGGATTATTCAAAGTTTCATTTAGATTTAGATGGTAAGTTACAGTGTCTTCATTGTCTTCATAGTTCATTTTTTGAAATCTGTCAGACATTTTTTGTTGCTTTCATTGCTATATTTGAGTCAGTTTATTTCATTGATATGTATATATCAAGATGAATAAATGTATGTAAGTGAAAAAAAAAACAAAAGATCTGTAACTTTCACACTATGCAATTGTTTCTAGGAATATGTGTAGTTTATATGATTTCATGAAACGTGTGAGATATTCGGTGTAAATTAAATCTATCAAATTCTGAAATATTCATATATCATCACATATTTAACCCTTGTATTACAATAAAGATTGTTCTTGTAAGAAGTTACTAAACGATGTAGGAACCTGTGTATTAATGATGTAGCTGATAACCTTGATTATGTTTTGGTAGTTACAATACAAGAAGATGGATTTGCAGAATCTTCAACTGACAGTATATCTCAGAGAGCATCTTCCGTGTTTCATGTTCTAAGGAAGGTTAGTATTCACCAGTGACATTATCAAAACATTGATTTGGACCAGGATGATATTTGATGGTCCACAAACAAGGGTAAATCCTAAGGATTATGGTTACAATGGGTCGTGTTGGCTAAAAGTTTAACAATTGTTTTGATACGAGGGAAAGTTTGTAGAGTTTTCAGGCAAGAGTAAAACACTACAACTTTTTTAAGTTCAAATATATTTGATTATCATCCATGATTGAAAACCAAGATTTTCAGTTCTAGATGTACCCCCTGCAAGGAGAGGGAGCAGAGGGTTACATTGAAATCAACTTGTCCACCTCTTTCTCTGTCTATCTGTCCAGTGGAATTTGTCAGAACGATTCCTCTTAAACTTGTTGGCCAATTTCAATGAAAGTTTATGCTCATCATACCAGTAATTACCCCCAAGGGGATTCCGGAGGTTGCATCTTGACTTTTAAGGTCATTTAGATATAGCTTCCTTGTTTTGTCCATTGCCATGCACTATCTGTTGTTCCTAATCTTACAGTTTAAATTTTTTTTCCCATGTTCCTGTGGGATTCAGCTGAAAATGATCTGTCTGAACGAACCCTGGTCCTTACCAAGTATTATTATTAGAATTGTTCTGAAATCCAATTTGACTGCCACAGCTGGTATCTTGAATAACTATTTTAAACTTCTTCTCAAGTTGGATTCAGTTCAGACTTACCTGAAATTATCACAAGATTGTCCAAAACATTGTTATCTTTCAGGTCGGTCTGAAAACTATGATGGACACCATCTAAAAAGTATTTTTCATAATCTTTCTCATCAAGCTCAAATTTGCCTGAAGGAATCCTGAGATGGTCCTGACCAAGTGTTGTTATCTTTTCGGGTCAGTCAGAAATGCAATGTTGCCATTATGCCTGTCAACTCTCGTGGTTACTACCCTATGGTATTCCTATGGTGATTTAATTCTATTAGATCATCTAATAAACGTAGGCTGATATTGATGACACTTAATGAAGCTCTGGCATTATGCAGTAGAATTTGATCATTTCAGAGATTGTTGCCATGGTAACAGAACCTGATTAGTGAAGATGTTTTGGTCTGTAAATTTGAAATATCAAACAATTATCAATTGTTATGGTATTTATAACAAGGAAGCTGTATCTATGAGTTTTCAGTTGATTTTGGATAAGTCCAGTCGACCATTGTACATTACAGACTGGCTGAGAGTTCCAGTTTGATTTGATGGGATTTAGTTGTTATTGGTGAATGTAAGTTCAATTTATTCATCCTCCCTTCAGCGTAGATCTGGCACCGGTGATAACTGCCCTTGTTGGGAACTTCCTTTGCCTGATGAAGATGATCTTAAGGCTGACACAGAGGCATATTTTCAGGATTACAACTTCAAGCTTACCGCTATCAGATTGTCAGCTAAATAAATCATCATTTTTCTAAAATAGCTTCATGGATTCCATAAGTAAGTTTCACATGATCTGTAGGTGTGCTGTTTTCATGGATTCCATAAGTAAGTTTCACATGATCTGTAGGTGTGCTGTTTTCATGGATTCCATAAGTAAGTTTCACATGATCCCAAGTTGTGCTGTTTTCATGGATTCCATAAATAAGTTTCACATGATCTGTAGGTGTGCTGTTTTCATGGATTCCATAAGTAAGTTTCACATGATCTGTAGGTGTGCTCATTTCATGGATTCCATAAGTAAGTTTCACATGATCTGTAGGTGTGCTGTTTTCATGGATTCCATAAGTAAGTTTCACATGATCTGTAGGTGTGCTGTTTTCATGGATTCCATAAGTAAGTTTCACATGATCTGTAGGCGTGCTGTTTTCATGGATTCCATAAGTAAGTTTCACATGATCTGTAGGCGTGTTGTTTTCATGGATTCCATAAGTAAGTTTCACATGATCTGTAGGTGTGCTGTTTTCATGGATTCCATAAGTAAGTTTCACATGATCTGTAGGTGTGCTGTTTTCATGGATTCCATAAGTAAGTTTCACATGATCTGTAGGCGTGCTGTTTTCATGGATTCCATAAGTAAGTTTCACATGATCTGTAGGTGTGCTGTTTTCATGGATTCCATAAGTAAGTTTCACATGATCTGTAGGTGTGCTGTTTTCATGGATTCCATAAGTAAGTTTCACATGATCTGTAGGTGTGCTGTTTTCATGGATTCCATAAGTAAGTTTCACATGATCTGTAGGTGTGCTGTTTTCATGGATTCCATAAGTAAGTTTCACATGATCTGTAGGTGTGCTGTTTTCATGGATTCCATAAGTAAGTTTCACATGATCTGTAGGTGTGCTGTTTTCATGGATTCCATAAGTAAGTTTCACATGATCTGTAGGTGTGATGTTTTCATGGATTCCATAAGTAAGTTTCACATGATCTCAAGTTGTGCTGTTTTCATGGATTCCATAAGTAAGTTTCACATGATCTGTAGGTGTGCTGTTTTCATGGATTCCATAAGTAAGTTTCACATGATCTGTAGGTGTGCTGTTTTCATGGATTCCATAAGTAAGTTTCACATGATCTGTAGGTGTGCTGTTTTCATGGATTCCATAAGTAAGTTTCACATGATCTGTAGGTGTGCTGTTTTCATGGATTCCATAAGTAAGTTTCACATGATCTGTAGGTGTGCTGTTTTCATGGATTCCATAAGTAAGTTTCACATGATCTGTAGGTGTGCTGTTTTCATGGATTCCATAAGTAAGTTTCACATGATCTGTAGGTGTGCTGTTTTCATGGATTCCATAAGTAAGTTTCACATGATCTGTAGGTGTGCTGTTTTCATGGATTCCATAAATAAGTTTCACATGATCTGTAGGTGTGCTGTTTTCATGGATTCCATAAGTAAGTTTCACATGATCTGTAGGTGTGCTGTTTTCATGGATTCCATAAATAAGTTTCACATGATCTGTAGGTGTGCTGTTTTCATGGATTCCGATATATAATTATATATTTTAAACACATGATCTGTAGGTGTGCTGTTTTCATGGATTCCATAAGTAAGTTTCACATAATATTAATAATGCAGTTGTACACATACACACTAATATGCCGTTTTTTGCCCACATTGAAAACAATTGTTTTGAGGTACACGCCAGGATATATACTGATTTGTGGTTTGATATTAAAGACTGTTGTAAACTGCGTTATAAAAACACAGCGGTCTTGAAAAAAAGAATTCTTGTCATTGTTAAAGTTTCTTACACAGGATAGACCTTGTTTGGCCTTAATGGTCACCTTTTATTATCTTAACGTTTTACATTTGCATTCCTTTTTCCTCACAGATTTGGCCTGAAGGCTTGGCAGTTTTCCTCACCTTTACTGTGTCACTAAGCTGTTTCCCAGCCATTTCCTCATCTATCATTTCACAACATAAAGATGGCTCAGGGTGGACAGGTAAATTGTTTCCCAGTCATCTTCCTTCCATCTACTTAAAGATAGTTGTTCTGTCTTATACCAGTAGTATTTGGCTGCAAGCATCATCACTGAATGCAGTTATAAATTTATGAAACTTAAAAACCTGAATAATTGTCAGAATTTGATAAACAATTGAAGCAAAGAAATGTTTCTCTCAACTTAAAATGGCTTAAATTTAAGCTGCATTGCTTACAAAAGACAGAATTTTCAAAATTGTTTGAATTAATGACAGTGGTTAATGTTCAGAATTTTAGGTCACCTGAGACAAAGTCTCGGGGATGATCTATTGCATTCCCCTTTTGTCTGGCATTTTGCATCGTACATCATGAACTTTTAACATTCTTCTGGAAAACACTCAAACAGATTTCAATGGAATTTTACAAAAAACCTCTCACGATTAAAGGTGCATCTTATCTTATGGTCCCCAACCTCCAGGGGCCTGAAGAGAAGGTCCAAAAAGGGTCAACTTCAAAAATCTTCTCTAATCTCGGGTATGGTCAAATCAAATGGATGGAAAAGCATTCAGATGCTTCACCAAAATTGTAAATTTCATGACTCATGGGTCTCACATGTCCCCTTGGTGAGTGGGTAAAGTTTACTATAGTTTATGTAAACAAATTAAATTTTTGAACTTGTTCATAAGCCCACCATCTGGTTAGTCCACCATCTGATGATGCTTGGCTATTCAAATCGCCCTGTGTTAGTGGTCTGTAATTTGTCCATCTGTAAATAAACTTTGTTATTTCTACTACTTGATGAGTATCGGATGGATCTCAGATTTTAGCTGTAGGTTCCGCTTGGTCCCTAGTTGTGCCCATTTGACTATGGGACTCACCAGATAAAAATGGCTGGCAGGCTGTCATCTTGGAATTTTTCAATTTGTTTCATGTTTGTTATCACTATTTCTTGAAAAGTACTTTGTGGATCTCTTACAAATTTCATATGTAGGTTCCCCTTGAACCAAAGTTGTGCCCATTTGAATTTGGGTCTGATCTGAAAGACAAAATGGCTAACAGGTGGCCATCTTGCATTTCAAAAATCAAGTTTGTTATTGCTATTTCGAGAAGTACTCAATGGATCTCTGTCAGGTTTTATATCTAGGCTTACTTTTGCTCCTAATTGTGCCAATTTGATTGTTTGACTGGTCAGAAAAACAAAATGGCTGACAGGCTGTCATCTTGGATTTTTACTTTGAAATTTTGTTATTGCTAGATAATTAATGCACACATCTTTCTCAACCTTCAATTGTAGAGGCCCCATTGGTCCCTGGTTGCTCCCATTTGATTTTGGGTCTGTTCAGAAAACAAAATGGCCAACAGGCAGCCATCTTGGATTTTGGCTTAGAAAGATTGTTATTGCTATTTTTTGAGAACTGCAGCATAGAAAGACTATCATCCTTACATCTTGAAAACTACTGCATAGTGGCCATCTTGGATTTTGTTTTTGAAAGTTTGTTATCGCTACTTCTTGAGAAATGTGGCATAAGTATTTCTGAAATTTCATGTAGAGGTTCCTCTTTGTCCCTATTTGTGCCTGTTTGAGTTTGGGACTGATCAGAAAAACAGAATGGCCGACAGGCAGCCATCTTTGATTTTTCCTCATAAACATTGTAATCTCTATTTCTTAAGAAGTACTTAATGGATCTCTCTCAAATTTTTGTTACTGATCAAAAAACCTGAATGGTTTCCAGGCGACTATCTTGGATCTGACAGATAAAGATTATCATCACTATATCTGCAAAGGAATGTTTTTTTGATCATTAATAGCAAAAAGAGAAGAGAAAAGTAGGGAAAAGATCAAACTTTCAAAGAGAAAATTCTTCACAAAAAATGGTGGGCACCAAGATCCCTCTGGGATCTCTCGTTTCAACAAAATCATTTGTATGACATGCTACAAGAAGCATTGTAACTCAGGTGACCATTAAGGCTCTTAGACCTCTTGTCTTTTTTTCAGGGAAATACTTCACTGTCATCGTGTGTTTCCTGTTATTTAATCTAGGAGATTGTGTGGGACGAGTAGTTGGTGGCTTTTTACAAAGGGTGAGTTATTTAGGATAATGTGTAGGATGACTGGTTGGTGAAATGTTACAGAGAGCATGTTATTTTGGAGACCTTGTGGGATGAGTGGTTTGAGGCCTATTGAAAAGGGAAAGTTATTACGATCACCTTCATCTGGTGTCATGCATTATACATCTATAAACAGTTTAACAGTTCTGAATTCTTTTCTAAAGCTCCTGAACCGATTTCAGTGAAATTTAGCAGAAAACTTTCATGGCCTAAGATGAAACAATATAGTGAATTAAATGGTCCCCGCGCCATTGGGGCCTGAGGGGCGGGTCCAAAGGGTCAAGTTTACTCAGATTTCAAAAATCTTCTTCTCAACACCAAGATATAGGGGAGGAATATCTTTTTTAGACATTACTGTAATATTCATAGAAATCTTGTAATTTTGAGCATAACGTTGGTTATTTCCCACTGGAAATAACTTTATACGAATTATCAGTATAGAATGACAGTTTTGATGGAATGCATGTATTGACACTGTCTATATTCATTGTCACAATTTCTGTTTCATGACACTTGATAACTATCCTTTAACCTTTATATTCAATATTGCCACTAGGCCTCTTGTTATAACATGACATCACTTGTGTAGAGTGACATCACTGGTGTAATATAACATGATATCACTGGTGTAATATGACATAATATCACTGGTGTAATATAACATAATATCACTTGTGTAATATAACATGATATCACTTGTGTAGAGTGACATCACTGGTGTAATATAACATGATATCACTGGTGTAATATGACATAATATCACTGGTGTAATATAACATAATATCACTTGTGTAATATAACATGATATCACTTGTGTAGAGTGACATCACTGGTGTAATATAACATGATATCACTGGTGTAATATAACATGATATCACTGGTGTAATATAACATGATATCACTGGTGTAATATGACATAATATCACTGGTGTAATATAACATGATATCACTGGTGTAATATGACATATCACTGGTGTAATATAACATGATATCACTGGTGTAATATGACATAATATCACTGGTGTAATATAACATGATATCACTGGTGTAATATGACATAATATCACTTGTGTATTATGACATAATATCACTGGTGTAATATAACATAATATCACTTGTGTAGTATGACATAATATCACTTGTGTAGTATGACATAATATCACTTGTGTAATGTAACATGTTATCACTTGTGTAGTATGACATAATATCACTTGTGTAATGTAACATGTTATCACTTGTGTAGTATGACATAATATCACTTGTGTAATGTAACATGTTATCACTTGTGTAGTATGACATAATATCACTTGTGTAATGTAACATGTTATCACTGCTGTAATTTGACATAATATCACTTGTGTAATGTAACATGTTATCACTTGTGTAGTATGACATAATATCACTTGTGTAATGTAACATGTTATCACTGCTGTAATTTGACATGATCATTAGTGTGAATTACTTGTATTATATAAAGATTTGATCATTTTTTCAGCCCAAGATTTCGCAGCCATTATTGCTGGTGATAATGTCGTTTGTACGTGTAGCATTCATTCCTCTACTGATGTTATGTGATGCTCAGCCACGTACACACTTACCAGTTGTTTTCACCAGTGATGTGTATCCTGTGGTGTTTATATCACTTCTTGGACTGACCAATGGCTATTTGTGTACCCTCTGTATGATGTATGGACCAAAGTAAGTGAAATAATTCGATTTCCTTGACTGCATATTAGCTCATAGATGTCATATGTGTGAAGAAAGTTATCACAGCATCTGAAGAAATGTTTTTTATATTTGTTTAATTAATTGACCACTTTCAGTGTCACCTGGGTCAAATTTGCTAGGTCTAATATTTGAATCAAGAATATATATGGGCTTATATATAGAAGAATCAATTTTGTATAAACAGTGGATCTCAGCTCATATGGCAGGAGTGATGGGAAATATGTAGGAAGGCCTGGATTCTGTCTCAGTTTAGTGTGAGATATGAATGGGAAAAGGGAAATAACTTTGTATGACCAGTGGTTCCAGCCCTTTGGGACTAGAGGGGTGGGACCAAATAATGGAATGGAATTAAGACACTCTTGGTGAAGAGAACTTAGTTATTTACAAACAGCTACATCTAACCCCTTTTGGAGGAGGGTCAAGCCTATTACAGGGAAATAGATACAAGTGTTTTAATACTTTTCCCTTAGTTAAAATAAATGAATTTCAGCAAACTATACCTGGTGAGCTATCCAATATCTTTCTTGTTATTTATGTATAATAATTTCATGGTTGGTCACCAATAAATTGGTAGTCTTGATTCTTCAAATGGATATGAAAAGGGTATGTGGTCACTTGCCATACAACATGATTTGTAGTTCGACTGGCCCAAAGGTCATCATCGTCTGTCAACTTATTCCTTTAAAATCACTACTTGTCATTAAAGACATACAGGATATTGATCAAATGTGGTCAGATGCATCCCTTGGGGAAGGAGAATAAATTTTGTACAAATGGTTTGTCCCAGCCTCCAGGGGTTAGAGGTGTGGGGCCCAAAAGGGGAAATCTTAAAATCCTTTTCCTCCTGTAGGAATGATTGGTTTTTGCCTATGGGCCTCTTGTTAATTAGCAGCTGTAGGACAGGTTTTCGATGAGTTTCGGCTGTATGTATATCAGTCATACAAAAATAAGATGCATTGTAGCAGAGTTGTTGCCCTTTGTTAAAATTTTGTGTCATGAGCATAGCTTTGCTAGTCTTTAAGCAAGGATCATGAAACTAGGTGTATACATTTGCCATACTATGAGAATGTGCAGTATATCAAATTACATAATTATTGCCATTTGTTTAGTTTCTGTCCAATAAAGTTATTTTCGGGGAGCATTCATCACTTTCACTGATACTCTTGTTTTTTGTTTGCCAAAAAAATTCTTTGATCATTGGCAATTTTTTTTCAATTTCATCAGTAACCCTCGTGTTTATATATAAACCATAATAAATTATATAAAAAAGGTGTTGATTATGTAACTATTTAATTTGCGAATGATGCCAAATCATTATCAAAAATACCAACCGTAACATCAAAATATCAATAACATTATTGGTCCTTGTATTCTTTCAGAAAAGTGTTGCTGAAGGATGCAGAGTTTGCTGGAGCAAGCATGTCTGTGTGTACCACTGTAGGCTTGGCACTTGGCTCCCTTATCTCCTTGCTGCTTGTCAAGATGTTGTAGGAAGATGGAGAAAACAGTGTATTGGTCACAGACTTTCCCTCAATAAATCCAAATCATACCAAGATTTTTTTTTCTTTAGAAGATTAGACTTAAAACAAATGCATGTTCTTTCTGTTTTCATATGAGGAAGGAGTGGAAAGGAAACTTCAGAAGTTAATTTTCTATTGACATTGGTGTCCATGGCAACAAAGAGATGTGTTTAGGATTGAAGTCAAGGTCAAGTTCTAAGAAAGAATAATTACTAGAATTAAGTGTTTATATATTTATAGGAATCTCTTTGAAAAACTATGTTTATAATTTTGATAGTGAAGACAGATTTGAAGACTTTTGTTGTCAAACAGTCATGTTCAAAAGCAAACTTAAACTATTTAAATTGTTATGTTACTTGATCTGACAGAATGTGCTTCAAATGAACAGTAATTCATACAAATGTATTTATCTTATGTCTGGTGCTTATTTTGTGAATGTACCTGAAAATTGACATTCTATGCATGTTTGAATATTTTGTTTGTGATTGTACATGAAAACTATTCTGTGATGTATGCCAGATCTGTTTTTGAGCCTTTACCTCAGATATCTTTTTATCGGGTACATTTTTAAAGATATAAATAGATCTATATGAATGAAAAAAAAATAAAAAATTGATTTGTTGTACAATATTTACATATTTATTTGACAATTTGCCTTAAGTGAGCTGATGCTATGGCGTGGCTTCCGTTGTCGATTTGGACCTTGTCAACATTGTATTTCAAGTAACTGAACAACTGAATGGTCCAGGGTAATATAACCATACTTGGCTAGGACACTAGGACGAAGACTCTGACCTGCTTTCAAGGTCAAGTTGGCTCACCTGGTATTCAATTTACATCAGAAATAGAATTGGTATAAATATTACAAAAATATTGACATGTCCACCATTGGCATTCAATATGAGCACATCCAATCAATTGTAACCAATTTCCATAACAAATAGCATCCAATACTCCACTCTAAAGAATGGCAGTTATGTCCTGGTAAATGCTATTTCTTTTTTTTCTCAACAAATTGTTGGTTTTTGACCTAGGAACACCTTTCCACCCAAAATTCTGCTTCTAAGACTTTTGGTTCGGGTGTCATCCTCAGAAGCTATCAGCCAAATGCTATGATTCTGCACCTTTTGGTAAATAAGAAGAAGTTGTTTTGGAGTTTGAACAAATTTGAATACATGATCTTGAATAAGGGTTAAAGTCATTTCTTTTTTGTAATCTTTGCCAGGCTTCGTCTTAGGAACCTATAGCCCAAATACCATGCCTCTGCAACATTTGGAAAGTCATAAAAAGTTACTTTAAGGTTTTAATAAATTTGACCCCTGTGATCCTGAATAAGGGCCTGATCATTTCTTTCAGCAAACTTTGTTGGGCTTCATGCTAGGAACCTTTCACAGGAGTTCCATGCTTCTGTCACTTTTGGTTAGCCAAAAGAAGTCCTTTAAAGGCTTTAACAAATACAACCTATGTGAACTTTAATATGGGTCAAGGTTATTTCTTTTCGCAAACTTGGTCATGCTTTTACCATATAAACCTATATCTCAAATGCCATGTTTTTGTGCCTTTTAGCTAGTCAGAAGAAATCTATGAAGGACATAACAAATTTCAGCCCTGAAACCATGAATAACGGTCAAGGTAATTCCTTTTCCCAAAAATACTAGGGCTTCCTCCAAGAATCCCACCACCTAAATGCAATCTTGTCAGTCACTTTCAGTAGGTCATGAGATCATGTCAGCCAGTTTCAGTAACTTCTACCAATAATGTAGTGTTGTCAGTCGGTTTCAGTAACTCCTTTCAATGATGAAATCTCTAACTAGTTTCAGTAAGTCCCTTCAATAATGAAATATTATCTGCCAGTTTTATTGAGTTCTACCAATGATGAAACCTTGTCAGCCAGTTTCAGTAACTTCAACCAATGATGAAATCTCCTGTGCCAGTTTCAGTATTAAGATCTTTCATTAATGAAATCTTCACACCAAGTTTCAGTAAATCCTTTCGATGATGAAATATTGTCAACCAGTTTCAGTAAGTCCTATCAATGATGAAATCTTATCAGCCGGTTTCTGTAAGTCCTGTCAATGATGAAATGTAGTCAACAAGTTTCAAAAAGTCCTGTCAATGATGAAATGTGGTCAGCACATTTCAAAACATCTGTCAATGATGAAATCTGGTCAGCAAGTTTCAAAAAGTCCTGTCAATGATTAAATCTCTGCTGCCTGTTTTATTAACTCCAGTCACTGGTGAAATCTCCTGAACCAGTTTTAGTAAGTCCTATCAAATTTTGTTGGCCAGTTTCAGAAAGTTCTGTCATTGATGAAATCTTCTCTGTTTCATTAAGTGTTCTATTAGTGTTGAAATCTTCGGTAAATCCTGTTTAAAATGAAATCTTGTCTTCATTTAGTCCTGTTTATCATCAAATCCTGTCTTCAGTAAGTCCTGTTTATCATCAAATCCTATCTTCAGTAAGTCCTGTTTATGACAAATCCTGTCTTTAGTAAGTCCTAATAATGAAAAAACCTATCTGAAGTAAGTCCTGCTTACGACAAATCCTGTCTTCAGTAAGTTCTGTTTATGACAAATCCTGTCTTTAGTAAGTCCTGTTTATGACAAATCCTGTCTTTAGTAAGTCCTAATAATGAAAAAACCTATCTGAAGTAAGTCCTGCTTATGACAAATCCTGTCTTCAGTAAGTCCTGTTTATCATCAAATCCTATCTTCAGTAAGTCCTGTTTATGACAAATCCTGTCTTTAGTAAGTCCTAATAATGAAAAAACCTATCTGAAGTAAGTCCTGCTTACGACAAATCCTGTCTTCAGTAAGTTCTGTTTATGACAAATCCTGTCTTTAGTAAGTCCTAATAATGATAAAACCTATCTGAAGTAAGTCCTGCTTATGACAAATCCTGTCTTCAGTAAGTTCTGTTTATGATCAAATCCTGTCTTCAGTTAGTCCTTTCAATCTTGTAAAGTCTTTTCTGTCTGTTTTTATTTCCAGTTGAATATCAGTTCCTGCTTAGTGTGTAATGGAATAATCTGCTACAGTGTAGTCACAAACATGTTTATTTTCAATACACATGTGTATATTTATTAGGTCTATCATATTTAGGTCAGTACTACTAACATTACTCATTCTCTCCCTCTAACACTATGAATCTTTCTCTCTCACTCAATCAAACCTATAACAGATATATATATAAAGAGAAGGAGAGACATATATATATATGAAATATTAACTTTAAATTTTTCCATTCAATGACATTTTTTCTGCTGAATGTCTCTCAGGATTTAAATTTCTACAGAAAATCCAGCACAGAGAACAGTATCATCTGTAGTGTGGGAACCTTTCAATACTTTTATAAGATGTGCACTCTTTTTAGAAAAATGAATTTGGCATCACGGTTAGGTCCAATACTGGAGTAAAAATGTTTTAGGCACAAATGATGGATTAACTTTCAGTGCTGAGGTTTTGTTCTTCAGCTGATGTAATACACAGTTCATGTCTTTTTTTGGCATCCTGTCATGATAGGCCTTTATTAGACCCCAGCATTGAAATAAAATATTTCGGCATCTAGACCTAGACAACACCAGTTGTCAACTCCAAATTGTGAGAATTAGGATTTCATGAATGTCACTTCGAAAATAACAAATTTTCCAAAGTTGACTTCTGTTGCCATAAATAAAGGTGTTTAATATCTATCTGAAGGACTTTTATGTGACCACCAGTAAAGGATGTGGCTATATTCACACAAACACTTCTATGTAACCACCGCCAGAGAACGTGACTCAATCCACATAAACACTTCTATGTGGCCAACGGTGGAGGATGGGGCTCCATACACACAAACACTTCTATATGGCTAACGGTGGAGGATGGGGCTCCATCCATGCCTTTTGTAGCTCTGGGACACCATCTTGCCCTAGGGCAGGGTCCATTTGGGCCTGGGTTAGGAATGTAGCACCAGAATCATCTTCAGTTCTGAAACATATCAACTGGAATTTTAGATTCCAAGATATCTTTGGAAACAAGAAACAAAAAAGAAAATAATAAACAAACATCCTGAGCTTTTGATGAATGGTAAAATGAATTTTGCCATGACTAGAGAAATGATGAGCATTATGATATAGTAATTGGTAATCTTGTGCTGTTCCTTTTAAGTTTAAGTAAAAAGAAGTGACATGACTTTACTATTCATTGAATAACGTGTTTAAATATCTTCCAAATTATACTGGGTTAAAGTATCACTCCAATTTTCCATCTATACTGACTTGAATTATCTTTCCATGTATACTGGATTAAAGGATCTTTCCATCTTTACTTGGATTATGTATATCACCATCTATTCTTGGTTAAAGTATCTCCCTATCTACATTGGGTGAAAGAATTCTCAATCTTTACTAGGTTTAAGTATCTCCCCATCTGTACTTGGTTTATGTATATCACTATCTATTCTTGGTTAAAGGATCTTTCCATCTCTCCTCTATGATCCTTACTGCCTTGTTCATGTTTTATATATCCTCACATTAGGCCCCAGCATCAGTGACAAGTCCTTGAAGGGTGCCAGGTCCTTGAAGGGTGCCAGGAATGTATGATGTAACTGATTTTATTTTCAGTATTAAATGTAATATCTTAATAACCATTGTTGCTGGAATGCGGTCTTATGTTACTTATTGATGTGGTACTGTGCCTATGACGGTGTAATAGGATCGAGGTTACCTACTTTTCTCCCTGTGTGATGCTCAGGCGGTGCTGTCTCTGCTCTATAGATGGAAGGGGAGGGGCCGACAGAGAATTACCTTCTCGTTGCCTACTACCATTCATTCTTGCAAACAGATATCGTAGAATTCTTTCCTTCTGTTCCCAAGTGAGATCCCCAATGTCAACTTTACCTGATATGTCATATCTAAAAGCAACACAAAGTAAATTAATGTTGTAACATTTAACCAATCAATCCATTGTTTGACTGTAAAAACTGTGTCTAATTTTAGTTATATCTAACCAAAAAAGCTAGACTTGAGATTAGAACAAGTGGTGCACAGCTACAAACGCAGTATCAAAATGTAATACTTTGTCAACCATTAAAACTACATATTCTACACTACATAACAATATGTGAAAAAAAATGAAGACATTCCAACATGCCATGCTTGGTAAGAACAGAGTCAGCATTCTTGACATGCACATTCACAGTACCGTGGGAGCACTGATGGCAAATACATGTAGAATGATGTCATAATTGATGTTTGTATTCTTATAAAGTTATCCTAAAACTAATCATTATTACAATTCAAAATTGAACTTTTGAAAGATCACTTTGAGTGATCATTTTATGAAAGATATCTATATATCATATACATTATTACAAGTGGTTTTTTTTTGTAGGTTACTCAGACTCCAGAAATATTGAGGGTCAGTCAGATGTATATTTGTCTCAAACATTCCTCCTCCCTTCATCAACAAAAAAAATTCTGACAACGGTCTATATTCCTGTTTAACTAAAAGATGAACGGTATAAACTTGGAGTACTGATTCTGTGAACATGAATGACATTTTGTGTATAATTATCATGAAATATCAGAGCTACATATGCCATAATGATGTTTAAGGCCATAATGCAGCTATTAATCCAATGAGATAAATAGATTTTATTCTGAGGTGAAACAAACACATGAGTTTTTATACACCTGTCAAAGTTAACAAGTTGAGTATGGTACAGACAGTTTGACAGGAAGGAATTGTCCATTCAATAGTTTTGTAGTTCTTAAGATGTTACTGAAAGATTGGTATATGTTCAGGTGTGAGCTGTGATGATATACTGTGGATATGTGAAATGTAACATTTATAGTGTGACCTTTAACCTCACAAACCCCAAATAACTGATGCACTTACTTGACCTTCCTCCTGACAGATGTGAAAAGAAGAAAATATGGACTGATCATGACTTTGTTGATAATAACAATGAAAAGAACAAATAACATGTAACAAGGGTGCAGAAAGAATTCATGGGGAATTGTCTGTGTGGAGTTACACAGGATAGAGACAGCACAGGGAACTGTCTGTGTGGAGTAACACAGGATAGAGACAACACAGGGAACTGTCTGTGTGGAGTTGCACAGGTGATGGACAACACAGGGAACTGTCTGTGTGGAGTTACACAGGATAGAGACAACACAGGCAACTGTCTGTGTAGAGTTACACAGGTGATGGACAACAGAGGGAACTGTCTGTGTGGAGTTACACAGGATAGAGACAACACAGGCAACTGTCTGTGTAGAGTTACACAGGTGATGGACAACAGAGGGAACTGTCTGTGTGGAGTTACACAGGATAGAGACAACACAACAAACTGTCTGTGTGGAGTTACACAGGTGATGGACAACAGAGGGAACTGTCTGTGTGGAGTTACACAGGATAGAGACAACACAGGGAACTGTCTGTGTGGAGTTACACAGGATAGAGACAACACAGCAAACTGTGTGGAGTTACACAGGATAGAGACAACACAACAAACTGTCTGTGTGGAGTTACACAGGATAGAGACAACACAACAAACTGTCTGTGTGGAGTTACACAGGATAGAGACAACACAGGGAACTGTCTGTGTGGAGTTACACAGGATAGAGACAACAGAGGGAACTGTCTGTGTGGAGTTACACAGGATAGAGACAACACAGGGAACTGTCTGTGTGGAGTTACACAGATAGAGATAACAGAGGGAATTGTCTGTGTGGAGTTACACAGGATAGAGACAATACAGGTAACTGTTGGTGTGGGGCCACACAGGTGATGGACAACAGAGGGAACTGTCAGTTTGGGGCCACACAGGTGATGGACAACAGAGGGAACTGCCAGTGTGGGGCCACACAGGTGATGGACAACAGTGGGGACTATCAATGTGAAGCTACACAGGTGATGGACAACAGTGGGGACTATCAATGTGAAGCTACACAGGTGATGGACAACAGTGGGGACTATCAATGTGAAGCTACACAGGTGATGGACAACAGTGGGGACTATCAATGTGAAGCTACACAGGTGATGGACAACAGTGGGGACTATCATTGTGAAGCTACACAGGTGATGGACAATAGGTCCTCTCTAAGCTATAACAAGGTCCTCTCTAAGCTATAACTAGGTCCTCTCTAAGCTATAACTAGGTTGTCTCTAAGCTATAATTAGGTCCTCTCTAAGCTATAACTAGGTCCTCTCTAAGCTATAACTAGGTCCTCTCTAAGCTATAATTAGGTCCTCTCTAAGCTATAACAAGGTCGTCTCTAAGCTATAACTAGGTCCTCTCTAAGCTATAACAAGGTCGTCTCTAAGCTATAATTAGGTCCTCTCTAAGCTATAATCAGGTCCTCTCTAAGCTATAACTAGGTCCTCTCTAAGCTATAACTAGGTCCTCTCTAAGCTATAACAAGGTCGTCTCTAAGCTATAATTAGGTCCTCTCTAAGCTATAATTAGGTCCTCTCTAAGCTATAACTAGGTCCTCTCTAAGCTATAACTAGGTCCTCTCTAAGCTATAACTAGGTCCTCTCTAAGCTATAACTAAGTCCTCTCTAAGCTATAACTAGGTCCTCTCTAAGCTATAACAAGGTCCTCTCTAAGCTATATCAAAAGGTCCTCTCTAAGCTATAACTAGGTCCTCTCTAAGCTATAACAAGGTCCTCTCTAAGCTATAACAAGGTCCTCTCTAAGCTATAACTAGGTCCTCTCTAAGCTATAACAAGGTCCTCTCTAAGCTATAACTAGGTCCTCTCTAAGCTATAACTAGGTCCTCTCTAAGCTATAACTAGGTCCTCTCTAAGCTATAACTAGGTCCCATCTAAGCTATAACTAAGTCCTCTCTAAGCTATAACTAGGTCCTCTCTAAGCTATAACAAGGTCGTCTCTAAGCTATAACAAGGTCCTCTCTAAGCTATAACTAGGTCCTCTCTAAGCTATAACTAGGTCCTCTCTAAGCTATAACTAAGTCCTCTCTAAGCTATAACTAAGTCCTCTCTAAGCTATAATTAGGTCCTCTCTAAGCTATAACTAGGTCCTCTCTAAGCTATAACTAAGTCCTCTCTAAGCTATAACAAGGTCCTCTCTAAGCTATAACTAAGTCCTCTCTAAGCTATAACTAAGTCCTCTCTAAGCTATAATTAGGTCCTCTCTAAGCTATAACTAAGTCCTCTCTAAGCTATAATTAGGTCCTCTCTAAGCTAAAACAAGGTCCTCTCTAAGCTATAACTAAGTCCTCTCTAAGCTATAACAAGGTCCCATCTAAGCTATAACAAAGGTCGTCTCTAAGCTATAACTAGGTCCTCTCTAAGCTATAACTAAGTCCTCTCTAAGCTATAATTAGGTCCTCTCTAAGCTATAACTAGGTCCTCTCTAAGCTATAACTAGGTCCTCTCTAAGCTATAACTAGGTCCTCTCTAAGCTATAACAAGGTCCTCTCTAAGCTATAACTAGGTCCTCTCTAAGCTATAACTAGGTCGTCTCTAAGCTATAACAAGGTCCTCTCTAAGCTATAACTAGGTCCTCTCTAAGCTATAACAAGGTCGTCTCTAAGCTATAACTAGGTCCTCTCTAAGCTATAACTAAGTCCTCTCTAAGCTATAACTAGGTCCTCTCTAAGCTATAACTAGGTCCTCTCTAAGCTATAACTAGGTCTTTTGTAGTACACCCTATACAAAATCAGTCCTAGCTATAACAAGGTTTTTTGTAACACACTTGTTACACAATGAGTCCTGGTCATGACTAGGTCCCCTGTGTATAAGGACTATCTGCACACAGCTACACAACAGCTAGACAACATAACAAAGCTAGATAACACAGCCAGACAACATAGCTAGACAACATTTATCAATAAAAATGTAAAATATATCCATAGCACATAATGGCAGCTGATGTGTACAACAAAAAACATCAATTTAAACATTTGATGATAAGTTTGATATATAATGTTCTTGAAATGCTGATGCACCATGATAATTGTTAGGCAGTGCATTCTCAAACCAATGCCTGACCAAAGAAACACCATGAAATTCAAGCTTCAAGATATCATAGCAAATCATTTCATACATGGACATCCTAGATATGCCAAAAGCTGTATGATAAAAATATTTCTTTGACCTTGATGTACCAAAACATTGATTCTCAAACCTTATATCATCCATGTTTTCTTTCATGTTTAGATTTGACTTAATATTTGTACTTGAATTATTAGAAGGTAAATGTACCAAAATTGAAGAAACATTTTAATCTCTTCTTAATGTTTTACATTTACCTAATTAAAGGACAAAAAATACAGGTTCTCTGATCTGATATGTACATGTATAAGGATAAAGTACTTTGTGTAACACTGTAAGTAAACAAGAGATCGCAAAGGGACCTTGGCACCCGACATTGTTTGATCTTTATTTGCTCTTTGAAAGTTGGATCTTTTCCGTTCTTTTCACTTCTCTGTTTTTGCTCTTAATGATAAGACATTTGAACATTCCTTTGCAGAAATTGTGATCAAAATGTTTACCTGCCAAATCCAAAATGGCCACCTGGAAGCCATTTTATTTCTTCTTATCACAAGGAGAGATAAAAAGGGAACGTACGTATGAAATTCGAGAGACATCCATTCAGTACTTCTCAAGAAATGGCAATAACAATCTTTACTAGGCAAAATCTAAGGTGGCTGCCTGTTGGCCATTTTATTTTTCCTATCAGTCCCAAATTCAAATAGGCACAACTCAGGAACTAAGGAACCCTATACATGAAATTTGAGAATGAACTATTCAGGAGGTCTCAAGAAATAGTGATAACAAACTTTCAAAGTCAAAATCTAAAACCTTTCAACCATTATGTTTTTCTGATCAGTTCCAATATTACATTGGCATAACTAGATACCAAGGGGAACCTCAATATGAAATTTGAGAGAGATCCATTCAGTACTCCTCGAGAAATAGCGATAACAAACATTGATTACGGACGGATGACAGAGGGATGGACCACAGACACAGAGCGATCTGAATAGCCCACCATCTGACATATAACATAGACGTCCATATATTATGATTCTCTGTTATGGTTATACACTAGTATCTATATATATATATATATATACAGACATATAACACAGATGTCCTTACATTCTGATTCTCTGTTATGGTTATACACTAGTATCTATATATATACAGACATATAACACAGATGCCCTTATATTCTGATTCTCTGTTATGGTTATACACTAGTATCTATATATATATATATATATATATATATATATATATATACAGACATATAACACAGATGTCCTTATATTCTGATTCTCTGTTATGTTTATACACCAGTATCTATATATACAGACATATAACACAGATGCCCTTATATTCTGATTCTCTGTTATGGTTATACACTAGTATCTATATATATATATATATATATATATATATACATACAGACATATAACACAGATGTCCTTATATTCTGATTCTCTGTTATGTTTATACACCAGTATCTATATATATATATAGATGTCCATACATATAACATCTGTTATGTTTATACACCAGTATCTATATATACAGACATATAACACAGATGTCCTTATATTCTGATTCTCTGTTATGGTTATACACTAGTATCTATATATACAGACATATAACACAGATGTCCTTATATTCTGATTCTCTGTTATGGTTATACACTAGTATCTATATATACAGATTTATAACACAGATGTCCTTATATTCTGATTCTCTGTTATGTTTATACACCAGTATCTATATATACAGACATATAACACAGATGTCCTTATATTCTGATTCTCTGTTATGGTTATACACTAGTATCTATATATATATACAGACATATAACACAGATGTCCTTACAGTCTGATTATTGGCCATGTAATCCAGCTAGCCCTTTTACAAGTAGCGGAACTGGTTTATTTCAGCAAAGCTAAATGTCTAATTCCAACACCTTATGTAATTTTACCATAGACATATATACTACACATGGAAATATCAGGGTGTCAGAATATGAATAGAAACAAGTAGTGAACGGTTTTGTATTCAAATTAATTAAATCATTTTGGATTATTGATATACAGCATTCTATGTATATTGCTTCACAATATTTTTTCTAATTTCCATTGCAGCTCACAAAATCTTCCCAATATCCATAATAATTCTCATTTTATAATAAAAATTAGGGAATTATTAAAAGTTTTGTTTAGAATTCTAACAGATATCCTCTCAACAAGGCCCTCTACAAAATGAAAGTTAACAAGAAAATTTAAACTACATTGCATGCATTTCAATATTATATAAATGCAAGAAATATATAAAGGTATTATAATTATAATATACGGTTATAATCTGTCGCAATTCAAAACAATATTATAATCATACTTCAATAATGGGGTCAAAGGATGAGACAAGTTTTTTTTCAAAAAGGAATTTAATCAAATGTTTGAAGCTACCGAGTTACAGATCAACATAAATGTAACTTACAGAGTTTCGGCAGCCTCTAAATCCTTGTACACACTGTTTGTGCTCTGGTCAGATTTATTGAAAGTCCTAATTCTAGGGTAATCTCCCTTTCCAGAGAATGCTTTCAGCATCCTCTGTTGATAAGCCCCCTGGGCATCTCTGCGATATTGAGCCCTGAAAAATATCAAGTTTATTTGTCAATTTCATCAAGGAAGCATCCTGAGTGGTCACTAGGAACAGTGTAGTATCAAGCTGTCTGAATGATACACAAATCATTTGTGATTTTCCAATTCATTGAAATAACATGAAGCTAACATATCCAGGCATTTGTAACCAATCCGACTGAAGACATATCTAAAAAGCTGGGTTTGAATTATGAACAACTCAGAAAAGTTGTAGTAATATGGTCTTTAATGAATTTATTGATTAATGAGAAACAGCTGATTCTATTGAAATCATTCAATGATATTTTACAATTTTGCATTATTCGTGTTTTCTTTTCTTTTATTTAAAATCATTTCTTTATTTTCAGTATCTTTTTGTTGTGATAAATTGTAATTAACTAAGACATTCCGATATGTTCATAAAAGCACAATTCGTATTGAGGGATAACTAAAACTAGTTATGTTACAGTAAATTTAACATAAATGACTCCGTCAGTTATTCAATTAACTTGAGTTAAATTGTAGTTATTTCCAATTACTCCAATGGCATGGAAAGTTAATTCTGTAAACTTTGGAATTGATAAATGTAACTGTATATTAACAAAAAAAACTGTAAATATAAAGATTAACTTGAGTTAATTTTACATCTGTAAGTTATTTAATTAACTTGTGTCAATTTGATGAATGAGTAAATGAGAATGGTATCTGTAAATATTGATAAATATTAATGCCAAAATCAATCAAATATCTACCTTAGTATAAAAATACATAAATCAACCATATTGTGCAGAATGATAGGCACTTTCAATGTGCTGTTGCTCAATGTGAAAATGAGAAATAAAAATGAAGACAAAACAATTCTGATATAATAAGAGACAGATATGTGAATGAACATTGAAAATAATTGTGTAGAAGGTGAGCCCTAGATAAGACCGTACAATCATTGTATCATGATGTGATTGGCTTTTGTGGGAAGTAGACGACACTTGATGCAGAGCTGTACTGGTGTAAGGACAATCATTATCATTGCAGACCATTAGTGTGTGAAAAGTAAAAGATCACAAGTGCAAATTAATGTCTTAGACCTTAAGATCAAATTTTGACATAACTTCATTTCATCACTTCGGTATAACAACAAGATATGTAAAATGACAATGTTTTAAGTAAATTCTATGCCACCAACAAAGAATATAACAGAATCTTTACATTAAACCTAAAACTATGATTTGTTGAAATTAGGCCACAGTTAAAACATGGATGAAATGTGTCACCGTTGTTGCTGAAAGGTAAATGCAACAAAGACCATCCATTTCTGAGCTTCCTGAGAGACAAAAACAGTCACAGGTAGGATGTATTGAACAACAAATCACAAATTTTCACCTGAGGTTTTTTGTAGGCAAACACTGTTTTGACTGAGGTATTACTTTAAGTATTCAAATGTCACCTGCATCTGGTTATTTGTTTTGGATGACAATAAAGCAGAATTTTCATGAAAATCAGCTATCAATGTAACATACTTAAAAAAAAAACTAAAATTTGAAATATATGTGGCTCAATGATTCAATATATATGCCAATGTACATGTTTCCTAAAACAGACTGGTTCATTACCGCTTAAAAACATGTGGAACTTCTGAAGTATCAAAATAAGCGTGCATCAACTTTTGTAAAGCAAACAGATACAGCCACAACTATTGAGGAAAATAATGACTCCATGAGAACATATTACAGCATGCTACATGAACAAGAGTTACCTGTAAAGGTTCAAAGATTTACCTGTAGTCAGAGGTACCCACCCATATCTACCTCAGTATTTTATCCACGGAAGTCTAATGGTAAAGCAATAATTCACATAACAAACGTGTAAAAGACAATATATAACAGCCCTTATATAGTCTTAATATTCACTTGGTACCTTGTGTATAAAATAACTCTGATATACCCTTGTTTGTGTGTGTACATTGTATATATATAATGCCCCTTATGTACCCCTGATACTCACATGTGTACATTGTATATATATAATGCCCCTTATGTACCCGATACTCACATGTGTACATTGTATATATATAATGCCCCTTATGTACCCGATACTCACATGTGTACATTGTATATATATATAATGCCCCTTATGTACCCGATACTCACATGTGTACATTGTATATATATAATGCCCCTTATGTACCCCTGATACTCACATGTGTATCGTGTATATAATTAATATATATATTATACCCCTTATGTACCCATTAAATATATTCAAGTGTTTACCTTGCATGTATATATAATGCTCCTTATATACAAACAATATTTACAAGAATTTTTTTAATTTTAACATTTATTGAAATTTGTTGTATATGTATGTTTTTATGTATATGTTGCTTAACAAAAACAGACAATTTCAATTACTATATATACTTGTATATAAAAGTTATATATGTTTTTATAAGGGGTATTATATGTATATAAAACCCTATACATACAAGTGCAGATATATCTATTTACATTGTTTAATATCTGTTCAAGACAAGGAAACATACAGTGTTTGGAGTTTGGTATCTTTAGCATGATAAGTTAATATGATATTCTTTGTGTTATAAAAAAATTGAAAGCAACAGAGTTCCACTTAACCAGTTATGTATCAGGAACATAAATCACCCACATAGTTAAAAACCATATGTAATGTAGAACTTCAATAACAAAAAGCTCAAATTTCAGCAAAGACTAGAGGCTATTTACTAAGGTTCCCTAGCAGTTCCATGCATCTCGTCAACCATGATTAATTTCAAATGTCTGATAGTTTCTCAACTACTATTGAAAACATTACAGATTGATGTATCAGCACAAATCAACTTACTGGTTGGCTGCAATTTCATGCCTGACTTGCTCAAGTGATTCGAGGAAGAATCTTTCCAGTTCTGTTCGCTGATCCAGTATATTTTTCGCAAGTTTCTTCACCTTATTCATTTCCTTATTTTTCAGTTCTATAACTCGCTGGAGTTTTGCAATCTCAATCTTTGCAGCCTCATTTTCAATACGTGACCTTTCCATCGCTGCTTTCTTGTCAGTTTTAAATTCCCTAGCCATGTGACTAAGGGATTGTTCCAGTGTTTGCACTTTTTCATTCAACTATGGACAAGAACAGAATAACAATCAAAATTTCAGCTAATCATGATATGAGAAGTTTTTATTTAAAAAGAAAGTCCTTTTTCTATTGAGAAAATCAACATTTGATGTCTTTAATATCATGCTTATATCTTTGTTGTTTTACCTGTGATATAAATCCCTTCTGTTATTTTACCTGTATACATTGACTGTGGTATAAATCCCTTCTGTTGTTTTACCTGTACACAACACCTGTGGTATAAATTCCTTCTGCTGTTTTACCTGTACACAACACCTGTGGTATAAATTCCTTCTGCTGTTTTACCTGTATACATTGACAGTGGTATAAATCCCTTCTGTTGTTTTACCTGTACACAACACCTGAGGTATAAATTCCTTCTGCTGTTTTACCTGTACACAACACCTGTGGTATAAATTCCTTCTGCTGTTTTACCTGTATACATTGACTGTGGTATAAATCCCTTCTGTTGTTTTACCTGTACACAACACCTGTGGTATAAATTCCTTCTGCTGTTTCATCTGTATACATTGACTGTGGTATAAATCCCTTCTGTTGTTTTACCTGTACACAACACCTGTGGTATAAATTCCTTCTGCTGTTTTACCTGTACACAACACCTGTGGTATAAATTCCTTCTGCTGTTTTACCTGTACACAACACCTGTGGTATAAATTCCTTCTGCTGTTTTACCTGTACACAACACCTGTGGTATAAATTCCTTCTGCTGTTTTACCTGTACACAACACCTGTGGTATAAATCCCTTCTGTTGTTTTACCTGCCCAACTTACCTGTCGTATAAGTTCCTTCTGTTGTTTTGACTGTACAACTTTTTCTTGTACAATCATGTCGTTGAGTTCTTTCTCCCCTGACAAATTTTCATTTTCATCTGTTAATTTTTCCTTCACTTTCTTCAGCATTTCTCCCTCCTTCAGATGGTAATTGAGAGCCTCTGACAACCGAACATTCTCTTTGTATACAGATTTTGTTGTCTCGTCTAAATTTCTGTAAAGTATATCAGAACAATTCTGTGATTGTCAACTCCACATGATGCCATTTAGTTAACAATTCAATCTAAATTTAAAACAAAATAACTTCTGCTGATATTTATTCTTGAGGAAAGGAAGTTGATCACAAACAAGCCATCTCCTGTTATATTCCTGAGAGAGGGCAAGGGAGGGTGGGCTGCTTACTACTTTTGTGTATCTTCCAGGAAAGGTGGGGGAGGGGGGTTTCTTACAGATAATGAATCCCCCTCCCTGGTTCTCATCAATCTTTATTCACTGAGGATGGCAGCTAATTTGTGGTAAAATATGAATGCTCTACATTTCCAAGTTGCAGTAAATCTATTGCATCAATATGCATCACACTTACGTAATAGCTTCTGTGTGGGCACGCTCAGCCAATTCTGCAATCTTCTGGTTTGCTTCCTGTTGAAGTCGCATCTGTGATAGACAAAACACAAAAAAGACTATACTAACAGTATGTTTCAGTTACTTATTATGTGTTGTTTACCTTCACTGCATTAAAATTATGTTTTAAGATAGCTTTTCATTATCTTTACATCTTTAAAAGGTGATCATAAACCATCAAGATTGTTTGCATCAAACAACAGATAAACAACAGATAGAGTTATCTCTGAAACTCATTTCTTGGCCTAATATACAAACCTTCTCTTCAAAAAATTTCTGTTCCATTCGTGAGAGTGTAGCTTTATGATCTCGGTTAGCATTGTACATAGATTCTTTTATCTGAAATACGGAAAAGTAAAATGATTCCATCAAAGAAATATGCATTTAACATGTGATGATAATAACATTTAAGTATGACCCACAGGAATTGTGAGTTCAGCAATTACATTACAACATCAAAAGGAATATTGCTGCATAAGATTTTACTGTGGTACAAGTTTGAAAAAGCATTATATATTGCAATATTTTAAAACTAATATGTTTGCTTTGTAATGCCGTTTTCAGATGTAGAGATTAGATAACAAGAGGGTCATGCACATCCCATAACAGTCACTTGACAATTGATGGATGGACAAACCATAGAATTTGCTGATAGTTATGTAACAAATTTGAAGGATTTAGATTTTGAACATTGCTAGAAAGTATCAGAAACTCATACATAGTAGGTTTACAGTTGTGCAATCATGATATAAAACAGCTACTGTTGTTTCCATGTTGAAGCTTTGACTAGGCTAAAGAATTTCACGTTTCTTCTCCTTAACAAATTGAACATTGTAAATATTTTCTCAACGGTGCAAATAAAACTTGAGAAATAATTTCCGTATTGGGTCCCAGCTTTGTGATAAAAAAGAAGTAAAAATAGCTCCGCAAACGCGGGCAATAACCCACAGCCTTATTATAAAGTTGGAAATGTGTGGATGAGGTGAGTGGAAAGTTATCTGAAGAATGAGATCACCAGAGATCACCATTTTCACTGAGCATTTTGGCTCTATGGACGTAAATAAGCCTGTGCAAGACCCAGCATTAATACAAAATTGATTCCCCTTCACCCAAGTATGCTTCAGACCAAAGGAAGAGAGAATACTGATATTTCTACAAAAGACGTTTCTTAAAAAATGTGCTATATTTCCCATATTTGACCCCAACCCTTCTTCCCAAGGGGTTTATACAAAGTTGATTCTCTTCAATCATTCCTACATGAATAGTAGGGCTTGGGCCCTATCCCTCCTGCCCCAGGGAGGCGAGACCTTATATTTATACAAAATTAATTTCCTTTCCCCCAAGAATGCTTTGGACAAAATTTGGGCTATTCCATTCATTCCTAAAGGAGAAGTGGGATTTTAAACAATTTGCAAGATTTATTCTTTAGTGCCCCATCCCTCATGCCCCTAGCTGCTGAGAAACAACATTTATACTAGCTTGGTTTCCCTTCCTCTAAGAATGCTTCTAACCAAATTTGGTCAAAATCTTTTCAGTCATTCATGACAAGTAGCAATTTTTAGTAAAAAGTTGACGGTCCTTAGGACCAGCTGAGCTAAAAAACACAATGAAAAAAAAAAAACAATAAAATATACAATAGATGAAAACCTTCCAATAGAATTGGAAAAATGCCCGTCATCAAACGAGTGGTAATAGTCAGCTCTCTACGTTCCTGTTCTAATTAGTGTAGGGTCTACTTTACTGATACTGAAGTTCAACTTCCTTACTCTCAATTCAATAGAGAAACAGTTGCCATGGCAATGACTGCAACACAATTAGTGAAACAATATGGAAAAGGGCAGCAATTATCTAAAAGACAGCAATGTGATAACTGGGTGAATGGTATGAATGAACAGACCTCATCAAGATCCTTCTGCATCTGCCCTCTCTTTCGTCGAAACTCTTTCACTTGCTTGAGTTCCGTCTGTAGAAGGTCTACTTCACGACTACGTTCTGACAGTCTCTCCTCTAACTCATTGATCTGTTGACTGAAATCCTCCACAATGTTCTCCTTGTCTTTTCTGTGTTCTTTTTTCTGGTCCCGAATAGACTGCTGCAGTTTCTCCAGCTTAAACAAAAATACAGACAATTAGATGGCTGCACTTTCTCCAGCTTAAACAAAAATACAAACAATTAGATTTTCAGCACCCTAGTAGCTTCTTTCCTTGAGGGATACTAGTCAAACTAAATATACTTGTTAGAAAAGCATTGTCAGTGTCCTAACAGTTTCATTCCTCCAGGGATTCTCATCAAACTTCATACACCAATAAAACATCCAATCATCTTGGACAAATTCATGTATCAGGATTGTTGGACCTAGGTCAATGCCTATGGTTGAGAAAACTTATAAATCATTCAAATGTAATAGTTTATGGAGCCCGTAAGACAGCGATAATCAATATACTTGTAAAAGGCATGCAATCTGAACGTTTCTTACTGTAGTTACTAAACCAAATAATTTTATTACAGAAACTACCTTTATTACTGTAGTTACTAAACCAAATAATTTTATAACAGAAACTACCTTTATTACTGTAGCTACTAAACCAAATAATTTTATTACAGAAACTACCTTTAATACTGTAGCTACTAAACCAAATAATTTTATTACAGAAACTACCTTTCTTACTGTAGTTACTAAACCTAATGTGTTTATTACAGAAACTACCTTTCTTACTGTAGTTACTAAACCTTATGTGTTTATTACAGAAACTACCTTTCTTACTGTAGCTACTAAACCAAATAATTTTATTACAGAAACTACCTTTAATACTGTAGCTACTAAACCAAATAATTTTATTACAGAAACTACCTTTCTTACTGTAGTTACTAAACCTAATGTGTTTATTACAGAAAAACCTAATGTGTTTATTACAGAAACTACCTTTCTTACTGTAGTTACTAAACCTAATGTGTTTATTACAGTAACTGCCTTTCGTACTCTACTTACTAAACCTAATGTGTTTATTACAGTAACTACCTTTCTTACTGTAGTTACTAAACCTAATGTGTTTATTACAGAAACTACCTTTCTTACTGTAGTTACTAAACCAAATAATTTTATTACAGAAACTACCTTTCTTACTGTAGTTACTAAACCTAATGTGTTTATTACAGAAACTACCTTTATTACTGTAGTTACTAAACCAAATAATTTTATTACAGAAACTACCTTTCTTACTGTAGTTACTAAACCTAATGTGTTTATTACAGAAACTACCTTTCTTACTGTAGCTACTAAACCTTATGTGTTTATTACAGTAACTACCTTTCTTACTGTAGTTACTAAACCTAATGTGTTTATTACAGAAACTACCTTTCTTACTGTAGTTACTAAACCTAATGTGTTTATTACAGAAACTACCTTTCTTACTGTAGTTACTAAACCAAATAATTTTATTACAGTAACTACCTTTCTTACTGTAGTTACTAAACCTAATGTGTTTATTACAGAAACTACCTTTCTTACTGTAGTTACTAAACCTTATGTGTTTATTACAGTAACTACCTTTATTACTGTAGTTACTAAACCTAATGTGTTTATTACAGTAACTACCTTTATTACTGTAGTTACTAAACCTAATAATTTTATTACAGAAACTACCTTTCTTACTGTAGTTACTAAACCTAATGTGTTTATTACAGTAACTACCTTTATTACTGTAGTTACTAAACCTAATGTGTTTATTACAGTAGCTACCTTTATTACTGTAGTTACTAAACCTAATGTGTTTATTACAGAAACTACCTTTATTACTGTAGTTACTAAACCTAATGTGTTTATTACAGTAACTACCTTTATTACTGTAGTTACTAAACCAAATAATTTTATTACAGAAACTACCTTTCTTACTGTAGTTACTAAACCTAATGTGTTTATTACAGAAACTACCTTTATTACTGTAGTTACTAAACCAAATAATTTTATTACAGAAACTACCTTTCTTACTGTAGTTACTAAACCTAATGTGTTTATTACAGAAACTACCTTTCTTACTGTAGTTACTAAACCAAATAATTTTATTACAGTAACTACCTTTCTTACTGTAGTTACTAAACCTTATGTGTTTATTACAGTAACTACCTTTCATACTCTAGTTACTAAACCTTATGTGTTTATTACAGTGTTCATTTACTAAACCTAATGTGTTTATTACAGTAACTACCTTTCATACTCTAGTTACTAAACCTTATGTGTTTATTACAGTAACTACCTTTCATACTCTAGTTACTAAACCTAATGTGTTTATTACAGTAACTACCTTTCATACTGTAGTTACTAAACCTTATGTGTTTATTACAGTAACTACCTCTTGTACTCTAGTTACTAAACCTAATGTGTTTATTACAGTAACTACCTTTCGTACTCTAGTTACTAAACCTTATGTGTTTATTACAGTAACTACCTCTTGTACTCTAGTTACTAAACCTAATGTGTTTATTACAGTAACTACCTTTCGTACTCTAGTTACTAAACCTTATGTGTTTATTACAGTAACTACCTCTTGTACTCTAGTTACTAAACCTAATGTGTTTATTACAGTAACTACCTTTCATACTGTAGTTACTAAACCTTATGTGTTTATTACAGTAACTACCTTTCATACTCTAGTTACTAAACCTAATGTGTTTATTACAGTAACTACCTTTCATACTGTAGTTACTAAACCTTATGTGTTTATTACAGTAACTACCTCTTGTACTCTAGTTACTAAACCTTATGTGTTTATTACAGTAACTACCTTTCATACTGTAGTTACTAAACCTTATGTGTTTATTACAGTAACTACCTCTTGTACTCTAGTTACTAAACCTTATGTGTTTATTACAGTAACTACCTATTACAGTAACTACCTTTCGTACTGTAGTTACTAAACCTTATGTGTTTATTACAGTAACTACCTCTTGTACTCTAGTTACTAAACCTTATGTGTTTATTACAGTATTGTTTATTTTCTCATATCCAGCTGTTATGCATATGTTAGTATTTTCAGAGTCTTGGCATACTTACAGTGTTATTTTTTTGTTCATCCTTCTTCTGTAAAAGTGTGAAGATTTCAATGGCCTCCTGTTCTGACCTCAACATGGTACTCTGGAGGCCATCGTTCTCCAGCATTAGCCTCTTTGCATGTTCTCTGTCAACACAGAACACAGAAACTCTAACTAGAGAAAAATATTTAGTGCAAAAATGCGAAATGGAAATAGAATGTCTAAGGAGCCACAGAGAAATACATACTGGAGACTTATAGATATTCTTTACCTCAGATGTGGCATACAGATTTTCTTTTTTTTTTTTTATTCTCAGACATAATGACATATTTTTTTTATTTTTCAGAAACTTGTTAATATTTGATAAAACTTTTACATTACATATGGTAAATAAACCACACATTTTGATGATACTGGGGTAATGACAGTAGTAATTCAGATTCTATAGTTCTCTAATTTGTTTAACAGATGCAAGTTTACACAAATACTGGTATTCATCACCAATTTCCCTAAAATGTAGTTTCAGTTCTCTTTCAGAATCCCCATCCATCTTCCAGATTCAATAAGCAAATGCATATTTGAGGTTTTAAACTTAATGGCAATTCGCCTTTATTTTGGCAGAAGTTTCATAAGATGTTTTTGTAGTTCAAAATTTGTTTTCAAAATAGAACATAAGTTCTCTGGAGTTCACCATATCATTAAACCATCTTTGGATAAACTGATCTTCAAATATTTGTTTCATAACCAGTTTCAAATAATCTCCATTAAATGCCCATGTTTCTGGTATTCCCCGATAAAATCTAAGCCAGTTTCTATAAATATATTTTGAATATGTTATTTTAAAAAGAAATTTTGTTTATGAGATTTTTTTGGTATTATAACCATGTTTTGACATATGAAAATCTACAAAGTCACTTAGTGTGACATTCCCTTGTAACCTAAGGTTTAATCATATTTCTTCTACTCTTGATTAGATTCTAAAATATTCTTTTTCCACAACAATTGGTTTTGCAGAATTTTCAACTAAATTGTTGACTGTATTAACTACATCAGATGAGGGAACATAATAGGGTCTATTCACCTGAGGGAATGTGATAAGTACTGTTGATCTTAGCAAATAAGATAAATACTGTTTGTCTACAGGAATGTGATATGCACTGTATATCTGTGGGAATGTAATATGTACTGATGATCTTAGCAAATAAGATATCTGATGGAAGATGAGAAATACTGTTTATCTGATGGAAGATGATAAATACTGTTTATCTGATGGAAGATGATAAACACTGTTTATCTGATGGAATGTGATAAATACTGTTTATCTGATGGAAGATGATAAATACTGTTTATCTGATGGAAGATGATAAACACTGTTTATCTGATGGAATGTGATAAATACTGTTTATCTGATGGAATGTGATAAATACTGTTTATCTGATGGAATGTGATAAATACTGTTTATCTGATGGAATGTGATAAATACTGTTTATCTGATGGAATGTGATAAATACTGTTTATCTGATGGAATGTGATAAATACTGTTTATCTGATGGAAGATGATAAATACTGTTTATCTGATGGAAGATGATAATTACTATTTATCTGTTTACATGAGGATGAAGAAAACCTACCGGTACTCCTGCTTGGCATTTTCTGCCACATCCAGCCTTGCCTCCCATGCTTTAGAATTGGCAACTGCTAACTTTGCGATGGATTCATTCTTCTTTGCTCCCTTTTTCCCCTTTTTCCTGTAAGCAAAACAATAACACTTAATTAGTGAGGAAATTTATTCTTTGGTTTCATCCAGATCATAGACATAAACAATTAAAATTTTGTACTACATGTATCTGTTTACTAATATGTAGCATTTCTGTCAGGCTGACTGGACCCGACAGGATGTCTTTATTTAACAGATTTTACATCCACTGTAACGGCCTTTTGGCCTGTCAGTGGACAAGAAAAGAGAGGAAAATGAGAAGAAGGGAAAGATAGGAAGCGATGGGAAAGAGTGGAATATGCCTGACTCTGTTAGTAAACTAACAGGCAGTGTGTTTTGTATAGCGCCTAGTGCTATTCTTAGAACTTGTATTACGTCAAGCGCCTTCAGTACATTATCAGAGGCCGAATGGCATACTTGACAACCATAGTCTATTTGTGATCTGATAAGAGCTCTAAATATGTTTAATAATGTTTTTTTGTTGGAACCCAGATTGTTGCCTGAAACAAAGGTTAGTCAATTCAGAGCTCTCTTACACAGAACATCAGAACATATCTTACATACTGGTTGCAGGATAATTTTGGGTCCAAAATCAAGCCAAGACACTATTAGCGTACTCAAGGAGCCTGTCGTCTAGATATAGTTCTGTTTTTTTAGTTTTCTAGAGGACATAGTAACAGTTTTCTTTCTCTTTTGAAATTTTGAAGCCCCCTTCATCAGCTTAATCTTGAATTAAGTCTAGTTTTCTGAATGGTCCTGCAATTATTTATGATAACTTTGTTAGTACTACAAATACTGGTATCATCTGTGAACTGGACCATATAAGCTCATAAATTAGTGTATAAATATTGTTTAAGATGTTGATCAAGTTTATTTATAAAGATATCAAACAAAGTAGGGGAGATATCACTACCCTGAAGGATACCATTATCTAGAGATTTCTCCCATGAGCTAGAGATGTTTATCCTTACCTGAATTTTTCCATCTCTAAAAACATGTGTAATGAATCTGGAGATGTTACCAGCAATACTGATTTCTTTAAGTCCTTGCTGCCAGACTAAATCATTTCTTTTTCTAGGTTTAAAAATACTGCTATAGCATGATGCTTTTTACTAAGGGAGTTTTTCACCTCTGACAAGAGCCTGACTAATGAGTCTAGTGTTAATCTGTTGGTTTCTGAAACCATAAAAATATGGTTTGCTTCATGAATTTGCATGTCATATTTGCACAAGGGCCATATTAATCTTCTCTGTATCATTCCAATTTTAATATATGTACTGCCAAAACAAATACAGAATGCCACTAACCCCATACTTTATATACCCTCAGACCTAACAGGATGTCACTGACACCCAGTGTTACATATGTAACACTGGGTGTCAGTGACATCCTGTCGGGTCTGAGGGATCTAAAACACTGGAGGTGTGAAGGATATGTTTCACTTGGGGTCAGTGACATCCAGTCATGATGATGATGAAGATGGTTTATCGTTTCCGTGACTCTACCTGTCACCAGGCATTGTCCGATCGACATGAATCGATTCTCTTAGATGTGCTAGCATCAATATCACTAACTTTTGAGCTGACTAAACACATTCACAACACTGCATCACCAAACTTGCAACTCTACAACGGAGACTTTTCAAGTTGTAATCCAAGCATATGTACGATTCAAACAGATGGTCACTAGTTTCCATCTCAGACTTACAGCTATGAATTATCACACTTGACCACTGGATTCCATCTCAGACTTACAGCTATGAGTTATCACACTAGACCAGTGGATCCCCTCCCAGACTTACAGCTATGAGTTATCACACTTGACCACTGGATCCCCTCCCAGATTTACAGCTATGAGTTATCACACTTGACCACTGGATTCCATCTCAGACTTACAGCTATGAGTTATCACACTTGATCCAAACATATACACATGCAAGAATACAACATCCTTTTTTTGCCAAAAATGAATAAATTGTATGGTTTTGGGAGGAACTGCTACAATATCATTTCTTCCTTTTTTAAAGAAAACTCCACAGGAACATGCTGACAATAACATGTTAGAAAAAATATATGTAAAGAAAGAAGTCACAGTTTTGAATACAATGGGAACAGGAGATAAAAATGTGATGGACTATGAGAAAGAACATGCTCTTTTTTCATAAGCTGAAATTTTCTAAATGTCAAAACTACAACTTCCTATTGGAGTCCATTTGTGATTATGTGTTATAAAAACATCCTCAAACAGTATAAAGTAAATTGACCAAAAATAATAAAAAATTAATTATTTTCCATCTGTTTTGTGACATTCATAGTATAGTAATTTAGTTACTAGTTACATAATTAGTTAATTTGGCAAGTGTATCATCGGTTAATTTGAATTGAATGTAAAGCCATGGGAACCAACTTTGATGGCACAAAGCAATGTATCGGTGAGTGGTCTCGAAGGGTGAAAAAAACCTTCAAGTCGACCTCTATGGGACATTAGCATTGCTGGAAACCCTACCTTTGCTGATGAGTTGAGGAGGAGTTATCACGACATTTTCAACAAAGGGAAACACACCTAAATTTAGTCCAACCGTACAGGAAGAGTTGTTCCAGACTTTATTTCAAGTAGACATGACGGTCGGATCGACAGACAAACAAACAAGCTAATTCCAGTGCTTCAATGCAGAAAGAATGGGGTATAAAAAAAAGCATTTATGGAGGTCTGACAAAGTATGAAAAAAGTAGCAAATTACAAAATCATGATACTACTGAAAAGATAGCAGCATAAATCACAAACACAAACAATAAAGCAAAAATTACATTCCAAAACTAAATGTAGAATATACTTACTCATTATCCCTATTTACGAATGATTTGCATTAATAAAAAGATATAGAAAGTTATTTACACAATTATATGTGTACACATGATGGAAGTCCATAACATGTAGTGTAAATTCAGCTTCAAAAAAAAATTTATCATGACTTTATTGTTCTCTCATGTCAACAATTTATGTTACTCCACAACATGGCGTGCAATTATATGGAAATCATCAATCACTTTAATTACTTCAAACAACAAGAATGACAATTTCACTATTAGCTCAGATATTCTTAATCAGTATTTAAATTAGTAACAAAATCTGAAGACTGTGCCACTTATAAGACTCAGGACACAGTGGTCCTCTACAGACAGCTTTGATAACAAGCAGTCCATGATCCTTCCGGTGATAGGTCCATACTCTATGTTAAAAATGTATTTCATTGGATGTTTCTCCCAGAATTTGTCAAGTCTGTTTTCAAACTGATGGGTATTTGACGATCTTATCACGTGTTCTGGCAAACTGTTGCATATATCGACTACTCGAAAGGTGAAACTGTACTTCCGTAAGTCTTTCTTGCAATGACCTTTCATCAATTTCAATGAATTCCTCCTGCTATTTGTATTGTCGTTCAGTTGCTACAGACCAGACGTTACCCTTTGGTCGTATTTCTCACTAAGTATTTTAAAAACCTATCATATCCCCCCTCATCCGTAGATTCAATCTTTGTACTTTCTTCATGTCCAATGTTATTTTTTCATTCTGGTCGTACGCATTTGCAGATTGTTTAACCAGTCATGGCCGTTCACTCTGAGAGATTGGCAATACCGTGTTCTCGCAGTGCAGTAGGTGGTCACATAATCCGTGTACAGTAGTATGTTCTTACATCTTCTACATCTTACTCTAAGCGCTGTCTTTTTCGTACAGTGTACACACGACATTCATCGACGAAGCAAAAGAGAATTTTCAGTCGTTGATATCATAATGTTATTTTAAATACATACCCCTTTCCCTTCTTCCCCTTCTTTCCTTTCTTGCCCTTCTTGGGCATGGTGATATCCAAGCTGTGTCTAGATGTTTACAAATTCCTCCTTTTCTGAACGGCGGCCATCTTTGTTGACAGTGTTATGGCAACACCAAAACCTCGTTGTGTCGAGACAAGTATTATTTAAAGCTGGAAATTTAATTTGTTTCATATAAAGTGTTTCATTAGTTTTATTACTTAAATATATTCATTTTATTTGTACTTTTAGATAAATAACCAATGTAACACACAAAAAAATCCAGGCAAAATTACGTCACTTCCGTCATAGGGTTAAGTAGTGTTAATGAAACTTGAATTCCGCCTTGGTTGGCATTCACTTGTTTGTATCAATATTGTTTTCACTATTGTTGAAAAGTAAATACTGTGATATGATTTATTGTTTACAGCAAGAAGTTTTGTTATTTTTACTATTCATGTGAGAAAAAAAAATAATAACAGCGAGCCCACTGGAACACCAAACTGCACATTTTATAATAGCGAATCACCGACAGCGAGCGCTTCATGTTATTGTGTATGGTAATTTAACTTAGGCGAAGAAACCGGTGGGGAACCTTCTGATTTTAATGATGATAACTGGTTAAACATATAAGCGCCGCCTTCAGAAATCAATAAACTAGAGTTTTCCACCATATTTAATTACAAACTCATTTTTAAGCAAAGTTGATAGTCCGTCCTCTCTGCAGACTCTGTAACTGTAAAGGGGAAACTATTGTACATTCACTTTGGAAACGTAGTCAATTCAAAAATCCAATTCAAAGTCTAGATGTTGAGGGGCTTTATTCCTACCTTTTACGTTTCAAAATGAATGATTGACAACAGTTTTAGTCTTACTGGACGTAAATCGTGCATGTTTATAGAACACATAAAAGACTTTTAACTACTCATCGAATCAAGGTTTGTCAGTGTTTATATCAATGATATTAACACAAGACTCAGTATCGTAGTTGCCATTATGAGGTGCATGTTCAATAAATGACTCCATGATACGTAGTAATACATCAGTAAAGTTACTAACACTATTATTAATATCACCTTGAGTAACAGATTCTGGTACCACATTAGCATTCTGTAAAATATTTTCATTTATAGACAATAGATTTAAATAGGATTCATTAAATCAGAGACGTATATAACATGTTATATACGTCTCTGATTAAATACATACTCTCACTTACAGACCAGCTTTCGGTGATCACTCACACTGAGGTTATCATTAAGGAAAACATTCTGACGAGTCAATCTGGACTTCAGTTGAATGTGCAACGGAGCATGACCAGAAAAGACGTTGGAGATGGAAATAATTGTTTTTTCTGTGACGTCAAACAATGCGTTATTTTATATAACAGTCAACAGTACTCATACCACTATGTCCAAAATAAGTAAAATAATTTGAAAATTCATATCTGTCACGTCTGTTGCATATATGGATATTTCAAGATTTACAAAATTTGATCGGACGATTACCAAAGGTATTAATTACAACATCCGGGTTATTTTTTGCATTAAATGCGTCATCGGTTTCACAATCTGGAAATGTTCATGGATACGAGAATGAACTACATCATTTAATATAAAAAAAAATGTGTTGATTACCAGTACGGCCGTTAAAATCACCCACCAACATTACATCACCAAATGAACTATATTTTCCAATACTATTCACAAGCTCAAAAAACAAATCTCAAACGTATAAATGATAATAAACATAATTTGACGAGGGCGGGTAAGTACATGCTAAATACAAATCTCTCTGATTATTAATTAGACGATTAGATATCTTCAACCAATCACCTGAATCACACACTGATCGCAAGGTTAGTTTTCTTTGATGAGTATAGCCAGACTCGGACAAAAAACCATCAACAGACAAAGAATACTAGTTCTGTATCCAACATTAGGAATGGAACATTATGTCATAAGAGTTAATATCATTACAAAAATGTATAGACTTATTATTGTTTAGTAAGCCATTGATATTCCAGGACAAATATTTGATATCCAAATTCTGGCGCGCACCCTCACACTCCACATTGTCCTGTGAATTAGGTGGGCAACGGGAGGTAGGGGTGATTGCTTTGGTTACCACCTCTGCCACGATACTTCCCTGTGTTACCCTGATGGACCTGGTTGATTAGCTGCTGGTGCTTTAGTGCCCACCATCTACATACAACATGTCCGGAATAAAAAACGCATTGCATTCCGCGAACTTTTGCACTGAATGGGTCATCGACTCTTCCGGGTCCCTTGGAAACTGCTCAGAAATGCATATGGAAGATTCTTTTAATTTTCTAGGCGCTAACTGCCGAATCTTTTCTTTTTGGTCGCTCCGATTGAACCTGGCAACAATGGGCCCGGTTTTACCCTCAGCTTCGACACCGATCCTGTGGGCCCTTTCCACAAAAACTCTTTGGTATCGAGCTTCTCCTGGATAACACGGACAACTTTACCGACACAGTCTTTTTAGGGTGTCCCGACATCACTGACCATTTCAAAATGAGGTCCCTCATTCTATATAACGCCCAAGAATAGGAGTTTTCCCGCATAAAACGACATTTCATTAATTTTAGGGTGATATCGAATATTTTGTTTAGAAAGGTTTGAGATTTTTCGTTCATTCTAATAGTTACAGAAGAACGGTTTCTTTTAGACCTGTTAGGGATTTCTCAATAAAAGCCCAGTTTACTGAGCTTGCTGGTATGAGCGTCAACTTCGGAAATCAAACGCCCAGGCGGGCAGGGTATCACTACCGCCATCGGTAGGAATAGGCGCAGAAATAAACCACGTGAACTTCCCATACCCTGCTGGCTAGGATATGGAGGCAAGTTATTCTGAGGATGGTCCATCTTATGAAATTGTGGACTGACATTATTGCTATACCACTGGTGAAAGTTCAAAGGTGTGTTCGAGAACGCATCGAGCGGCCGCGACATCCAGGTCATACTGCACACGCGCTAGTTAGTTCACTTGAGTCACTATACCGTCATGTTCGTAGAACTCGATTTAACACTTGCCTTATTTTCACCTTCTTCTTAGGCGGTATGGAGGGTCCAGATAGACAAAAAACAGTAACTACAACACATCACCAATTTTCAGTCCCGAGCAGCTTATCAAAACAGCCGAATATCCACCGCTGTCTGCAGCGCTAACACTTGCGGACATACACGTCATCCGCCGTGACCGGACACGTACAGCCATGGTTATTATATAGGTATCCGTTGTAGCCTACGTAGAAAATAATATAATAATGATAAATAATAATAGTTTATTAAAGTGTCACATATTGATAGACAATGAAATACAGGTCACAGTTGTAAAATATACTGGTAAATGTGACCAATATCCAGCCATAATTGTTTGACATATGAGACACTAAAATTCTTAAAATTAATCAGCCAGTGAATATATCTTAAAATTAATCCATTTTACACTGGGGCACTACATATCATTTTAGCTTTCAAAGGTGGAAAACATCCTTTGTCTATAGATATACTGTAATTCACAACTACTGAATAATATCTCCATTCGTACACTGGGGCAAAGAAGTTTAAGCTTTCATATAAAGGTTTATTACTGTGAACAGGGCCTGCTGTGAATAACAAAAGTTTAAATGTCACATATACTTGTAACTTACAATTACTAATTATCATTAATGCATTTTTACACTAGGGCTATTAAGTAAGAATATAAAATACATATTGGTGTTGATATCAAAGATGAAATGTCCTTTGTCACTTATATATACGGTAATTTAAACTTTCTGGTTAATATTTATATTCGTACACCGGGGCAAAGAGGTTCAACTGCTAGATGTTCGCAATAGTACTGTACATTACATATCGGATTTGTCTCGAATTCGAATCCTTGGTAGCATAAAAACCCATGTTCAAAGTCACAAACAAAAAATAACCACCTTCAGTGATTATTATATAAGTTCGTGTGGTCAGTTATTTCGAAGGACGCGACAGTAAACCTCCAACTGAGAACCCCTGTGGTTTACCTAGACAGGTGTGAACTATAGCCATCTCTTTCATGTGCTAATTTCTCATAGTCTAACTCTATATCATATAAAATTTCACACATTACTACAGTCAATATGCGAAGAAATATGATTAGGTCAGGGGCGTATGATAAAGACATCCCTGGATTTTGTTTTAAACAAATAAAACCGTGAGAAGATATAGAATTTGAAAATACATTTGTACAGAACACGTGATTATCTGTGGCAATAAAAAACCGAAAACTCTTGATCAAGGACTCGGATCGGACGGGATCTACAAAATCAACCGTTAACTATATCTTAAAGTAACGCATTACACTAAAGAAAAAAAAGGACACTGGTTAGAGATTGATTAACCACAGACATTTATACATAGCATCAGAGACCTATATATGTCTCTAATAGCATAAAGGAAATTTTGAATTAATTGAACTCGTACATTTTTTTTTCTCATTAACATTGATGACTTACATTTCAAGATAGCAGTCAAGAAGTTAATTCTATTATGAAATCCATTTGCTTGTTTGTTGCAACATCAATCCAGATCTTAATTTTCAAGCAATTGATTATCTTTTGCAAATCCTGTGTAATGATATACAATGTAATAAATGCGATACTAGCACGCCAAAATAATTAAATCTTCTTTTAACCAAGTCTTAACTGACATACTGTATCAATTAGAGTTAATTAGCGTTGCTGTGTTCATATACCATTTTTTCTCCAAAAGTTTGTAATAAATCTTTTCAAAAAAAATATCGTATAGAGGAAATCTCAATTTTCAAATAAATCGCACTAACTTTTGTGGCAAATGCTTTCTGTTTACATTAAACATTAAATCGCGTGTTTAAGCTATTCACAACTGAAATATCATCCTATATTGAAAAAACTAATTTGTAAATCCGTGGCACGAAAGATCTCAATATTTTTTCTGTTTGACCTATGAATTTTTTATGATTCGTTCGACAAATTGGCTCTGTTTAGGCCGGTCAACTCAATTATGATGAGCCAAGTGGTATATGGACCATTATATGATGACATAGGTGTCTATTTCCAAATTTTAATTCTTTTAGACAGTACCTATTTCATTTATAAGGGTTGCCTCCCCTTAATTTGTCTGATAGTTACTAGACCGATAAGATTCTGTAAATCTGTCTTTATGAAATCTATTTATATCAATCGATGTCATTTTCATAGCAGTTATTTGAATTCCGTAATGCATATTAACCTGCTTTGTTTGGCAATTCTGAAAAAAAAAACTTTTTAATTGCAAGGGACACACCTTTTGTCTATGAATGCATAATATCTGTTATACATTCCTGCCATGAACTAACAGTGTTTGAGATTCCGTCAGCTAGAATGTAGAATTTTTTAAAATTATTTTTTTAAGTATTTTAAAGTTTAATCGACATTGGCATATATAATGACCCTAGAAATTATTATTGATTTACATTTTCCTTTTACGTTCGAGCCATAGCCATATTTGGCCGTGTCAGCCATATTTGGGACCCCATATTACCAAACAGGGATGAAACAAATTATAGTATATTCATCCGCATTAATTAGAATTCTAAATACTGAAGTTATAAAAACAAATTTTATTCTCACATATGCTGAAAAGTATATTGTTTCTCATTTTAATGCTTAAAATATTGATACATAAGCTACCTATTCCGTTTATGGCAAGAACTACTTTGTGCGCGTATGTCGACATCAAGTGCTGCGTCGACATATGCCTTTATGGAGAAGTCACAAATTAAGGCTGAAGAGGATACGTACTATCCTTCCATACCAGACTCACAGACAGCGGAGCCAACTGGCAGTACAGTATACAGTGGTGAACCGACAGCACGTGCAAACATGAATGGGTCACATATGATGAATACAAATCAAAGTGTTTTCCCTACAATTCCGGGGGGACCAGTTAAAACGTTGACTATGGAGCAGGTTGACCCATCGACACTGGAAGACGATTCCGATTCAGATGACGGATTAAGAGCAATGGGTATCGGGATTAAACCCGGAAAAAAGACAAAAGGACGAGTTAAGATTAAAATGGAATTTATTGAAAACAAACTGAGACGATATACGACATTCAGTAAACGGAAAACAGGAATTATGAAAAAGGTTAGCAAAATGTGTTTGTGTTTATGCGTGTGTCAATTCCGTATAAGGAAGTATCTTACTACGGTAGTAAAAGTCTGTCCATTCAGAAGTTTAACACATGGTTCGCACATGCTGTTGATTCGTATCGCGAGATTGCATGTTTTTAAAAGAATTTGCACTTGTTCTTCAAGATTGATAAAGATAAAGATTATTTAATGAGGCCTGTTTTAATTTGCTGCTATTTTAATAGTTGTTCTGCATAAATGCATTGTTAGTAAGGAGTATTTAGTGTTAACACTTCAGAATCTATCATTTATTGGAAATCAGTTATCAAAGCATTCATATGAATAGATTGCATCGAAAAGCCTTGGTTTACTGACAAATGCTGCCATATAAATAAAATTCTGTTAGATAAAGGATTTTGATCCCAGCAACAAGAAAACTTTGAGAGTTTTGTAAGAGATGTATTGTAGAGGTGCAATACTGGTATGGAATGGATTTTTAAAAATTTTTTTTTTGAAATTAAAGGAAAATCTAGAATATTTGTAAATTGTCATACATAACTGATGTATGATAGTCCACAGAGACTAAAAAAAGTCCGTCGAAAAAGTGAAACATACTGAATAGTTTTAGTTTTTTTATCGCTGCATAGACAATTTTCTGTATTAATTTAGTCTCTTCTTTGTATATCTAATTAACTGAAATTGTGATTTGAAATACTGCCATGAAAATCATCAATACACAACAAAATTTTTTATTATTCAAGGAGCAAATTACAGAATCTCGAATACTTTTTAGTTTTGCTTGGAAATCAAATAAATATTTTGTCATTAAATGTCAATTTCATCAGAAAATACTGACATATCATACTTAAATGGAGTAAACTTATGATTGATATTGAAATTATAAGAGTTTCAATGACATTTGTCGTTGCTAATTCTAGATCATCTATAGGATTTTTTCTACAAATTTCTGAAAGTCGTGAACATCTTGTCTCATTTTAAACCTACAGATGCTCTATTTCTCAGAAAAGATGACAACATGTTGTGTAATAGGACATCATATGATTTTGCAAAATGTTAAAAAAAAAACATGCATAGAAAAGATATAATGGCACATTGGATCACTGACCAATCAAAGCAGCTTGTTGGATATCCCAAAGCATAAATGTACAAGCACAATCCAATGTTCCATATGCACTTTTAGGATATAGGTACAACAACCCTATCTTATATTCCACCATTCCATGCAAGTTCCATGTGCACATTCAGTACTCTTTGTATTCAATTTGCTCAACTCAGGATTGTGCAACCATCTTCCATTATACCAAATTTGGCACACAATACAGAAAAGTATTAGGATATATCGCATATAAATCTATCTTTCGCAGAACATGTTATTATCCTATTAATCAAAGATTGGAACAGGAATTGGTTTTGACATATGATCAACTTTCAGAAAGATCACAGTCAAAATGGCTGCCAGCTGTCTGCCATCTTTAATGGTTACAACAAGCATAGTATAAATTAAAAAAAAAAAAAAATCAACCACTTCTAGCACTTTCACTTCTTCAGAAGTTTATTTTGAAATGAAATGTACTGTGAGGATGTCATAAGTGATGTGTCATATGCATCAACTTGTAAAAAACACAAGTAAACAATGTGGTTCAATTGATAAATTTTTAGACTTCTTATTTACAAACCGATCTCCTTTCTTTTCCATTGAAATGGTATCTGACGAATAAAACTGATACAAAGCTGGTAATGCATTAAATTTGTTGCCTGCACAATTATGAATAAGTTTATTTACATGTAGATTTCGTGATGAGCCTGCTTTGGTTTGCTGTCTATGAACAGTTACACACATTCCAAGTTCATTAATTGTTTGACGAATATGTAATTCACCAGATGTAAAGCAATCTATAGTATAAAGAACATTCTTTGATCTGCAATTCATACTTGATTTAACTTTTAACTTTAATCCATTCATAAAAACGAAATTACTACATTCAATAATCGTAAAACACCTATCACACCTGGGTGTCTTACATTTGGGCAATTGGGATTTAAGACTGGATTTATCAAATTTCGAAAATTTCACATAATCACAGAGTACATGTTAAAATGTTAGATTAAAAGTTGAAACAAATGGAATAAATTTTTTTATCATTTTGTCGTTGATGAGGGTTTCTTTTTGATAGCTTTTTGTAAACTGTTCTATATCACCTTCATATGATAATTCTGAGCTTTCAGGTGTTGCTTTCAGGTGTTGCTTTCATGGTCTGATAGCCTGTACCTGCCTTTCCCTAACAGTAGTAACAATTTTTACATGAAGATATATGCAAATGTACTTCATTAATCACCAAATACATAATTAGCTACTGAAGGAATGATATGACTTTCATAAAACTTGCTCATGTTCTCCGATCTTTGATCCAGTTTTTATACACATCAGTAAATGAACCATTGAATAAATCGGTTTGGTCTTACTGCTATGTAATGTTCCATTCCAAGCTCTGGTACTACTGATCCAGTAATTTTTGTAGGATTTTATCAGGTGAGTCCAGAACACCTTTTCCAAAATTTTGATGAGTCCCTACTGTAAGAAATATAGTTGGTCCTCAAGCTTTTAGTGAATCCCATTGGAAGTCTAGTCACAAAAATGACTGCAACCCAAGGCATATGTCTGCTTTTAGTTATAAACTGGGCCTTAAACTTGTTGTTTTAGGCATATGAGCTATCTACCCTGACGGGTACCCAGGTGATGTTATTGGTTGCCAGTGAAACAGGCCACGTTTACACCTTTGCCACCCGTAAACTTCAACCCATGATCACCAGTGACAGTGGTAAAGCTCTTATACAGACCTGTTTGAACTCACCAGATCCACCTCCGGGTTCTCAGGCTGCACAAGTCATTGAACAACGAATGAACCCAACAGGATTTGAGGAGACGGAACTCAGCTACGCAGTTAGTGAAGAAGAAAGTAAGGTACGAGGATTGCATCCGTTTGTGTACAAATGTGCAAGTTTAATTTTTTATGTCATCATGCTTAATATAATTGTATCACTTCAAGCATTTATTATCCAAATGGATCAAAGATACAAAGGGAACATTGTCTGTCCACTTTACCATTTCAGGACAATATTTTGAGTTACCTATAGCTAGCACCAATCATACTCGCACTGCTTTTTATCAGGAGCACATGCTTGGTATATTGCTGTGGGAGTTAAAAAGTTGAACATTGAGGTCCTTAATATCAATTGAAAACTGGTTATGATCGCAGTTGTCTTTCCCTGGAATAATCAAACGTCACACATACATAAGTGCACAGTGCTTTCCTACTGGAACTACATGTTTTGGGACTGCTTTAGGATCAAATGGTGAAACATCAAGATCACTGTTGCTATAAATACAAAAAATGGTCTGGATCACCATCTCTTGACAATAATGCAGTATGAAGTGGAATGCATGATCAACCTCAAACTTCATACAATGCTTTGGAAGTGCTTGCATTGCCGATGATTGCATTCCGGGTCAAAAGGTCAAAATGGTCACTGTTACTTTGGATAGAAAATTTATTAGAATATTACTTATTGATATATAGAATCTAAAAAGTGGTATCATCAGTATGGTCCAATATTGGTATTGGATCCTAACAAACAAATGTTCGTTGAATGCGTATTACTGGAATAGCTATATGATCAATGCAGTAATATGACAGTACGGATAAGTGAACCGTCAAATTTTTGAGGCAATCTGCCCCTTTATCAAGACACACATATTACATAAGTTACATCACATGCATAGAAAATTAGTATAGAAAACACAGGCACAAAGACAGAAACAAAGTAGACAAAAATAACAGACGAATGATAATTTGGATACACCAGATCACTATATAGGTTATGGTGCATATTAATCAGTGTGATGGATAGAATCTAGTCAGTATATATCTAAATTCTTTCAATTTATGATCTTATGCATATCTATGGCTTTCAATCAGACATCACACTTGTCATATTGGAAGGCGTCTTCATTGGAATTGTTGCTGTTGTAGGCATCTACTGTGATTATGAATGTCTAGAGATATAAATTACTGGTGTAAAATAGTTGGGAGACTTCTCTCTGAGAACAGATATAAAGCAGAAAGTGGATTTCTGTCTGACAACAGATATATAGCATTAGGGAGATTTCTGTCTGACAACAGATATTATAGCATTAGGGAGATTTCTCTCTGACAACAGATATATAGCAGTAGGGAGATTTCTCTCTGACAACAGATATTATAGCATTAGGGAGATTTCTCTCTGACAACAGATATATAGCATTAGGGAGATTTCTCTCTGACAACAGATATATAGCAGTAGGGAGATTTCTCTCTGACAACAGATATATAGCAGTAGGGAGATTTCTCTCTGACAACAGATATAAAGCATTATGGAGTTTTCTCTCTGACAAAGATTGATCTTTTGATTGGCTTCATTAATGCAAACATTCTTTACCAATTGGTCGGTCATCATTCCCCATTTACTAAGAATGACAGTGGGGGATGTTCTGGATGAGTCCAGCATCAAATGGGTTCTCAACAGTACCAGCTGCAATGGTAAGTTTATAATGCCTATGTATCTTGTAAAGCTGTCTCAAGTGTTTCCTATACTGCTTAGCATTAATCTCAAAATTGATTTAGTGATATAAAAGCTCAATGTTTCTTTATTTTTTTAATCATCCATGCTTCTTATAGAAGCGCTTTCAGAAAAGTAAGGATTCTACACAAAACTTTATACTTCTGTTTACCATGCAGCCTTCCATTTTTCATAAAAAAAACCCTTTCCTTTCAGTTAAATTTATTTGCTATCAGCACTCAGTATTGATAATTTATAATTAAATGGTATGATTGGTCATAGGTTGTAATATTAATCTAGATGAGGAATACATGATATCTTTCAACAAAATATTGTACTTTTTGATCTTGCAGCAAATATAAGCAAGCAATGGACATTTTTTAAGATAAATGGGTCTTCACCAACATGTGTTATGACACATACACAAATTTCACCAATGGTGAAGCAAAACATGACCTGAACCATCTGATAAAGGCACTTGTTTAGGACAGTTAGAGAATTACCTTATATCCACAGTTATTACAGACAAGATGATCGGCTGCCGTCAAAAGTAAACACTGCATCAGAATCCTCTCCAACATCATATTGTTGTTTGTTGTTATTATTGAGCTATCACTCTATTATAGAGGACTTGTGTGACTTGTGACATGTAGGTATTCAGAAATTACAAACACATTTGACTACAAATATTCATGACCATAAGATGACAAAAGTTGACAACTAGAGATGGAACACCTACTTACACATGTACTTGCTATGCCAAGTTAATTAAGCAATTTAAGTAAGTAAGTAGACTGCATTTTTCATGACATATTTTCCTGTAGCCATGTATTGTAGTTTGGCATAAACGCCTGGTACTCTAAATATCAGTGTATTGTATGCACGCGTGTATAATACACAGGTGCTTTGTTATTTTGTTTAAAAGATACCAGATACCGTATTCGATCCAATAAGCACCCGGGGCGCTTAAAAAAATGCAATTAGGGGGGCGCTTATTAGAGACCATCTTAGATGTAAAAGAAACACATTCAGTGCTAAAAAATCTGCCTCCACCAGGAACTTTACGTCTCCTTATTGAGGTGTTTTGTAAAGAGGTTTTCAGTTCACTCTCTTTTTGTCTCCAATTGTGAATTCGCTTCCTATCTATACCGTACTGCTTTGATGCTTTGCTGTTTCCCCATTCCTTGGCAAACTCCACAACTTTTAACTTGAAAGAAATTTCATACGACTTGATTCGGCCCCTTTTGTAAGATTGTGATGTGTCTGTGGTTGCCATAACTTCAGTGTCAACCTCTATGTAACAAGGTGCACTTTGTCATTATTTGGCCATCGATAAATTGTTTCAGATCATCTTAACATGACACGAAAGGGAATTTGTTTATGATAAAGATATAAAATTCTATTCATACTTGCCTGTTTTAGCACAACTTTTTTATTTGTCATCTGATATCTAACTGCTTCATTTGTTTTTGTCAGATAATCTATCACACAGGAAAATATCATTTCTTAATCTGCTGTATCAATGGCTATCTTAACTGTTACGTAATGAACTATGCCTATTCAGTCGTTGTTACTGTGGCCGAGTGCATGACACCAAGGTACACAAGGTAAAGGTCATCTACCACGTGGTTTATGAATGTTTGAAAAAAAATGTCTTTTATGTATGAATATTCGTCTGTGGTCAGGGGATAGCATGTTAATAGAGTGTGTTGGAAACCATTCATAGGATAGTGCCTTGATACAGTTATTGAGGATAATAATCCGTTTGACAAGTTTGCAACCAGAGTTGTGAAAGAAGGGAAAACGGTGGGTCAAATTCAAAGTGAACTGTCAAAGCAGCTAATTTTTTTTATCAGGCATGGTGGGAACATTGCGTTAGTAGTTACAGAGGAAACTTACCAACATTCCTCTGTTGCTGGTGGACTGGAGATTAACTGTTTTTTACGTTTTTCTGGAGTACATCTCCTTATAAACCGATAATTCTTGATCGTGACTAAAACGTAAGTAAATTTCAACTTTTTGGTATCTGAAGAGGGGATGGGGTGCTTATTGGGACATGGGCGCTTATTGGGACGAATACAGTAGTTCATTTTACCACCTGGTTGAGACCCTTGGTTTTGTCAAACCATGTGCTAATGTTGATGATAAAGATGAGAAAAAAAAAAGAATTGTTTGTACAAGATGTGTTCATAAAAGCAATTACCTGGTAATTAAATTTCACACTTTGGCTATGACGAGCTATCAAGACAGTCAGAATGAAAGAATTGTTGTGGATTGTCTAGGAGGCCAAGTGCTCATTAGAAATATCTACTAGCCTTCAATTCCTTTCAACCTCCTTGCCATTGTATTGCTATACCTATATCGAGAAAAATATAGTATCTTACAATACGTTTTATCAGTGTCTTCACACCAAGGAAAGTTTTCATTGGTGTTTCATCTCTATGAGTCAAAAAATACTTCCATGAAGGAAAGAAAGGTGCTAACACCAAAGCTGGCAACAATTACTTGATTCTCACACTGTGGAACAAAATGGCATGGAAAAAAAGTTCAAGAGATTATATTGAATGTTCTGTTTTCAACACATAAGTGGGTAGAAAACACAAACAAAACATGAAAAGAACTTACCCCAGACAATGAACAAGCCCTGGATGCAGAATGGCAGTTTATTTGCTTTGTTTCTGCAATAATGATGTCAACAACGATGCTTAAAATTGTCAATCTTCCTCAACACTTACAAGTGTGGAATTTGAAAAATTTAGAATTTATTATGTGTTGTTTTAATCAAGAGATTGTGATAGTAGTTTTACTGGCTAAAAAATGTATGTCTAGATTGTTACCGTACCAATATGCTTTAGCTATAGGTCAGTGTGGGCTAATTTCTAGTCTAACATACTCATATACTTTAGGCCAATACTGGCTAATGTCTAGACTGCTGTACTGATATGACAAGGTCTGTACTGGCTAATGTCTAGACTGCTGTACTGATATGACAAGGTCTGTACTGGCTAATGTCTAGACTGCTGTACTGATATGCATAAGGCTAGTACTGGCTAATGTCTAGACTGCTGTACCGATAATCACAAGGTCTGTTCTGGCTAATGTCTAGACTACTGTACTGATATGACAAGGTCTGTACTGGCTAATGTCTAGACTGCTGTACTGATATGCATAAGGCTAGTACTGGCTAATGTCTAGACTGCTGTACTGATATGCATAAGGCTAGTACTGGCTAATGTCTAGACTGCTGTACCGATAATCACAAGGTCTGTTCTGGCTAATGTCTAGACTACTGTACTGATATGACAAGGTCTGTACTGGCTAAAGTCTAGACTACTGTACTGATATGCATAAGGCTAGTACTGGCTA